TTGAGAAATAAGGCCACCCTTCCTGAGTTTGGACAAAGGCTCTCACTGTCTTAAAGTGTTCCCTAAAGACATTCTGTCGGTTTCCTGTCCACAAAGCCATGGGGCCTTTATATCTTCGTAAAGAGTCCTTACCATCTCCTGTTTTGTGATGTCACTATACAAATAGTTCTTAATAAACCAGCAATTCAGCTTACGAGAGAAACCATATGCAGTCAATTACAAGCAATTCAACCTCTTACTTCAGCTCTTTTCATCTTACTTTTTTTTTTAAATTTTGCCATAGTTTTGTCAAAAGGCTGTTATGTATAAAAACATTTTTTTAGTAAAAATCTGACCTTTGCAAAGCCCTTGTAGATGTAAAGGGTAGTCAATTCTGCTTCTCTTTCAACCCACATGCATTTTGCTGGAGAAGAAGTAGGTAAGTTTCAGATCTTGACAATGAGGCTCTCTGAAAACTTCAGATGAATACGTAGACTGAGTGAATGCCGCCATTAACCTGGAGCTGTCACGGCTTTGACAGATGATAGAAGCCCACCTTTCTGACTTTATGCTGCAGTCAGAAAAACAGTCTAGCTGCTTAGTTGTAAGGAGAAAAATCACCAATTAAGCTTGACTTGCAAACAGCTTTAAGGTGATTGCTTGTGCAAATTAACAAAACAGATAAATATTTAAACTCACAAAACAATTGCTTTGGCTTTTTGCAATGATGATTAACATAGTACTTTCTAAACAGGCGTGCAAACCTTTGAATGATGATTCAACTCACCTCAAGTGTCTAGCAATGTTCAAATGTAATTTGCATCTAAATGTATTTTTTCTCAAGATTTGCTGTGTCTCCTCGCTGTTCAGAAAAGGAAACAAAAACATTTCTACTTGATTTGTATGAAGGGGTAAGACAAAAGAAAATGGTGGGTGCATTCATCAAATATGGCAATTTGCTTAATGAACTCTGACAAAGCCATTGGCGGTCTTTATTTAGATGCAGATGACTTCCTCCATACTGGCTTCCTCTGTCACCGTTACAGGCGCCTGTCAGAGCAAAAAAAAAGACGGAAGCTCCCTCCTGCTTTTACAGATTGACAGTTAATCACCACCACTGTCTGTTAGTATATGAGACTGGCTTGAAATGCAACCTCCCATAGCTCACAATGTTTCCCATTCAGCTGGTATAAAATCTCTATTAGTACAGAAAAAAGACAGAAAAGCACCTCTCATCTGAATTACAGCGCTCGTATGAAGATACATGGTCTTGGTTGCTATAGGGCAGAAAGATTTAGAGGGTTGGCTGCAGTAAATATTGACTCAAAGTGTGTCTTATGCTCAGCACAGCACTATTCAGAAGCATAGCTGCCACTCCAAACACAGTTGGTGAGACACAGTGAGGAAATGGTGTTTCTAATTCTTTCACTTCAACAGTACTTGATATTATACGCCCTGACTGGATGCCAGCAAATCAGCCTACTCTGTATTCAATTGCTGTATTGCTTACGTGAAAGTTTTAGGCCTGGAGGAGCTGATAAGAATGCAAGCAGCATACAGACGGCCCAGGACTTTTTGGCTTTTAAAAACTCTTAGCCTGCGCTGTAACATGGGTATTCACCTATTAGTCACACTACTTAGTTCAATGGCAACAAATCATGCACATGCAAAATGATAAATGTTTCTTCAATAAGCTCATCTCGTTTGTCACAGTGTCATTATCTACAAATAAAATTGTCCATCAGTTTGGACTTAAGAATTGCAGTTGAATGTAACCATGAATGACTACATGTATGGCAGAGTGCACTGTGACAACAGCTGCTCTTCTTTTCGTCTCAAATGTTAAGATTTCACAATAAAAAAAAGAATGTTTGTTTCAAAAAATACATTTGCGCTTTGTGAAACTGTGAAGACGCCGAAGCTACTGCGAGGTTTTAGATAATTACATTTTCCTTTGCAGACTATAACACTACTATCACGTGTTTCTAAGGTGTTCAGTTTGACAAAGCTATATGTTCAAAAATGCTTGTGAAGAGGCAGAATTTGGTGTAATGGCACATAACACATGCTTTTGGCTAAACATCAAATGCAAGCTGATAGGTAGGCATCCCATTTCTGCATTCTCATTGTGAGACCGCCACATTTAGGAAAAAATGTACTTGTTATTTTGTGAAACTGGGCAACATGGTCTTATGCCATATGAAAAATATTTTTTAGAGGACTGAAAACCTTAACAGCATCATAGCAACAGAGCAGTCAAAGGGCTCATCCTGACCTTCTTCTGCCGCTGAAAGTGCAGATAATGGGTGTATGAGCATCACGACTGTCTGATGGTTGATTGTGTGGTGAATTGATGAATCACAGTGCATTGGGCGACTGGGTGTAGGAGAAGGGCTGCTGAAGTCTAGGCTTTTGGCAGGTCTTGTGGATTCTTTTATTGTTATTTCAACTGGGGGTTTTAATACTGTAGCTCTAACATAACAAGAATTCTCATAATTCTACGCAGATTACTATACAGTTTTAAATAGTTTGTTTTTATGTCCCACAGCAAAAATAGAATATACAAGAAGAAATTAAGATACTTGTTTTTCTCACAAAATAGGAAAACACGAAAGACCGACTGGGATTTCGTACATTTTCTGAATAATTAGGCTGAGCACATGTGGGCCTTGGCTTTCAGGCAGTGGAATGAAGACTTTTCTCAAAAATAAACATAACTAATGGAGTTTTTCTTTAATGAGGCATAAACGTGACTTCTGTGCTTAAGATTGCTGATGGAAATTAATCTCCAAAGTTATGGAAACTCTAGATTTACCATTTCTCATCACCTAGAAGATATTAATGGCAGCTCACAAGGGAAGGCGTTAAATATATAGATTTTTTTCCTTTCCTAAGAACCACAGTGGGACCTTATGAGGGTCTCGTGAGAGACTGGGGTAAGGCTTGAACATTAAATGGAACCCTCTATCATCAGTATGGAAACCAGATTCAAAGGGAGACCTTCAAAGCCTGCCATACAAAGGGCCTGTAGCAGAGACTCAGACATCATGCATCAGGAGGGCATAGAAAGAGTTTCTCTGAATTCTGATGAGGGTCACTGGTGAAGAACTGATGGATTTAAGGTAGTTTGTTTGATGTGTAGAGACACAGTGTTTTGAGGCCAAGATAAAAAAAAAGACTAAAAATGGCCGATTACTCAGAAGTTAGTCATTATCTATATGAGGGATGAAGACTCGTCTGACAGTATGTTAAAACCAATTGTTACTATTTGTTGACGAATTTGTGAAAAAGAAAGGCACAACCTCTGAGCTTGATTATTTGCTATCTCTGTAACATGTGTGTATTAATTTCTCCTACTGACACATTCCATATTGAGTTCACAGCCAGAAGAGACAGTAACGTATTCTAAAAGAATCCTTCTGCTCTACACTGCCATTGCTGTCATTAATGGCATAATGACGAATAGGTCAGTGGCTGAATGGGGCACATATGACAAAGGCATCAAATCAGGGTTGTTTATTGGCTTGATAGACCAAAAACAATTACTTTCCTGCATCACACTGATGAAATCTAACACGGAAACACAGGACAGTGCATAACGCAGTTAGTGAATCTTGTTTATACAGGCAAGGGCTTTTACAGCACATTGTTACAGCTGCTGTGATGGAGGGAGGTGATTGTTGTTCCCATCTGGACACATGATGAACTCCAAGAGAGACACGGGGTTACACATACAAACATGTCACAGAGCACAGCTGACAGGGAGCAAATTAAACTGCACAGGAGGGATAAGATACAAACTCTGTACAATTATTTTATTCTTTGTCTTTTATAGTATGTCTTTTTTTAAATTCACATCCCATTTATTGTTTCAGCTTAATGGGATTCAACTTTTTACAAAATGACTCCAGTTTTGACAGTTGTTATAAAGGGGTTCACTTTGTCAGTGAAAAAGCTGTGGAGCTGAACTATTAAAGTGCAACATTTCATTGAAATTCATGTGGGAAGAGCATCCAAGAGCTCTGATTTCTTTGGAGGATGTATTTCACTTTCAAATGAAATGTTACACTTGAAGGGCACCCTCTAAGGCATCAGGACAGCACAAAGTGGATAAGAGAGAGGTCCAATGTTTTTTTCTTTTAAAACGTATTTCTTATGTTTTTTTTGTATTTGAAATGCTGTTGTTGCCTTAAACTTGTGCAAAAATGCATTGTTTTAATGTTTAACTGTGGGACTCCTTCTGAGCTCTGACTGTGCAAACATTCACATGCACATCAGGAAAATCATCAGCTCCAAACGTGTGAACATAAACAATAATTACCTTGTATGCAGGTGATGTTTGAAATTACTTTCTCTTGCACCGAAAATGCTTCTAATGATAATAACATGGTTCCATTGTTTTCGTTTTTGTTCCTTTTTTTTATAATATCAATAACTATCACCTTCAATTTGTTTAGCAATGCACCCAGCATTGTGGAAAAATAATCAAACATCTATTAGGACAATCTCATCAAGTAGGGGGATAAAACTGATTTATTTGATTGTCAACTAATTTTAACAATAACAGAAAAAAAAACTAAAGAATAAACTCTACTGCTGACATAGAAAATGTGGAATTGATCATTTGGCAGATCAGAAAGCAAAAACTGGCAGGACCAGAGTGCATTACACTAGAAACATTGCATTTTAAGTATTTCTTTTTTAATTAAATTCAAGATAGATAAAGAGGCTTTAGATGGTTTGACAACAGGGACCCCTGGCGGACACAGAGTTTTTCCTCGATGTGTAAAATTGGGAAGGAAAGATGAAAGCGAGAGCAGAAAAAAAAAGAGTTTGAGCTCCCACACTGAGTCACTGCACCATTAACCTGTCAGCCAGAGACTACAAAGGGCCTGACATTAATTCAGCGTGAAAACACCGGCCAACCACTTTGCTTCTTTGGGACTGCACAAGATTCCCTATGTCCCCGGAAAGCGGATGAAGGTGTTGCTTAGCAACCTGTGGACCAAACAAGCTTAAGGGGATCGTTAGCATTTTAGCTAGCCTGGTTAAACAAAGTAACCAAGAACCACTGTCTGTATATCGTTAGTCATTTGATAGTCTTTTAAAATTTATTTCAATAATATAATATAATTCAAGTGTGATATACTTATCAAATGGCGGGAAAAAAGAAAGAGGCGAGTTTACAGGTTTGATTGACAAATGTTTTCTGGACATAAGTATTTTTGTACTGCTTTTATTAGACCTCTTTATATGATGCTTATTTGTTGTTCAGGCCTCTGTCACAAACCAAGAACAATGGGAAGAGATGCTCTCTATCAAAGGTTTAACAGGTGAGATTCAATTCTATTCAGAGAGCTCTTTGCAAAGAGAGGATATCAATTCGACATACGAAAAGTTAGAGTTAAAGTTAGATGGTTTATAACAGTGAGAAAGGGGAAGTATTAGTGTATAAGTTTTGACCCATCCACCTGCTCAGGGTGTGATGCTTCACATAAAGAACATTGAACCAAACAGGATAGCCACAAAAACAAAACACCAGAAAAACATCACACCTGCAATCAGATCCTCATTTTTTCCCCATAACACATTATCTAAAAATAGTATGGCATGCAACATTGTGATTGCTATTTGTTGTATTCTGCTGCCCCACTGTGTTCAGAGGAATAACAGCAGCAATAATTCTTGCACCAGCCCTCTTATCTGACCTTATACTTCTCGTTCATGCACACAAACACACTCGCTGTTGTGGTTTTTGCAGTTGTTGATGTGTACCAGCAGTGGTGTGGCCCCTGTCGAGCTGTGGTTAGTCTCCTGCGAAAAATCAAAAATGAACTGGCCGATGACCTTCTACATTTTGCCACAGTAAGCTGAGAGTTATCTTCATATTTTAAGAATAATCCAAAATTTGGAAACGCTCTTGACTATTGTGTGCTGTGTGTGTATGTAGGCTGAGGCTGACAGCATTGATGCCTTGGAGAGATATCGGGGTAAATGTGAACCCACCTTCCTTTTGTACGGGGTAAGTCTGTGTCTAAGAAAGTAGTTTGGGCTTTAAATGTGTATGTTCACAGCTCAGTTTGAGCTGTCAGGTATTCAACTTTGTATGAAACTGATATAAAGGGTTCCTGTTATTTTCCTATTTGTGTTTTTTTGGAGCTATTTTGAGGGCTAAAAAAGCAAAATGCTGGGTTTTTCGTGTTGTGGGTGTGGTCTTTGTGGTTAATCTGTGTCTCACAACCTGATTAATTGAATTGAAAATTGCAAACATGACCAGGCCTGTGTTGAATGAGCAGGGTGGGGAGCTGGTGGGTGTCCTGCGAGGGGCCAATGCTCCAATGCTCCAGAGGATGATTGTGGAGGAGCTGGCAAAAGAGAAGCTGGTTCTGGAGCAAGGAGGTGGACGCAAAGTGGTAAGCTGAGCAATGCATGAAGATGTTCCTGATAACAACCCTACGATGAATGAGTTAATTATTTTTGTCTTTTATTTCTGAATGTGTCTGATAGTGTATTAATATTTCACTCCCTTACCCTTTGTCTCCGGTGATTGGGCCAGTGGTTGTTCTAGCTGTAGTCAATATGTTTTTGTTTTATCCAGTCATGTTTGGGTAACTATATTTCATCAGTGATTATCAAATCTGTCAGGTCAAAGATGTGGGTTTGTTGGATGATGAGAGCAAAGAAGAGGAGGAACCAGATCAACAGAAAATCGAGGAAAGCTTGATTGGTACTGTGGAGACAATCAACATAATGTATAGTCAGTCTATTTTAGTGACAGCATGCTTTGTACCGCTGATCCTACATCTCCTCTTCTCCTGCAGTTCCTTCAAGTAAATCCTACACAGTTGCTATCATTAAACCAGATGCCGTTGCTCATGGCAAGGCAAACGAAATCATTATGAAGGTATATGGAGGCTAAAATTGTTCTCATTCTGAAAAGAAAAGATTATCTCTCAAGCCTTCCCACCTACATTAATGCATCCTGTTGACGTCACTCCTAACGGCTAGGTTCAGGATGCTGGATTCGAGATCCTTGCACACGAGGAGCGCACACTGACTGAGGCTGAAGCTCGGGATTTTTACCAACACAAAGCAGCAGAGGTGTGGTATAGTGACTGAAAATGAAATGAACAATCTTAGAATAGGTGAGAAAGACACATTAGTAATCACACAGTGAGATCAAACAGATACAGAGCCACTTATATTCAAAATGAGAAGCAGTGTGAACGTTTTCACTGTCTTTGTAATGCAATTGACATCTGCATGTAAACATGGGATTAAATTGGAAGTGCTTTGTATGCATTTATTTTCTTTTTTTGCTTGTTGAGCAGTTTCTGGTGAGACCAGTGACACTTAATTGTTTGAAATTAATACATTCAGAGCACATGAGAAAATACGAGCAGGAAAAAAAGGCTACTGATTAAATTTATTTTTCAATGTTTTAATTTTTAATTGTATTAATGTATGTAATTGTATGTTATGTTGGTTTTCAGGCCTGCTTTGAGGACTTGGTGCAATTTATGTCCAGCGGTCCTTCCCATATTCTGGTGCTCTCTCATATAAATGGCTCAGGCAGCGTGATACCAGCTTGGCGCGAGTTCATTGGCCCAGCTGACATAGAGGCAGCCAGGGCAGAAAGGCCAGAAAGGTTAGTTATTGGACATTATCAAAATCATCCAGGTAGGAAAGGAGCTGAAAAATGTTCAAATGATCTTTCCTGTCTTTGCAAGGAAAACATAAAAGCAATAAAATCACAGACGTTAATGTCTGCACTGTTGTAATGGTAGGAATCAGTGTCACTTCAGAGTCTAGAACAGGCAATGAACAGCTCATTCTTTCTTGCTTGATCAGACACACCCAAACATTATGCCTCTCTTTGGTTGAGCACCAGCCGTGCAACCATCTGGTTTTCTCTTCTTCCTCCCCCAACGGCTTCCTGCAGCTTGCGGGCACAATACGGCACAGAGACACTGTTCAACGCAGTGCACGGTAGTGAGGACAGCAACCAGGCCAGCAGGGAGCTCGCCTTCTTCTTCCCCAACTTTAGGAGGGCATCGGTAACAGAGCAGGATGGGGAGGAAGAGCCTGTGGAGAGGACACTGGCTCTTATCCGGCCCAACATTGCCAGGGAGAACAGAGGTGGGGCGCAAGCCAAACGCATAAGCACAAATGCACACGTGTGCAAATGCGGATAAACACGCTTCCTTTTTCTCATAGCGGGAATTTTATCTTGACTCACTCTGGAGAGATATTTTTTGATGAGGTGCAGAATATATTCAGCCTAGAGCCATCTCTAGTAATTCTGTGCTCTGCAAGGCAGACAGAATGAACACACTTAATTAAATATGGCAGCTTTAGAGCGTAATGGCCAGCTAAATTATAATAATTCATCAAATATCTGTTGTTTTGCAGAGGAAATCTTGGCCCAGATTCATAAGTCAGGCTTCATTATCGCCCTCAAAAAAGAGATGATGTTGTCAGAGGAACAGGTCAGACAGTTTTACTCCCACCATGTTGATGAAGACTACTTCCCTGCTCTGCTGCAAAGCATGACAAGGTAATTTTGACCCACTTCTATTATTCACTTGAAGTTGGCTGCTGCAGAATCTTATTCTCCATGTCTGTAATCGTAGTGGGCCAGTGGTAGCTTTGGCTCTTGCCAGAAAAGAGGCTGTCTATCACTGGAAGAGCATACTTGGTCCTCCTAACCTTGATAAGGCCAGAGAAGAAAGTCCTGAGTGGTGAGTGATGAGTTATCTTCTTCCAGCAGCTAAAAGGAGAGCTGAGGGTCACTGTAGTAGAATTAGCTGTTGAAAGGCAGTGGACTTTTCCCCGGTAATCTATGTGACAGCTTGTTCAATGAAGCTCCTCCTCTCTGTTTCACCTTGTCACATTTTGTTAAAGAAGAGAACATGTCTTATTTCTTCTTCTTTCCCCTCATACTCAGTCTAAGGGCCCAGTTTGCTGTGGAGGACACACCCATCAACCAGCTTCATGGTAGCTCGAGCCCTGAGGATGCCGAACGAGAAATCAACTTTTTCTTTCCTAAACAACGGACGATGGCAGTAATAAAACCTGATGCAATGGAAGAACACAAAGGTCTGTCCTGATCTGTTGGAACCGTATAAAATGTTCATTTTCATTAGGTTTTATTGATTTAGATCCTCTATCGGTTTTAATCATTTTTACTCCCCTGCCTTTAACAGGGGTGATTTTGGAAGAAATCCACGGGAGAGGTTTTTCAGTAACACAGCTGAAAGAAATGGTGCTTTCAAGGGAAATGGCTGAGGAGTTTTACAAAGAGCACAGAGAGAAGCCTTTCTTCAATCAGCTGGTGGAATTCATGTGCCGGTTAGTCTGCCCCTGCATGCAGCCACCAGAGAAGGGCAAACGGACGACACAGGACTTGCTCCCATTCCTCTGCAAGTTTTATCTGCACTCTCAACTGTAATGTCTGAAGCTTAGACACTATGCAGCCTCAGGCCAGAGGCCTTGAAGTCCATCTCAGTTTCATTCTTTGTTCAATCATACATCTAGATTCTCTCACTCCAATTAGCCCCTTCACGAGGCTGTTACACAACCATTTGGGCAAAGTGTAGAGAGAGGAATGGATCAGCATGAAACTGTACATTAATAGCAGCTTAGCTTTAGCTGTGATTGTAGTTGTACATGTTGAGTTTTTGAGATTGTAAACACCGTTTACTGTGACATCCACAAATATGGGATAAGGCTCTATCCTGCAAAGAAGAAGGCACATGTGAATGTGACCTAAACCGGTTTGCATGTTGGATATTAAACATGATCCCCAATTGTGTGCTTCAGGGGACCCTGTATGATACTCGTCCTGACCAAAGAAAATGCAGTGGAGGAGTGGAGGGCCATGATGGGGCCCACCGACCCCGAGAAAGCAAAGGAAAAGTCTCCAAAGTCTCTGAGGGCGCGCTTTGCTGCCGACATCCTCCACAACACAGTGCATGGCTCCTCCAGTGAGCAGCATGCAGATGAGAAGATAGGTTTTATTTTTGGTGACATTGGGGGAGACGCAGAACTCTCTGGTGACAAAACCATTTCAGGTAATCATATGATATGCGTGACCGTCATTTCCATCTGTCACACCACATGACTTTAATGTGAGTGACAATTTTCCCTGATGTTTTCTGGCGTTCGATGGTTCTTCATGCAAGGAACAGCATTCCTGTAAGCAATGTTTTATGACATAAGTTATGCAAGCTTGGTTTTAAATTAAAACATCTATTTATTTCAGCAAAACGGCAAGACAGTTCTGCAGATGAAAACATGGAAATGTCAAGCTCTTCACCCAAGGAAATTTCAACTACCGGTAATTATTATGAAATTGAAGGTATGACTGTTACTAAATGGATTCAATTTTATGAACACTTTTGTTATTAAGAAGGACAAGTGACAGCAGTTTCTGGTAGTTCTCCTTTTGTTCTAATATAATCAAAGGAACAGACACATCAACAGAAGCTGAAAGGTGTAAACCAATTAAAGGTCTGTTAGCCTGAGATAGCTTTTCATTAGAACTTTTTGTAGGATTACAAGAAAGATAAATCCACAGAGGAATGTTCCTGGTTCAGCTGGCTCCTTTCTATAGGTTTCCCAAAATATGCATGTTGGGGTAATTGGAGATTTTAAATTGAGTTTGGTGAGTCAGATTTTTTTTATCTAATTTGTTTGTGTTTGTGCCTTGATGGATACTTATTTCAAGGCCATTGTTTTTATTTTTGGAATAGTAAAAGATGATCTCTGGACTGTAATCTCTCATAAAAAAATATGCAAATGGTTTATCCTTAATTGTATGCCTACTGAAAATGATCTTTTTTAAGCTTTACTAAAGGCTGTATTTTTTTGGGTGAAAGGGTAATTCAAAGGAATTGATTGGTTGCCGTCTCTATAGAATCACTTAAGTATCTATTTGTCACTAAGTGGAGAACGAAGTTAAACTTGGTGAAATCTGGGGAAAACCAGAGTAGAAATGTGCTTCCCTTCCTGATGATCCTATTCCATTGATATCTCAAGATGATCTGATTATAAAACCTTGCACACATCCTGATTAAAATTGAACAACACTTTACAGTAGAGTGAATCTTTTAAGCTGCTGTTAGTTTGCCAGCAACATTCAAAGGGATTAACTTTGTCTTCCTTTATTTTGTAGATGATCCCCATAATTCGAATCCCCGCAGCCCGCTAATGGGAGGAAATGATGATCTTAACCACTCAGACTGAATTCTCCAGTACTGACATGTATAATCATGGGAACACGGTGCTATTGTTTCATGAATCATGCAGTAAGCAGGGCCGATATGTCACACGTAGCGCCTTCTGTGGGAAGTGCTGAAAAGTAATAAATACACTGTTGTAGTATGTTTAAATAGAAATCAAAGTACGGTACTCTTCATACAACTGGTTTGATGTCTGTGTTGTTTAATACTTCTGATCCACACAACGCTTTGGTACTGTCTTTGCCCCAGAGCAAAATGTGGGGATTAATGCAGAGAAATCTGTCTTTAAAAAACACTTTCCTGTTTCCTTAATGGTGTTAAGATACATTACCAATAAAAAAAAATTAAAAAGAGGACTAGCTAGTGTAGCGTATCTGTGTTTCTGAGGAAAACGGCATCTGATGAAGGGGATGTTCAACCTGGTGAATCAGCTGATGCGGAATTCATGAGTTCAGCTGAAAAGCCGTTTCTGCTGGAGCTGCAGTTACCATTTAACCAAACTTACCCCAAACTGAGACACATTTATTTACTTACATTTATTAGGAAAAGAAAATAAACAAACTGTCATTTTTGTCATTCTATTGAGGTGTTTAACTGATTCAGTCATGATATGATGACTACATGAAGCCAAATGATGAAACATACAGCTTTTAAAAGCACCATTCTTAGAGTCATCTGCTGAAATAGTCTTTCAGGTTCATTTTGCTGGTGCCTTTGGCAGCCTTGGTGTCATGGCATTGAGCCGGCGTGTTTCCGGATGGAGCGTCCTCCCAGTCCTTTGCAGCTTCCATCAAGATGGCTTCATCCAGGTCCTCATCTGCTGAGAAAGATCTCTGGAACATCTCCATGATGCTCCTCTGATTAGGATCCTAGAGAAATAAAAAGCATCTAATTAAAGACTTGAAATCTCAGTAGATATGGCTAAACTTGTGTGTTTTTTTATGTGTAATGCATGTAAATGAAAGGCAAGAGCACTTAGCAGAACGAGATGTACAGAGTTTACCTTTGAGTGGAAGCTCGCGTTGACAGCGTTATCGGAGAGGTTTGACTCCGACAGACCCACCTTCTCCAGGACATTCATTTTTGCCTGGATCATTGGCCTGGGTCATTACAGGAACAAATTATTTCATTTTGGCAGACACGGTTCAATTCAAAGTTTGTCACAATTTACATATCGGTTACACATTAATTTGCTCCCTTGCTGCCTCGGTTGTGGTCCAGTGACTGAGAAAAGAGCTACACTGATCAATATGGAGAACAGAGCACATCAATAAAAATCCCTGCAGCTCAGTCGTTCAGTATTTCCACCTGAGTGACACGTACCACAGATGGTCATCAGCAGTTCCCTTCGCTACCAGATAGTGAATGTTCACGTTGCTGGTTTGTCCGATGCGATGAACCCTGTCCTCCGCCTGGATGAGAACCTGCAGGATAACAGGACGGAGGAGTTTCACTGTGCCATAGTGTTCCCGTAGGATCCAAAACTACTTGAGAAAAACAATTTATAGGAGCCGAAGCCATTGATCAAGACAACCATTCGCCTAGTGCCGGCTGGAATAAAAGGTATTCATTTTTTTGAGGAAGAGAAGCTCAGCACAAACCAAATGATTTTTTTAATGGATTCGTTTCTCTTTCAAACACAGTTTTTGAATGCTCCTGCCAGGTAACACTGTGATGGTGGGAAAAGCCTTTCTCAGACACACATAGAGTCAGCCCACATAAAAAAAGTGTTTCTAGAGTATTTTTTTCACCAAACCAATAGAAAGTATCAATAACAAGTGGCTGCAATGGTTTCATGGAAGTAAATAGCTTTTTCCAGCTTATTTCAGACTGGATTGATTATTATGATGATATGAACAGATACATATTGATAGTTTTGTAATTCAAGTGAATTGGTTGGTTGATATCTTAAAAATAAGTTTTAGTAACAGTTGTAAATGTTAGGTAGATCTTAAATTAATATATTTAATCCATGACCAGAAACTTTGCAAAGTCAGAAAAAAAGATTCTTTGCAGGTAATTATTGCCCCAGTTTTTGTTGCAATGTAAACTTCTCATATAAGGAAAGCACAGCACTACCTTGACCCCTGCTGGACGCGTGCCAGGAGAAAGCTCCGGCTGCCCAAAACTTGGCCATTGGGCAATTATACTGCTATGCAAAATGCAGACCAAAACTTATTAGTGCAAAAGTGGTCAATACCAGCCTCTCGGGTAAAGGATGTAATTGCTTTTCTCACAGAAGCCTCTGATGTTTGCAGATGTGATTATAAAAGAATCAAATGAGAAAGCTTAGATTTCCAACCAGTCCTCTCATATGCACCATTTTTATTAAAAGGAATACTTAGAAAAAGAAAGACTTGGTTGTTGCTTGTCTAAACATTTCTAACATGTTTGAGATAAAGAGTATGTATCTTAGACAAGAGTTCTAAAGATGTTAAAACTGAGTTAAAACAAAGAGCACAGAGGATTTCCCGGACTTACCCCGGGGTTCCAGAAAAGCTCAGCAAAGACCACCAGGTCTGCGGCGTGCAGGGTGATCCCCATGTTGGCTGCCGTGATGGACAGAACTGCCACGCAGCTCTTAGCTGAGAACTGAAACTTCTCGCACAGCTGCTGTCGCTCCGCAGACGGAGTCGCCCCATCGATGCGGATAAAGTTCACGCTCTGGTGGGGAAAATGGCCAAACTTCAACCTTCCTCTTGAATCAGCCTCTTGGAAACAACTTTTTTTACGAGGTAAATTCAAATAACTCAAGAGCCAAACAACGTATCTTACAAAACATGCAACATTAGGTCCCGGGAGTTAAAGGATTTGATTAACTGATGCAACAAACAAACCACTTCGGCTTTACAGGAGCATATCGGACCTTTTTCACCAGTTCAGAGGTGATATGATCCAGGACTAACTTATGATGGGCAAACACGAGGAACTTCTCCCTCCCACACTCCAGCATGTCTGTGATGTACTCCCTGACGAGAACAGACAAACAAGCAGGACTATTTCACACCAAGACGGCGGAAAATTGACTCCTCATATCAAGTATTGGGGTTTTTCAGCTTTCTGACAAAAGACTCACTTTCCATGTTAATGTACGGACTCATCAGACGTGAGCCGTGTCCACTAGCTGATCTCCATCATGAGCGGGTCTGTACTTACATAATGGCTTGTAGCTTGGCTTCAGCAGTGTGGTTATAAAATACGAGCAGGGCCTCCTTCTCCTCTGTTTTCTGAAAAAAAAGATAAGGAACGGAGCGAGATAAGAACTGACAGCGGATTCTGTTTGATGATTCGATAGGACTGCCATTACGCTGATGAGCGGTGCGATTTTGCACAATCATGCTCGGCGAGGCTGGACGGGAGGACTCCTAGTGGATTAAGACTGACTCCCTCATGTGAATAGAAAAAAACAGGGATCTGATTTCCTTCAGAAATATTAACGGTTATGGCGTTTTAGTCACAGAGCTTTGATTCTAAGCAGCACATACTGTTTAGGTACAAATAATTGGGCCCCGAAATATTTAGACACATGTTTTGCGAGGCTCCTTTGCTCGTTTAGTATTTTACCAAATCATATTAAAATTGCAGTTATATAATGAAAATGGGCTTAAAATACAGACTGTCATATTTAATTTGAAGCCTTTTGTTCAGGCAAAGGTTTACAGCTTTAAATAGGTTGAACCCCCCACCCCCCCTTTTTTTTTTTTTTTTTTAAAGGAGCATAAATAAAAGTGGATGACTAAATCTAACGCTGTTTCGCTAACAGCTGCGAGCTATTTCGTTACCACTTCTTCATCCTTTAGGCAAGTTAAAGGTCTATAGTTGATTTGAAGTGTGGCATTTCTGAGCTGTTGTGTTCAGAACCTTGTCAAAAGCCACGACTGCTAATAACGGTGAAAAATGTAGTGGAAATTTGACTTCTCTTCGGACTGTGGGGTGATTTGGGAGGTTGAGAAGAAGAAAAATGAATCCCTGGAAGCAGAACTTGTCTGTAACTGTGATGACCTACGTTGCGGTGATCCTTGGACAACATGGTGGCGGCGGCTGAGAGAGCAGCTTTTATGCGCGTGTTGATGCCGTCGATGGTGATTGTGACCACTTTACGCTGTTTAGCAGGAAGCTGGGAAAGGACCTCCGATTTGAGGCGCCGCAACATCAAACTCTCCTCCAAGAGCAGCTTCAACTCTCCAAGATTGGATGAGCCCGTGTAGTCCCAGCCCCAAGTGCTCTGCAGCCCAGAGAGGCAGAGGAGGAGGTTCAAATGAGACCATGTTCATGGGGAGTAACGGACTGATGGGCAATAACACAAAGAAGAAGTTACATTTTCATGTCACATTTGATGACAAAAGTGTCTTTTAAACCATGTAGTTTCCAACTTGATCCTACAAGTTGACGTTCTGTATCATGAGTATACCTAAAGACACCTGCTCTAAAACATTTCTAAATGTGCAAACAATGCAATAAACAGTTCATCCGATGATGTTTTAGTTTTCCATTGATGGACAACTAATGATAACAAGCCAGTATGTAGAGAACCAAACATGTTAAAATAACACAAAAAGAAAAAAAAGGCTTTTCGGAAAACCACGACCGTTGTTGCTCCAGAATTTAATGTGGCTCCTTTAAGAGGATGTAAGTGGCCATAGCAGAGTAATAAAAAACAAATGGATTCTACTGCCACTCGAATGGATAATAAAGTACACACTGAACTGATACATGTGAGCTTTATAGGGCAATCATTTTACCAGCCTAATTCTACTGAAAACGTACTGACGAAAACTTAGTAGATACACTCCCGAATGAACTGTAAACTATCCAGGATGAGCAAGACACACAAATAAATGTCAGTTCATCCTAACCTTAAAAGTCTTCAAACATGCTTGCGTAATTACAACTGAACTCTTGATGCAACACACCTCTCTGCCAGCACAATAGCGCAGACCAAACTCATGGAAGCGGGGGAAGAGTGTCGGCCTGACAGCCAGAATCTGGGTGTAGAGCTCACTGGGCCTGGACATTGCTGGTGTTCCAGACAGAAGAATCACCCTCTTTGCTGCCTGAGGGTGAAAAAACAAACCCCAGAAAAGCCTCTGTTTAGACCACTGCTGTTTGTTTCTGATCGCTTGAGTGTCTGGATCTTCGGTTTTACGGCAACAAATGCAAAGATTTTCATCGTCACCTTCAGCAGAGGCAAGGCTGCTTTACATCGAGCCGTCTTCATGTTCTTCATAAAGTGAGACTCATCCTGCACAGAATGGCACAAAAGTATTTCAAAAACATACATACATGTATATGAAGCAAAATGAAGAAAGAAAAAAAGAAAAATCACAGATCGGCTAAATTTAAATCAAGAGAATGCAATGAACGGCTCACCATAATGAGAACTTTGAAGGGGTTTCCTGTGTGCTGCTTGTCTATCCTGCTCAGCAGGTCGTAGCTGATGATGTTGACTAAGCCAGATCGCAGGTTGTCTTTGGCCTTTACAACCACATTGACGCTGTCAGGAGTCAGAGACGGAAGCCAGCGCCTGAAGGCCTGAAGGCATGAATAATTAAACATAACCTATCTGGATTTCATTCTCTCCCACCACTGAGTCCACACTGATTTCTATGATTTCTGTTTGAAATGCATTGACAACCTGGCTTGTTAAAAAAAATAAAAAATGTAACAGCACAAGCTTACTAATGACACCATGTTCCCGACAGCTCATCTTTGCTATTTGCTTTTCAACCTGGTTCAAAACCATGAGAGTATAACTCCCATAGGTCGTTGTAGATGTGGCCAAAAGTCAAGACTAAGAGCGCAGATAAGAGTGCCTGACAAAGAAAATTTACTATTTAATGGGACAGACTGTGTCGAAAACCCTCAACCATTTCAACTCTTGGTTGAAGGGTGACATTTGATTCATGATGTCTATGTGGGGAGCAGACCATCTTGTCACTTAGGAAGATTCTACCATGCATCGGTCTGCAAAACTATGTGGAAAACCGAAGCACTGAAAGTGCAGAAGAGGGGGCTGTTCAAACTAGCAACCCTCTAATAGAAACCCAGCTTTCTTCCTCCCGAACCACTTCTCTTAGTCTCTTAATTACAGACAATCAGATACACATGAATCCATTCTCAGGGATGAGTTGTCCTTACAGAATGACTTTGCTGTGTATTTTTACCTCGGCCCAGGTGAATCGCACAGAGGACGGAGCCACCACTAATAAAGGCCATTCGTCCCTGTAGTAGGCTGCAATACAGATGGCCTGCACAGTTTTCCCCAGGCCCATGTCATCAGCCAGAAGGAGACGGCCTTGTTTAGACACTGCAAAGCTGCGGGCACGCACAAACTTTAGAGGAAAGTGGCACACAAACACTGGCTCACACTGAGAAGTCCCTCTTAATTTGAACAAGCCTGCGAATATTAAAAACCACATGTTGTCCCCTGGTGTCGAGGCAGTGGCTACGGCGTGCAGAGAGCGCTGCCGGCTGCGCATAGACACCTACTTGACTCCCTCCCTTTGGAAGGGCATGAGGCTGGAGGTGAGTGCGGGGTCGATGCTGGAGAGGTCTGCCTCAGGGACATCTAAAGACCTGGCGCCAGTCCCATCAAACCTGGCAGAAAAAGTCTGGATCACTGCCCTGGGTAAAGGCTCCACCTCCACTGCTGCTAGCCCACTGAGAAAATCCACTGAGGATGGAACGCAGCACCGTCAGACAAGATGGCGAAGAAAAAAAGCAACCGAAGGAAGCACTATGATATTATTATGCTTTTCCTAACTGAGTCTCTTGTAATCCTCAAGCGAAAAGCTCCACTTCCTTGTGTTCATGTCTGCAATGCAAGCAAAGAAGACATAAGTGATTGTACGAGAGGCCTTTAAACATATCAAAAGGAAGCCTCCGTTACCGTAGTTTTTCGTTGGCATTTGCTTAAACGCTCCAATGACGTCCGCGTGGTAAAGGATGTCAACCTCGAACTTTGCCGGAGACACCAGGACGCACTGTCCCCGCAGAGTAGCTCCAGCTTTCTGCCAGCCGCTACACAGCCTCAGCAGCGCCCCCAACGCTGCCCCGTCATGGGGCCGGCTGTGGGCTGCCTCCGTCCCTTCCATCCCCTCCAGAGGCCTCAGAGACACCGAGGCAATGGCGGCTGCCTGCTCCACTGTCGAATGGGGTCAGAAAGAACATCATTCCAAGTGATGCCTTTTAACTGTGCTTGATCATAAAGCTCCTAAGACTATAGGCTAAAGCATTTCCTCTGGAGGCTCATTTGAATATGTGTAATTGTCATACTTAGCAGTGCGTGGTCCTCGAGACTGAAGTTCCATGTTTTTGTAGAAGGATCTAAAGCAGAGAACAGACATTAATTTTGCAAACAATCCCAAATACATTGAGACTGCCATATAAAACCACAGAAAAAAAGAATACATTTATTTTTGAGCATTTTACTGCTGAACAAAGTCATGCTGATTCGTATGAGAAACCAGCGAAAAGCAGTGTGTATTCCCACTTGGTCTCATTTGCATTGCCGGGGATTTTAAACAACGTTCACAAAACCTGACTCTGTCCCTTAGGCAACCCGGGCACACGCTTACCATAGTTCTTTGAGGGGATGGATTTAAAAGCAGCAATGAGCTCAGTGTTGTAGCCCACTTCCACTCTGAAACGCCCGTCTGCGTGAGGCACGCATCTCCCCCGGACCGAGACGGCCGGCTTTTTGGCGGGCGCGGCGCTCAGGGCGCTGGTCTTTGGAGGAGGCTGGGCGGCGGGAGTCTGCTTGTAGAAGGAGCCCGATGAGCCCCCGGAGCTGCTGGAGGTGAGGCCAGCGACGGTCTGAGCCGAGCCACCACCGACGCCTGCCCCGCAGGAGACAACGCTGTTCAGATGCTGATTCGTCTGAAGACTCGAGGCTTGCATCTACAAACAGACACAAAGGGGGTGAAAACCACTTAAAGGACCCACACACCCTCCAGGACAATCCTCACCTGTCTGGATGGAGCAGTGTTATTGAGAGTGCTCTGGTTGACCCGGTCGCTTGTGCTAGAAAGCAACTGATGGTTCGGTTGTTGACTAACTTCGTTGCTGAAGCCCTTGGGCTCTTTTCTAAATGGTGGAACAAACCCTTTTTGGGAAGAAGCTTTGGTTTTAGTGGGGTAAGCGGTGACAGCATGGTCCTGGGAAACGCCCTGTTTAAGGAGCTCCGGATTGCCCTTGGGGACTGTTGACGGCTGCTTACTGGAGCCGACAGTCTGTCCAAGTCTTTGGGCTCTTCTCTCTAAAGCCTTCCGTCTGTTCTCCTCAATCTTTCGCTGTTGCTCGGCAGTCAGCTGATTTGACATGTTGAAAGACTCTCGCTGGGTAGCGGTGAGTTCTATTTAGCACAAACCCAGATGAATGCCAGTCACAAACCGAGACAGCTTCACGAACAGCTACCTGTTCCTAAAACATGCGTTTGGACCCATGTGGTCAAGAGCAAAAACCCTGCAGGACAGACTCCAAACCGCTAACTGTAGCAGCTAATAAAGCTAGCCTGATCCTCAACAGTTAAAAGTCGTTACAAAACTTTCTCCGGAAGTGTTGCTGTGGGGTTACATAAAAGTGCAAATCTGTATTTGTCAGACTGAAAGAATAATTATGTGATCAAAAGAAATCAAGGATTACTGAATTCGATCGAAGACAGGCGAAACATCTGTCGCGAGCTGACAACTTTCCGGCTGGTTCAGTCTGTGCCGCTCAGGAAGTGACGTAGCACAACAAGCCCACGTGCCGTTGGTGGGCTGGCGGTACGCAGAAAAAACCAAAATAAGATTCTATTTTAAATTGCAAAACCGTGTAGTGTTTTATTCTGAAATAATTTTATTTTTTAACAAATAAAAAAAAGTCAAGGGAAAACAGACTGAGCCCTGTCCTGTGTTCAAATATTCATAAAACTATATTACTAATTTTACACTAATATTATAAATTATATAATCTGGATATCTCTCTCTCTCTCTGTCTCTCCTTAAAATGATCAGCTGTTGATGATTATTGTTTCAATATCTGTTCAGTCTGGCACAGCTCTGCACCTGAGATGTGATAGGAGTGCAGTCATTGGCATGCTTCTGCCAGAACAGAAAAGCAGCAGGTGGGAAAGCTCATTGTCTCATTTTATTGTTTGCACTTCATCAAAAGTTCACCCCACGGCCACTGGCTTGATCACAGCCTTATAAGAATTCAGATAAATAAAGGAGCCCAGTGGCTGGCTGATTCAGTGCAGCCACAGGTGTTTTCCTTTCGATTACTCAGTCAGCTTACACAGCTGGCCTGACCAGACAGGTAATTGCTCTCCCTCTGTGCCTGTCTTTTCTTCAGCTCTATCCAAACTGTTCATTTATTCCCCCAGGAAATTAACCAAGCTCTCTGACAAGAGCAGTTTACTCATCTACAAGTGAAATATTGTAGTAATACTCTCAAACATGTCACAGTATTATAGACTTTTTCTGTCTGTGCTTTTGTATCACATTTACATTTAACATGTCTTTAGATCCAAATTCAAACGGCCTGCAGATTATTCTCATTACACTGTCAAATATATATATATATATATATAGTATGTATTAACTAACACAAATATTGAAAAATATGTTAAAACAGCATGACAAATTATAATAGTTATCTGGAATGTGTTCTTTATGCAAAACATGCATTTCTTAAATGATTGAAAGATTTTTTCCAGAGCTTTGAACAAACAAACCTCCACTTTTGGGGAACTGTGAAGGAAAGTGTTTATTGATCGGTTAGAAGGAGCTATTTACTGTAGACGCAACATATTGATGGATCATGCATGACATTAAACAGATTAGAAGAGATCAACCATAAACGAAAAATTATTTTTCAGGACGCATGCATCATTTATAAATATGCTTATATTTGGAGGAGAAATGTAAATAATCTTATGAGGTTATCCATCCTTCTCCCTCTGAACCTCCATCTGGCCTTTGCTGCAGATTGTGCTGCATTCACAATTCCGTAGTGGTAGGAAACTGCTTTTTTTGTGTGTTTTTTTGCTTTCATAGTCATTTCACATATCTTCATCAGTTGCATGGTTTAACCAGCTTTTGTAATGTCATTGCTGATAAAAATCTACAAACAGCAAATTCCTGCATACAAATCACATAAAAACCAGCAACCCATATGTTGCAGATTGCACACAAATACATCTGCAGTCTGTGCCAGTACCAGTGGTGTCTTTGTGGAGTTAAATCGATTGTACAAAAGCTTACTAGGCAAAGTGCATTAAATTAATTCAGTTTAAATTTGTCTGGTTGGAGACGTTAAAAATAGCTGCTTGGAATGTCAGATTTCCCACTGATCAAAAGTACTCAAATTGGGTCTAATTTTTGGGGAGTAATCTGTCTGTGACATTTTAAGCAGTCTGACTCAGCCCTGAAAGGAGCCTGAGACATAAATCATCTCCTCCTTTTGAAAAACGGGGCAAAGAAATTGATGTCACCATTAATTTACTAATCCCTCCTTGTATTCCGGAGACAAGTAATTAACCATGTTCCTGTGTATTTGTCCACAGTTCTAGTAATGAGTTGGCTGCTTGCATCACTGTGCGGTGGTGACGTGTGGCGTCTGGGAGCTGTCCCAGGAATCATGGTGCTGAAGCTGCAGCACCGATTCAGCAGCCAATGATCACAGGAGAATCCGGGGCCACGGATGCTTTCACCCTCCGCAGGACAGTCCGACATTCGCGTTGGATTTTAACGGATGGATTTCTAAAGCCCTCCGCCTGGTCCTCGGACATGGAGATTCGATAACTGGGGATGAGAGCTGCACACAGATTTTCTAAGGACCTGCAGTCTGGCTGAGAATCTAAGAGGGAGGGGAGAAAAAAAAACATGAAAATGTGAACTGTGTAGTAATCGGTTTAGCTCCCCAGGTAAGATAGATTTTGCTTCCCAATGTGGCGCGCCATCGATTGACTTCATTCCCAAATCCTGAAACGTCGACAGCAATCTGTGTTTGGCTGATGTGAAAGACGCAGTTTTCATTGTTGTTGGGATATTTGAATTTTAAGATTGAGCGCTGTAAAATTTGTATTCGTGCAGTTCATTGGGGGACGAACCGATCGGAATCTTTTGCACTCGTTGTGAATCTGGAGGGAAAAGCCTGTGTTTATAGTTTGTGTTGTAGGCAAGGCATATTATTGGGGCCATGCATTGACAGTGGACACGGAGTGAGAAAGCCCACAGCCTCGTCAGGCTACCTGAATGCATTTCCCCCTCAGTCTGACAATTGACTTCCCCCCTTTGATCCCTTTCCGTTATTGAACTTAATGGCTTCAGACACTTGTTTGCATCCATGGGATTTATTCACGCTTTATATTTGCATCCTCATGGAAAGAAAATAAAAGGCACACACATATAATATCGGCCAGCTAAAAAGAATGATCAAAAGCTTCCTTTAACACCCCCATACCCAAAAAAAACAAAACAAAAAAAACGCTGAAAACGCAACCCGTTGCCCACTGCTTTTTTTTTATTTATTTTTTTACAGCATATGAAAAGGTGTTTGCTTATGACTGAGACACAAACAGAAGTCATCGCCCAGCACCTTTGCGCCTTTGTGCTGTGATCCTGTGGTCGGATACCGCCCAATGCTGCGCAGCCGGGGCATGCTGAAGAGCCGCTGCTGCGTCCTGCTGGCTGACCTGAGGGTGCTCCTTCTCGGGCCACCGGCACCGCCGACGCCGCTGCCTCCGCTGACCCCCATGAGCGGCCAGGACTCGGAAAGCCACGATGCCAGCGCCACCGTCCCCGACAACAACAACACCCTAACGCGGAGCCGCCAGCGCGCCGGGGACCGGACCGAGAGCTGCGCGGCCGGAGCCGCCGGACAGCCGGGGGGAGAGCGGTCAGGGGCGGGCTGGGTCAACGCTGCGGAGCTGTCCGCGGCCCTGCGCGGCTGCAGCAGCTCCTCGGATGACTGTTCAAAGGGCAAACTGGAAGAGAGGTTCTCTCTCACCAGCTACACGGAAAGTGGCTTCAGGACCCCCGTTTGCAGGATCTGCTTCCAGGGACCAGAACATGTAAGTCATGGAAAAACGTTCCACTTGTCCAGATTAAACTCTAAAGCCTTTATTGTGCCAAGAAAGGTCCATCCAATCTACTTATTGGTTATAACTCTCTTTCAGAAGAGTGCAACATTGTATTCAAATCCCCAAACTGGTTGCCCCCACCAGAGCATTGGTCTTTTTGTTATCCAGGCAAGCTTGATTGCCATTTAAAAAAGAAGGAAGGCTTGCCTTGTTAGTGCAGCCACACAACCCGAGTGTAGGGGATGCACAGAGATGCTGTAACAACTCATTACAGCCCAGCACATCAAAGCATTATATGCATGAGAAAACCAAATAATTTCCCTCTCTCAGTGGCTCACGCACACAACACGGAAACCGGTAAAAATAAATAAATGAATTATTATAAAAATGTGCACAGAACAAAAGGAAGGAGCCATCAGGTTAATCACATTGCATGCTTCCGCGTTGGGACCATGCTGACGGTAATCACACACTACATCAGTCAGGAGAAGGAAATGCAGAAAGATGGCTACAATAAAAATGTGAAATTATAACAGAGAAGAGGACACTTGGCACTTGGCAGACACATTTGTTACACTGTCTGGCAGAGCTTTTGAGAACACGTTGACAAATATGTCACCCTTCACCAATTGTTAATGGAGGACCAGAGGTTATAAAAAAGTCAAGAAGCAAGAGAACTGAGGTGTGAAAGTTTTTAGCCGACAGCCTGTATTCACTGTTGCTTTTCCTTAAACCCAACAGCAGAGTTACTTTATCATTTCATGGTCACTGCACTGTGTATGGCTTATAATCTCTCTGTGTTTCATCGACTAATTACTCCAACAGCAATTGTGTGCATCAGCCACCCCTGAGCTTAGGCATTGTAATTATTACTGACATGGGGTCTCTTATCATGCTGGAAGCTTAGGCGTCATCGTTGTTTTCTGAGAAACTCCAACAGATAGTCAGCAAATTCTGCAGCGCATACAAAGTACTGCCTTTAAAATCCCACTATTTCCCATGGTCTCCTTCAATGCATCTCATTAATGCCTCCTTGAGACATTGCGGCAAGTCAATAGCACTTGATTTGATCCTGTCTTACCATTATGCATGTTTTTTATCTCTCATCAGCGTTCCTTCTCCTGTCGTCTGTGACTTGTGCGTTTGGGTGGGGTCCAGATATGGATCTGCTGAGGTGTAAATGAGCACAATGAGAATGAGAATGAAGCCCGTTTGAAAAGAGAGACGAGTGGACTCTGTGTGTCTCTGTGTGTTACGGGCTGTGGGGACATTAGTTATCGTCCTTTCTCTCTTAGCCTCCAGGATGTCACATAGACCAAGCCAGCCAGTATCTGATCTGACAGTCCACCTCCAAAACACTTCCATCCCCAAGGCTGAGGTAGTCAAGACAGAGTAAAGAAGGAGGAGAAAAACATAGACTTTCTCAACCATAACACTAGAAAAGGGCCTTGAGTGTCTGAGAGAGGCAACCTTTGGAAGATGATTGTATTTTGATTTAATATGACACCACACAATGAAATAACGGTCTGTAATCAAATCCATGTCAGTGGTTTTTAGTGCCTTTTTGTTTGAGATGATTTTCAAAACTAAAATTCAGCCTTTTAAGAGGACAGGTTTAAATAATTTTTCAAAAATTAGCTGCAATTCTGGGATGCACAAATGCAGATTTTTGTTGGTCACAGTTCCAGAAGAAAGGATATATAATGAATTCTATTTCTTAGTGCAAAACCCTGTTCAAGGAGGGGGAAACAGAGAAATGTCTATTCATTTCAGCTTACTTCGATAATAGTGATCAAATCTAAAGCTATGGCTCTGTTCTGCATCTTTGACTATGAAACCATTATAGATGATGTCACCTTGTGGTCTATGTGCACAGGAAGATTGATTACATTGATCAACAACCATTTTAATGCATGCATATACAGCTGGGGCATGTGTGTTATTTATTGGGATAGACTTGACCTGCAATGTAAAATATAATAAAGGGCGAATATCAGATGAAATGACATAAAATCATGCCTTTTAACTTTATAACATTTTCTTTGTTTTTCACCAAAGTCTCTATGATATTTTTCTATGAGTCATAGTTTAACGCATCATTGGCTCTATTTATCAAAAGATCAGCAATCAGTAGTATTTTTTTGCATGCATACAGTTGCTTAGTTCAGGATTGTACTTACAGGCTCAGCCTAAACTTGATCACACTAGAATGAGAAATTTCCTTGTCTGTTCACCAACACACCTTTATTTGGCCATTCATTTGTTACACGAAGACTGAAATTGTAGCATACAAAGAAGAGCCATGAATTTTACCTATGAGGACAGTTATAAATGAATTATTCCACCGATATTTTTCTTGTGTCTTTTGTTCAGTCAGTGTGCTGAAGATGCAGTTTTCTGCTACTTTGGGAAAAAATAAGTTAACTTCTACTTCTTTATCTTAACACAGATAATGCATTAGCGCGATGTGTAATTCTGAGGCACAGTGAGAGGCCTAGAGGGGTCAAGTGGCATCATTCTTACGATATGGCCCCACTGTGTAGAGGCACTATGCTTTGTGTGTTCCATCATATGCGGGCTGACTGCTTTGCCATTTGTTGTGGAATGGGAGATAAACAAGTTATATAAGCACATTACTTGTTTTTGGCTCTTCTGGAGTCCGCAAACAGGAACTGTGAATTTGTGAAGTTAAATTAAGTTAAATATATATCTATAAAGCTGTTTTTAAGATGACTGCCGTATTGCAGGTTTTTATATGGGAACGTTTGTGGCCTGAATATTATTATTGGCCACCGTAAAAATCGCTTTCATTCAGTTTCTGTGCCATGCACTTTATTATATCACAATTTCCCCTCGGTTAGAGTTAATACATTAAACTTGCATTGATTCCTAACCCTTATGTGAATAGCCAAGTCTGATTTATTTGCCATGCCATTATATATACACTGGGCTGGATCCAATTTTATAAGGCAAATTACTGAGTTGTTTTGGGGCAATGCAGCATGGAGAGATGGAAACCAACAGGCTTGAATATTCAAAACATTGCTCTTCCTTTTTTCTTTTTTCTTTATTTCGTGACTTTCGATGTTTGATCAACAATAGGGTATTTAGTCGCCACTCTCTGTAGGCACTGGCTGTAGTGCCACGTTTGTTATCGGACACTCTTGCTCTCTTCAGCCTCAGTTGTACTAAAGTGATCCAGGTTTCAGCTCTTGGCTGCAGTCAGGGAAGTCACAGTGAGCGGCCTGAGTCCCACTGGACACGACAGAAGTGTTCTGGTGCTCCTGCCAATACACTCCCACCCTGCCATCTGTAGATAGGCTTTTTCTCCCGTAACTCTCTGCGTTTTCCTCTCTTCGCTTCTACCAGGGTGCTGCTCCATCTGTCGGAGATGTTAGCACAATAATGGAGAAATTATTTGGAAACTTACCGCATTTTCCCTTTTTTCAACAATGATTCTGTTCCAGTCTTCTTACTCATTATATATAGAAAAGGTGAATACTGAATTAACTTCAGATAATGATGCCAGAGGTGAGAGATTTCTTACACCAGATAAGATTAGCTGATTATTTTTCCTTTTTTTTCGTCACAGTAAGATTAATGTACCCTGCCATCAAATTAATAGATTTGAGTTTCTTAAGTGCAGGTCAGGACCTAAAATGTTCAGTAGATCTACATCCTTTGGGTCATCATCAATATCCAGCATGATAAGATTAGAAATATATTCTTATGAGCTTTGGGACCATGGTGAAAGATTGTCAAGCTTCCATCTTTTCTTAAAGCTAAATGGGGATTAGGAAGAATGGTTGGTGAAAAATGTTGTTAAGCACGTGTACCATTTCTTTCAAATGATAACTGTGTTATGGCAGATGTAATTATCTCTAAAATGGAACATTTTTCGATAATTTGAATCACAGAATAGGCTAAAATATAGCCAAAATCTTAAAATCTTACAATGGTATTTTGTTTCATGTTGTTCAAGATGTCATACTGCACTACTGCACTGCTGGTCACTTAGTGCCTCTTTAGAATCTAAAACCAGCCCCAAGTTCAGCTACTTTGAGTGTAGCCATGTTTTATTTTAGCTGCTTTACCCCCTGAAGATAGAAACCAAGAGGTTAAACACACAGAACAAGCTTTTCTATTCTGCCAGATCAATCAAATGGTATGTGGTTGTCAACAGTCTGACATAAGGGATTTGAAATGCCCTCAGCAATACTAAGCTCCTGGCAGTGAGTTAAAAAATGTCACTCTAAGATAGAGTGTGTAAAGAAACCATACTTTCTTCAAAGTAAGTACCAAGTCTTATTTAAGTTGTCTTATGAATGATGGAGAAATACAGGAGTCCTAAGTTCAACTGTGTTGCAAAGGAAGAGTGCAAATAGAGAAGGTCGTAAAGCAAATAGAAAAGGAATTGAGGGGACAGTAAAGGATAAAATTCAATTCTATTTCTGTTTGGTCTAAGATCACGGTAATCTGAACTCTGAAATAAGCTATATACCAGCCAGCCACAAAAATCAAGCCACCTGCCCTGCTCACATTATCCAGGACCCCGTCGTTCCGCATTGACTGCTCTGACCCTCTGAAGTATAGAAAAGGGACCCCTGGGGGATGTCCCCTGTTATCTAGCAGCGGATCCTTGGGTGGGTTGCTCTTTGGGGGTCTTTCATCTCCACTTGAGTTCATCTAATTGGGTTCTGGGGAGTTTAGAGGCGATGGACAGAAGTCAAAATTCTCTAGCTGAATGCGATTTTTTTTTTGCTATGCGGCAGGGTACATTGTTCTACTGGAGACCACTTTGGTCATGTTGTGGACCCTGAAGGGGAATTTGGCTGTGGTGAATGATGCATGTCAAAGAAACGTCCACATTAAAGCCAAAACGTACGATGGCCAAGAAGAACATTACATTGTACCCCAGTGATCCATGTTATTGTCTTTACCTTTCAGTGATTTTATTGTTTTGGCTGACTGGGGTATACAAATGCTCATTCACTTACAGAGCTTAAGTGTCAAAGTAACCTGGGTGTAATGTTTGGTAGCTTAGTTGGCGTTCGCTCTTTCACAGGAGCGACACTTATCCTGCAATTTTAATGACTATGTTATCAAGGATTTTGCCCGTCAACAAGGTGTAAGGCAAAGCTTTCATTTCACACCTGAACTGATGCTCTGCTGTAGTAGCTCAGAACAGTGCTGTGTGCTCACCGCGTGTGTGTGTGTGTGTGTGTGTGTGTGTGTGTGTGTGTGTGTGTGTGTGTGTGTGTGTGTGTGTGTGTGTAGCCAACTTGTGCTCAAGAAGCCCCGAAATCAATAAGTCAGTGTGAACAAATATAACTGTAAGTAAAGTGTAACTCAAAGTACTGCATGTAGGAGGGTAAATGTAAGAGGAAACATGATATCAGAAAGCCAGCGATTGTCTGCAGGCCAGTGGTTGCTGCTGGTCAAGATTTCCTCTGAATAATGACAAGTGTTATAAACCCCTTTTAGTTCTGTATATCGAAAGGGTTTAACTATTTTCTGAAATCTGCTGCATGCAATAAAAAAGTGTCCCGGCTGACCAAAGTCTGGCCACCTCTGGCTGTGTGTGTCCTCTGCAGGGGGAGCTGCTGAGCCCGTGCCGCTGCAGTGGGTCAGTTCGCTGCACCCACCAGCCTTGCCTCATCAAATGGATCAGTGAGAGAGGGTCTTGGGCCTGTGAGCTCTGCTACTACAAATATCAAGTCATTGCCATAAGCACGAAGAACCCACTTCAGGTGACTTTAACAAATGTTTTAAGATCTTTTTCGGGAGTATTTAAGTTATATCAAATTCTTGTTTTCATTTCAGGATTTATTTAGGACACAACACCAAAAGCAAAATATCAGGAGTAAAATTATGTAAGGAACAGGGCCAGTTTTCTCTCTGATCATAAGCTCAGCCAGAAAAAACATATTGAATTAAACACATTATTTACCCCTTTGATCTTTAAAACAGAGGGGTTGCAGTTTTCTCACTGTTTTTGCCCTTGGTGGTATGATATCATGATTTGTGATGGGATTCTTTGGGGTTTTTTGCACAAAATTGACATTTGAAAGAGCTATTTATTTTTATATCATAAGTCAAAACAACAACCTGGCTGACCTACAGTGTAAATGCGTCCAGTTACTGCTCTGAGTAAATTGCTGTATCTAGCCATTGTCTGTATCATGTTTAGTTTTGAATTTGTGTTATTGTGTTTTCAGTAAATTTAAAAAGAAATAAAATCGAAAAGCATTAAACTTAGCTTTCCTGTGTCATCTCACAGTGGCAGGCCATTTCCTTGACTGTGATAGAGAAAGTGCAGATAGCAGCAGCCATCTTGGGCTCCCTGTTCCTAATGGCCAGTATCTCCTGGCTGGTGTGGTCATCCTTCAGCCCGTCGGCCCGCTGGCAGCGCCAGGATCTGCTTTTCCAGATCTGCTACGGGATGTATGGCTTCATGGACGTCGTCTGCATTGGTGAGGGGTGAACCAGTTAACCATTTTTTTTCACTTTTTCAATCTGAGAAGCTGTTTACTTTATTTCTAAATTTTCTATGAGTTTGTGCATCTAAAAACTGAGAAAATATAACGTTTTTCTGAGGCTCCTCACGATAATACAATCTAAAATGTCACATGTGCTCCGTCGACAGTTGTTCGTAAATGCCATGAACAGTTTACACCACTGAGGATCGATGCCATCTGTCTATTACTACACCACCCAGTCAGTTCCTTCAAATCAATTTTTAGCGTGTGGAAGTCTACATTGGTCAATGTTTGATTTAATTAGTTTCATAATTTTTTGTCCTATCTATATCAGCATACTTTCTTATCTCAGTTAGTATATTAAGTATGATGAAATTCCATATCAAATGTTGGTTTCTAAATTAGATATAAATGCTGAATGTAAAAAATTCCAATCTTTGGATCAAATCAGTTGCTTTTGAGTCCAGGACAAAAAGCTACATCCTAAAATTCAGGCAAAGTTTTAATCTTACCGTGCACTGTCATAACACCGGAGGCATTTTTGGCAGTTTTCAAGATTTGAGTGGGTGTCTAAAATTAAACGTGTAGCCCCCAAGCTCCAAGCTTGTCATCCTCTTGTGCTTGCGGGCCCACATGTTTTGGATGACCGTATGTCGGCATCCCATATAAAAAAAACTCCTAACTGCCGTCGAAGCAGACGGCGGGATGAGAGGAAGAGGAGATTGATCGTCTGTGGTTTGGTGGTGAGCACTGACTGTGCAGTCATTAACTCGGCACTTTACAGAGATTAACTTGTCACCTGGTAGACATTAAGGAGCCAAGACCTGATTTCCACTTATCTCACAAAGTTAGAGCTGGAGAGACGAGGCTACAGGAGGTTGACAAGATTTATATAAGTAACGGCTTACATCCCGGGACAATGCTGTATAAAACTTTGAATTAGTCATCATATATTTTGTAATTCACTATAGCATACCTTATCTAGATGACTAGTAACACTCAATAATTCTAAGTGCACATATACATATGATATATTTTGAACGCACCATTAAGGCCTCCCAAGATGATGAAAAAACATTTTGGGTGAACTCTTTATGAAAACAGCTCATTTTTATCTGTTTAGTTGAAAAAAACTTTTGGCTAAATGGATTTAAAATCTCTTTTGTAAAAGGGCTTATGACATATCATAATGTTACAAACCAGCTGTTAATGCTATTTGAAAGTGGTACTAATTATGGAAAACCAAGTGCGCTGTACTTCCTTCTACGTGACTTGCATATAAAAAAAAAGTTTAAAATCATGGTGTCATGGTACCAGTTGGTACAGACTGAGTTCAATTTTCCAGATACTGAGTTCTTTAAACATGAATCAATAAGCAATTTTGGACGCAGATAAGATGTTATCGAACAACTGCAGAGAGCAAATGCATCGTTTTTGTTGACCTGAATCCAAAAATGGTGATTGCTGCTCTGTTGTTCCACGGCTTCACTTTATCTAAGAAATAAAGATTTTATCTCTGCATCACGGTGCAGTACTTGAATTATATGTTTTTTTGTTGTCGTTTTTTTTTGGGATTGCTACTACCTCTGCTCGTATTTTATGCTATTCATTTAACACTGTGAACCTACCTCTGCAGAGATAGCACTCTGTGATGTCATTAAGATTGTTCCCAGACAGTGAGATTGTCTAACTGACACTCTGATCTCCACAGCACTAATTGTCCACGAGGGACCATCCGTGTTTCGCATCTTCCACCGCTGGCAGGCTGTGAACCAGCAGTGGAAGGTATTGAACTATGATAAGTCCATGGACAGCGATGACCTGAAGGATGCCCCTGTGGACAGGACTCAGCCTCAGCCAAGTCAGGGCTATCAGACAGGGATAGGCGTGTCCACTTCTACCTCCTCACTTATGGTGGTGGCCTCCACAGCCGCCGGCTCCACCTCTACAACCGTGGTGACGGCGGCAGGGGGATTTGGAACACAAGTGGACATTGAAAGTGGCGGCGTAGTGCCAGACCAACACTCTCCGTACAACATCCTCCACCTACTCAGCCACCTGAGGCAGCCGGAGGCCCGCAGCCAACCCAGCAATAGCACAAGAGAGCTGGTGATGAGAGTCACTACTGTCTGAGGAGTCAGTTGAGGCCTTATCTTACATGGAGGTGGAAGATTTCCGAACCAGCTGACAGTTCAAAACAAGTACTATCTAAACTGCACTGGATCGATAACATGCTCTTGTTTATTCTGATGTCCTTACATTGATTGAATAAAAGTTGAAGAGATTTGATTTGCAGAACTGGTGGGAGAACAGTTATTTTGAATATTTATCATTTAAAAAATATGTGCATGGATGTGCCTTTCATTTTGGTCTTTGACACTGTAAATAGTTTGCCATTTTATCTACTGCTGCATTTCCATTTTTTAAAGCATTTTTCAACAAAATCTCACAAACGACCAGAATTTATTCGTGAAACATGTAATCATATAGTTAACTCCCAAACCCAAGTGGTGAAATCAACTATGAGATGTAAAAACATAATGATAAATACAATTAGCGGATACTTGATTATATACTGGGCGGCACGGTTGTGTGGTGCACCATTGCCTCGCAGAAAGAGGGCAGGTTCAAGTCCCCGGGGGGACCCAGGACCTTTCTGGTCTCTCCGGGTTCTCTGGCTTCTTCCCACCATCCATAAACCTGCATGTTAGCTTGATTGGACGCTTAGGAGTGAGTGGCCCTACGATGGACAGGCAGACTGTCCAGGGTGATCCCGCCTCTCACCCATTGACCACTGGGATAGGCTCCAATACCCCTGCAACCCCATTAGGGAATAAGCGGTTAAGATAATGGATGGATGGATAGATCATATCCTCTCTCAGAGCATGATACAGATTCTGCTCTTCCTTCTGAATATGCTGAGAGTCGTATGTTTGATCTCTCCATGCATGCATGGGTTCCCCAACTTCCTGCCATGGCCCTTAAACGTACATTTCATGTTGTCGTCTCTGTGCTGACTCTGTGATGGATGATGGTCTGTCCAGGGTGCAACCTCCATATCACCCCATGGCAGCTGGGACAGCCTCAGGCTCCCTTTAACCTCAAATACAATGCAGGCGTCTGTTTTTTTTCTTTTATAAAGAAGAAAATACTTTTTTTTTCATTTTCTGTTTAAAATTTGTATTCAAAAGAACATAAATCTAGGACATTTTAATTCCCTCAGTTATTAGTCAAAGTATCAACGGACGAAGGTTCAGACAAAACCTCATGATGCACCTCATGTTTCTGTCCATTTATCAGATGCAATGTAATATCAAAATTGTAAATACTGTGATGCAGTGTTCAAATGTAGACTGACCCACCCTGACATTAAAACCACTGACAGGAAAAGTGAGGATCTCTGCTCACCCGTATTCTGGATGTTGCCAGCATGTTACTTTGATATCACACTCACCACCTTTGTGAATAGTTTTGTAGACTGGTCACAATTCTCCTCACCTGACAGCAGCACTAATGTATCAGCCGCCCTCAACGGGACAGCAAGGGACCCTTAAAAAACTGGTCAGGAAAGACAAAAGTGATAAAGAGCAAGAGGCTCCCATCCATCAGTCTGTCTGACACCATGTAGGGGAAGGAAGCCCACAGATTCACAGGATCTGTTAATGCTCCAAAGATTTCAGGACATTCTCAGACAACTGGCATGTTGTCTTAATGTTTAGGCTAACAATGTGTGTGGACATTTAGGGGTTATTTCACTTTTCAACCAAATCTCAAATAAAGTCAAACAATCAACTTTAATTACAAAAAAGACTGACATCCTGTGATATACTAAAAATAATTATTTGAAATGGTTATTCTAGCTGGACCTTAGGGATGAGTGTTCGGTGATGGACTGGTAACCAGTCTACGGTGTGCCTGATGGCAGCAGAGACGTGCTGGAGGGCCTGTGTTACCCAGAGTTGGACTTGGTGGATGTGGGTAATGGATAGAGAGGATGTGATCAAAGGTAACATTTGGTTTGATGTGGATTAAACTCCAGAGCAGTAATAAGTAGACTTCAACATCAAACCAGGTTGATGGATCACTTTTAAAGCAGAGAGTAGTTTTCTTCATAGTGAAGAAATTTGTTTGAAGGCATCATTATATGACTTCACAGCTTCCTCTTTTCGGAGCACCTTTTGCTCAGAAAGAGAGCTGTCACATTCCTAACAATACGTCTGAGAAATGGAGTGAAGCTGGAGCGAAGAAAGCCTTCAGATAGTTTGTTTAATTGCTTCAGCGTCCATCTGTATTCATGAAAACACATTTCTGCTCCAAAGCAGTGGTGCCACTTGCAGCCGATTAGACTGATATTCATGTTCGCATTTGGCTCACAAAGCCAACCATTTTCCCCTTCTCTTGGCTCTCTGATTCAGATATGCTCTTTGATATTTCCTCATGGCTCTTGTTTCAAGAGTTTCATCTCAGGGGGCACAAGATCTCTGAAGCATGTTGTGGGAGGAAGAAATACTATTAAAACAACCCCTTATCAGGGTGTGTTCGGGGTGTTAATATAACCTAGTATTCCCCTTCCTAACAGACTGAGAAAGACATACAGTACAGTGCATGGCTGGACAGTTTCACATTTGGACACAACCTACTGAAAACCATTCTAACTCTGATATTCTCCATTACAAGCAAAGACTGAGAATCTGATCATAGTGTGAAATATTTTTCCCAAGCACTGCCGCAGATGCCTTTGAGCCCTTTCCAACATGCATTCCATTAAACTCATCATTAGCTTAAACATGCATCTGATATGAATGAGAGGGATTAATTTAAGGGAAGTTGGTGCTTAATGTCAAGCTGTTTCCAATCCTGTGGTTTCCAGCAGTGCTGCAGGAAAATAATATAAGCCAGACACATCAATACAACAGTTTTGAAAATTAAGAAACTACCTAAAATTGTTCTTTGAGAATAATAAAGCAGCCATATTTTTGCTGTTAAAACACATTCACACATATTATCTGCATTATGCTCAACCTTTAGAGTTGTTTTCATAATATCTTCGTTTGCTAAATGCTCCTCATTAAAAAAAAATCCACAAGCACAATGTCTGCAGAGAATCAGGTAGCACCTTGATTTCCCTCTGAATTATTAAAGCCCTGAAGTGCTGATATCAATGGGTGGGAGCTGCAGCGTAGAATCAACTTCTAAGGAGCTGGGAGGTTGCTGAAAGTTCACTGTAAATCTGCTCAGTTTGCTTTTCTTTGCACGTTGTTTCTTTGATTTCACAGACACACACACTTAGTTTTGATAGGGTATGATTAAAAATCATCAAAAGCCATCTGCTCAAGCACAGGATTTTGTCATATTATCATTTGAGAACTACTCAGTGCAGGTACTCGATTTTAAACATATGCTGCGCAAGATCATGCATGCAAACAATCTATATGTTAAACAAGATCAGCTGTCAAACAACAGTGGTGCAGGGAGTAGAATTATCGAGCATTAGAACAACGAATTTTGGTGGGCAAAGAGAACACTGAGGCTTTGGAAACTGTGAAAATTGCATGTGGTTTACATGCTGCTCATGTATGTTCTTTGAAATCGAAATCACTCCTTGCAAATCTTGACTGTGGATATAAAAGGAATATTTTCCTTGAACAGCCATTCTATTGGAATGAGATTACATAATGGGTTTTAGAAGCTAGACACAGAGATAGCCTGCAAAACTATCCGTCTTGTATAACCATGCATTTGTGTTCAGGGTCAGAGGCGGCTGAATGCTGATGAGGTATTCATTCTGCGTTCTCATGAAACGCACACGGATGGGTAATTTACTGTTAATAGTTTGACCATGGGAGGAAGTCATAGGATCCAGGGGAAAGCTGCAGACAGATGTACAATAACAGGAAGAAACTCTAAACAGGAAATCTAAAGATGAGATGTAAACCCATGATTGCTGCTGTGAGAAGACAGAACAAACCACTAAGCCATTATCGCTCCTCTGTTTAGAAACATTCCCTGTGCCAAGAAAAAGATTAATACTTTATCAAGGACGATTCTTTATGTTTTAATAGGCTTTTATGGGGGTGAAGCTAATTCAAAAGATGAAAGGCAGTCTGTTCTTCTGTTGTCAAACCTGATAATCTGTCGGAGAAATGATTGTCAGTACCATCTTTTGCAGCTTGTGTTCACCCCCTGGTGGCTCATTCACATACTACTTTTGAAGACCTGCATATCAATATACATCCTTTACTCCATTGAGATAAAACATGCAGCTTGGAAAAGTTTTTAAAGCTCTACAGCCTGTAAGATTACTGTAGGTACCAGTGTTTGTCACAGTTTCTGCAATCACACGCGGTCGTGGCTGGATGTATTTACTCAAACCTGGCTGATGTAGATTATTCATGACTTCGGTATTCATCCGTTTAGTGCCACTGGACGTTAAGAAGTTTATGTAAAGGATGTTGTTGTGATTTTGCTTCAACAATTTCAACCAGTACAATAAACAACCTTTCAGACCTCGGTCCTGACACTAATGGCAGTGCTGTAGTTAAAAAGCACTGTCCCTTAAGAAAAGGGATGGTGCCTTAGGAGGAGTGTGAGGCTTGTTGGGGACAAAGCTACTCCACTGCTTTCTGGTGTCTAATTTCCCCTCACCTTTTTGCACATCTTTTGCTGAAAATATATATTTTAAAGTATCTATAAAACACTAAATTGGTTTATATTTATCATTTCCCCAATGGATACAAGTTGTCTGTAAACAAGGGATTTTAGATGACACATGAGTAGTTTCCACTGCTCGGCGTGCCACCCTGAGGGCCAGAGGAGGAAAGAGCCGAGCAGTGACAGGAAGACGCTGTTTACATCAGTAATGGCCTACTTTCCCCACATGATCCAGGATGGTGAACCCACGGAAAAATAGAAACGGCTAATGTCACTCATGAATAACAAGTATGAGTGATTTAACAGGGAGCTGCTGGTGGTGATCACTCAGGAGGAGCCAGTTGCAGACATGTTACTGATGTATCAGCGCATCAGCAGTTTCCTCAGTAGATCTGCCGTGCAGCCTGTCCTCTTATTTGAATTTTGAAAGCACATCTAACATAGTAAATGTCCACAGATAATTGAGCATGTCACTAAACGTCATCCGCACTGTAAAACCTGCCCACACAGCTGATGAAAAAAGGATAAAAGATTCAGTGACACTTGATCAGTTAATGGTGTAAAAATGCTTCATATTGTTTGCTCCAAACCCATCTGTATGCACAAATAAATACCCATGGTAAAACAAGTCATCGTCATGTGTGGCTTTTGTTCATTTGGCCAATTTCTGCTTGTATATGCTCACAAACACTAAAAGAAGTGACACATCAGATTTAATGGATCCTACAGTCACCCTCTCTCTGATATTTGAAGCACGTTTTTCTTACCCTGATGCATCGTTTCTCTACTCTGCCGTGTTCATCTGGATGCAGCAGGATGAAACCCTCTCAGAATGCTCTCCTCTTTCCTAATCACTCTCTTGCTCACTCAGCATCCCATCGGAAATACCCCCCCCCCCACCCTTCTCACGCACACAAACACACACGAGTGCTTCATAAACAGCAGCACTCTCTGTTTGCAGGTCAATAGCAGTATCATTGCATTTCTCTAATCAAGCCCCTGATGAGGGACTTCCTGAGCTCTCTGCCTTTGAACGCTCCCTCTGATATTCACACAGCATCAGTTTCCAGTGTGTGACCTGATTTAAAGGCATCTCTCAAACTAGGGCGCATTACTCTAAATGTCCAGCCTCATGGAGCAGAACACCCACACTACCCTCTTTTGAAGACGACTGCTCTTCGCTGTTTATATTGGAGAAGACTGGAACCTACAGTTTGAACATTAAGCCACTCAGTGGCTCTGTCTGCTGGTATTTGGACGTGTAACTCCATCCTTCCAAGTCATTTGAGGGATGCAGTTAAAAGATTATCAACTCTGTTATCAGGGGCACGCCTGTTCTTTTTATTTTTACACATGGAGGACTGATTTTTTTCCAGCCTTTGCTGATTGTTCTGCAGCTGGGGAAGTACACCACTATCAACCCTAAAGCCAGTTAAAAAGCCACTTAAAGTCAAACACAATCTTTCATAAATTGTTATCATAAATTGCCCTGAGTATAATTACAATGTGTTTCTCTTTAAGTACATCAGCATTCATTTAAAATAAACCATCGTAAACATTTTAATTGTCAGCTTCTTCAATTATCCTACAACTAAAATATTGGATGATCATATTACGAAGCTTAGTGTCTTTACATCATCCCCAGCATCCCGATATGAAATGAATATCCTAATGGTTGGACTCCTAGTTCAGCTGTGATAAGACCGGCCTGGAAGTGTCTTTCATAACATGCTCACCAAAGCATAGCTGCGCTTAGTTTTAAATACTGTGGTTAAATGGTGCCTACATTTTCAATCATCAGGACGACAAAGTGTCACAGCCACTGCAGAGAGGACTTATCTCTGCCCTTGATTCATTAGGAAGTGCATAAAGTCATCAAGCGTGCAAAGACTGGTGGGTCATCTGTGATGAGCTATCCACGAGGTATGAAGGTAATTCATTTCTCCTCTGTGACAAAATAAAATAATTGTCTCAAGGATTTGAGATCCATTCTTGCTGCTGTAGTTTTGTTAATTTCTAAGAAATAATTTGCATGGTTGTCCCTATGAACCCGAATTTGATGAGTGCAAACAAACACAATTCAATTAAACCTCCCCTAACTAGTTCTGATCAAGCAGTTTGAAGTACGTGTGGTGAATGGTAAGTAAATGAGGATTACACCAGTCTCAAAATGAATAATAGATAGAAAATCATCTATCCCTTAGTTAAAAGTTAGAAAAGCATGAGACTGAGCAAGCACACAGGGATCTAAACAACAATGTAATCCATAAACTTCCAAGAAAAAATAACAATGAAAGCCACACTTTCAGTGCACATATCAAGAAAAAAAAACGTATAGTACACACCATTTGTAAAAGTATTTCATGATAACACACAGTAAACAATGAGGTTGGATTGGACAAAAAAACAACTGAAGCAATAATTGCACACTGTGTTTCTGTCATAGAAGCATCTCAAAGACTGGGCTAATCATGACTAAAGCTGTAATTGTGCATGACAGCAGCAACATAGCTCAGGCTGTGCAATCTTGAAATATAAACAGGGATTGAGTGTGAGCAGCTCCATCCATGTAAGGCTATCCAGCAGTGGGAGGCGATGTGTTTGTAAAGCTCCTCTGCGGAGGGACTGGCTCTGTGTGACTCAGACAGGGATTCTGTCACATCAGGTAGATAAACAGCTCATCGCTGCCTCATGCTGTATTTAACCAAATCCACTTAATGTCTCCAAAAGCGTGTCTTCGTCTCAGAGGCTCTGTCCGGCTGTCGTTACGCACGACGGGCTCTCGTCTAAACAAACATTCACATCTCAACTCAGTTGAGGAGAACTGAAATGACCAAGAGTGGACGCCGGACGAGTCCGCTGTTGGGGGAACTTTGCTATTGATATGACTGTCCGGGCTTATCGCTCTGTGGAGATTGCTTGAATTTCCCCACGCAGCTCGTCTACTCTGTGTCGAGGCGGTGAGTATGTCAGCTCTTTATTTTACCCCAGATGAAAAGTTCAGGGCTGTGAAATGAGAGCTGAGCTGACAGGGATCCAGCTGGAGACTTGAAACGATCACTTTGTCTCACGTTGAAGCCTAGGCCTGTTTTTACCAAGTGTAAGAGGGGAACGTATTTATTCTTTATATAGGCTATCACAAACTGTTCTTAGAATATCCATATGAGATGGGTTTGTTTTCTATTGCTTTCGTGTAGGATCCTGCTATTAATAGGGACTTGAAGAAAAGACATTAAAACTGTGAGTTGTTGAGATTCAACTCTAGTATTAATGAAAACCCTAGATAGATAGATAGATAGATAGATAGATAGATAGATAGATAGATAGATATTTGATTGACCAGCCTGTTCTCAGTTTGTTTTCTTAAAGATTAGAACCCTTAAGGCACTTCACAGTATAATTAAACATTCTTATGAGCTGACTTCAGGCCGAGCATTTTTTCCACCATTATATGTACAGTTTAATTTATTCTAGATAAATGCTTTTGCATACAACGTTTCTTAGATTTGTAAACAGAAGTCTGCTGTAATAGTCTGGTCGACGACTGATTTGTGGATGCTGTGCCTACAGCAGATGGCCATCAGACAAAGCATTTGACAAGCTTACCTTTTAGCATTGAGAAAAATTGAGAAAAGAAAGATAGGCCGCCATTAATCTGTGCCTTATTCATGCCTTGTTTATTGAAGTTGGCTGGCAGTTTAGGAATTGGCTGCTTCAAGTAAAAATACAGTGTTCTTTGGAAACATTACAACTCTTCTGGGGGTGAGAGCTGCTCAAGGAGTCCTGCTGTTGACTTGTTTTCAACTAAATCAGCAGGATACATGAGAAATTGTTTGTTTGGAAATACTGTTTTAAATTTTTTCACCAACATTGTTTAAAGCAAGCATTACAACTCTTGTAGTCTGTGGAGGAGCATCCTGCAAAGCTTCACTTCTGACTTCTATTCAAGGAATTCAAAAGGAGTTTTTGGCTCAGAAAATTTAAGAAATATTTCTGCCTACACCTTTTTGTCCATCTCTGAAGGTTTTTAGGTGAAATGGCGATTATTTCAGGGTTCATCCTTTTGTGTGTGTTCCAAACTGCTGTGCCTCAATCTGCCCTCCTACCTCGTGGACCAAGACCGATACCTGGACGTGGCGACAACCCTGACCCCACTCCACTCCCACCATGGGTCACACCAGAATCTAAAAGCTGTAAGAGTGAGTGCTCAACTATAATGTCAATAGAGTGTAATCAAAATGTCTTTTTTTTCCAGATGTGCCTCATAAGCAAGATTTTGAAAAAAATGTTTTATTCAACTACAAATAATAAAACACAGTTAATTGATATTCAGGGAGCATTTTGCTTTGGTGTTTTGCTGCTGTTAAACTCATTTAGAATTTTGTTTACACAAGAAGGTGACAAAGGTCTTGTTTTCTTTTTATTAAACAGTTCTATTAACTTGCCCATTAAAAATGGGAAAAATATGCATGTCATTACAGGTATAATTACTGTATTCCATTTGCTCTTCCAGTTTAAATGGTAAAATCCTACTAGTGTGTACATCATCTCATGGCTAAGTACCGGTCCATTATAATGTGCTGCAGCATTTTTTCAACAAGAAGAAACTTTGAAAAACTGCATCCACATAGCTTCATCATATTTTTATTGTTTGAAAATTGTGTGGCTTTTTATATATATTTTTTTCTGAGATTTATTAACTAAAAAAAGAGTTATTGTGTTTATATGGACAACTGCTTTTTCTATTTTAAATCTTCGATTCCAGTTGCACTTTTTTAGAATGACTCTAGATAGAGATAAAATGATATGCTTTGAGGCTTTTGGTCTGATCAAAATAAATAACACATGCAAAGTGTGTCTTGCTGCTTATCTAAAGGTTAATGTAGCGATTGAGGAAGAATAAAGTCAATTTGCCAATAGAAGAAATACGAAGGGGCCATATTGTCCCCTCCAAGGAATTTTTGCAGATAGTACTTGACCTTGTGTTTCTAAACAAGAATGGAAAATGAACACGTTTTCTGCTTGTTCATTCTTTGTATTTCCTCATGGTGCAAATACTGGCAGGACAAAATTGCTTCTACGTGCTGATCAGGAACAGAGGAAAACTTCTCAATAAAGCGCATTAGTTCTTGAAAGTCTGTACTTCAGTAGAGAGGTTCATGGCCTCAAGAGTACCAGTTCCACGCTTACAGATTGTAAATGTGACATGAAAACTAGGAGTTGCCTGAAATGCCCGGTCAGATTACTCCAATTAAAGGGAAAAGTCGAATTAATTATGTACTTGGTTATTATACATTAAAACCTTTACACTGCTTATAACACCTCTTTCAATCCGATCAGGTGTTAACATGTTATAATATTATTATGATTGGAGTCTTAACCTGATTAAAAGTAGTTTATATTAGCACTATTAGTATTTAGGATAATAGTTTGTTAGTGACCTAAACCTTTACCAATGTTCTGTCCTCCATCAGGGATCATTGACTGTCCAATCAGGCTGTTTTTCACCATTGACACCTCTGAGACCATAGCACTACAGGAGCCCCCACCTGGCAGCCTGGTGGAAAGTATCAAGGAATTTACCAGGATATTTGTACAGAAACTTTCTGACGAGGAGTACAGGGGTCAGGTCAGGATGACCTGGTCCTTTGGTGGCCTGCACTTCTCTCAGAGACAGCTGGTCTTCAGTCAGATGACCAGCAGAGAGAACTTCATCAGGAATCTCAGTCAGATCAGGTACTTTGGTAAAGGCACCTACACCGACTGTGCCCTCAAAAACATGACCTACCAGATGACTCAACACTATGCGGACACAAAGGCAGTCCTCTTCGCAGTGGTCATCACTGATGGCCATGTGACAGGGAATCCATGCGGCGGGGTCAAGATGATGGCTGACAAAGCTCAAGAACAAGGAATCAAGGTTTTCTCAGTGGCAGCATCTAGGAGCGTAGATGAGTTTGGAATGAGAGAGATTTCCAGCCCTCCCACTGAGCTGTACCGTGACAACCACATAGTCATGGAGTTTGCCGATGGGAAGCCAAGACTCAGCACTGACACCATTGATCATATCATTAAAGCCATGGTAATAAGAGATTATTTCTCTATGTTAGTTCCGATTTGAAATCCTCTCATTTCACATTAGTTACATGCTGTTATTTCTTTGCAGAAACATCAAGCATATTTACAGGTAAGAAATACCACGTCTCATTAAAAACTGTTTAGAAAGAGTTGCATTTATTCTTACAGGAGAAGCCAACATAACTGTGAAAGATTACCGCCCCACAGTCTAAACGAATCATTGGAGCAATTTTACAAAAGCTTCATCTCATATAGATATTCTGAACCGCTATATATTTTTTTCATAAAGAAAAAGCTCTGTTCAAAGCCTCTTTGTGTCTCTGCAGCACAATATCTAGCAGCACATATCTCCCGGGGAAAATGAAAATGAAGATACATGATGTCAATGTTAACTAGATTTGTGTATATGTAGAAATGTACTCAACAGACGAATGACTTCTGCTGTTAAAGTCTACTTTTAATCCATCCAGACAAGATTCACAGTACATCTCTCAGGCCCCTTCGGAAAAATATTACATAACTGGTACTCTGTGTTTGGTATGAAGCAGATTTTTAAAAGCATATATTTAGAAACAAGGTGCTAATAGATTCTATGTCTAGAATCTGAACCAGCCTTCTACATTTTTGATGAAAATTTTAAAAGGACAAAAATACATTTTCTGTATTTTTTCTTTTTGAAATGACAGTGTTATAAACCCAGCTGCGTTGAAAAACGAGGGGCTCGTGGAAGAACAGGACCGCCTGGCCAAAAAGTGAGGATAAAAAGACCGAAAGGCACAGTCACAGTCAGTACATTTTCTGGTTGATTGCTTTGTGGAAATGTCAACACTTCTGCTCATTTCTAGGGCACAAGAGGACAAACAGGAAGTATTGGGCAAAAAGGTAAAAAGGGTGAACAGGTGTGTAGAAATTACATCTAAAACCTTGAAAAATATTTCCACTTACCATTACGGAGGAATCTGTTTTATCATAGGCCACTGACAAAATATCATTTCTAATATTTTCAGGGTGATCCTGGAGTCGAGGGTTCAATTGGATCACCTGGCCCAAAGGTTTGCAGAGGCCTTCCATTTGATGACTGTACAAAGTGCAGTTATGTGAAATATTATTAACAGGTCTTTCTCTGCTTTTACCTAGGGAGAAATTGGTTTAAAAGGTGAAAAGGTGAGAGCTGAATGTTCTTTTTGTTGAAATGAAAAAAACTCAATTCTGAAGGTTGTCGGGAACAATGGCTTTGATTTTTATCTCTACAGGGTGAAGTTGGATTCAGTGGAGCAAAGGTATTTCAAGCTTACTCTCATCTAACATTAAACCCACATTCAGCTCAGTTGTGACGTAAACGCTGGGTTCACTTGAGCTTTTCTTTACGCTGCATCACCCAGGGCGCTGCAGGGGTTCCTGGAAGGAACGGAACGGGCGGACAAAAGGTGAGTGTTGATGTATTTGCCATGACCTCAGCCTGTCTGAAACACATCTGTCACATAAAGGTCTCAAAAAGTCTGAAATCTTCAGGGTAAACCTGGCCGGATTGGAGCCCTTGGCTGCAAAGGTGATCCGGGTGACAAAGTAAGTGTGGCACTTTTACAGAGTCACTTTTCACATGGCGCTCAGGCTGCCATGCAGAATATAATCACACGCTAAATGTGGAGTTTTTTTTTTCAAGGTGAGAATGTTTACCAGTCATCAGTCACATGACACGTTTTCCTTAAATTTTCTTTCCCTCATCTGGTTTGATGAACTGTTGACTTATTTTAATTACCAAAAGGGACCTGACGGCTACCAAGGAGAGGTTGGCGACGCCGGGTCATCTGGTGACAAGGGAGGGAAGGTGAGAATCTCATTATACTGCAACTGTGATCTCTTCTTTCATCTAAAAGGGAAGGGACCGTCAGAATGGTGCAATGTTTTAAGGACGGTTGACAGGTGTGCTGAAGCAGGGAAGCATGTAAAACATGCAGGACAGCGGCCCTCAAGGACAGACTTTAGACACTCCTGATTTAGGTCGAACTCTGAAGATGAACCACTTGGCATTTTCAATAAATCTTTTATCACTGTGGACTGATATTCATGGTCCTTACATTGCCTGTCGCTGTCATGTGGTGAGATGCACGGATTTGGACCTTGAGTGCATACACTTTATAAATAGTAGAACAAAAAGCCTGGCAAAGCTGGATACAAAAAAAACAAAAAACAAGTTAAACTCGCAAAACAAAATACGAAAAGTCGAAAAACCAAAGATGAAGATAACGAGAACAAAATGATCAGGGAACTGCCGACAAGAAGCCAGGAAAAACATGGGAGTGTGTCACAGGACTGACGGGAAACACAAAGAGGAGTACAGATGAGGACCTGACAAAGAATGTCTGAACCAGAGAGCCTTTATACAGAGGAGGCTGATTCGTGATCTGAGTGAGCTGAGAGCAGAGAGCACAGGGGAGGAGAGCTGGATTAATGATCAGAGGGGAAACATACTGAGCAGACTGAGTGAAGGTTTCAGAGATGCAAAGGGAAGGGACAGGAAACTAAAAACAACATCAGAATGAAATAGGAAACAGAACACACAGAAGGAGAGAGACTGAGAAACTCTGAGAGATAAGTATGATCAGTATGAAATCTAACAGTCCAGGGAGGCAGACAAAGGGTAACCCGGCTGTTTTGCCGTTGGAGGGAGAGAAGTTTTTCCTCAAAGGACTGCCAATTATTTAAAAAATAAGAATGCAAAAACTTGGAGTGTAAACAGAATGGACTGAGGTCTCTTCCATGACCCTGTCTTTGGCTGGAATCTGTGGATATTCATAAAAATGTTAGCCTTGGTGTTATCTGCATAAAAATGAGTTATTTACTTTATGTTCTGAAATAAAATGGACAAGCGTGTAAATAGAGAGCAGAGAAGAGCCAAGGTCTGACGCATGTGGTATGCCACAACTCAGCTGAGTCACCAAGGAGGTGAAATGTTGTTTGACGGACAGTCTAATCAGCTAAGAGCCAAATTCTTTATTCCAGCCAGGGACTTAGATAAGACAGGAGGTGGAAAGATTTACAGTTTCAAAAGATGGACTTAAATCCAAAAGAATTTAAATTGATAAGTCTCCTCTCTGCTCAGACAAGAGCTTTTGCTGTTCCATTAAATTCTTTAAAGCCAGACTGGAATCTTTTGAATACACCTTAATCACTCAAAAAAGAAATGAGCCCACTTTCCCTTTAACCTTTAATTACAAGGACAGCATTGGTCTAAACTCATTTAAAGATAAGGGGCCCAAATACTGGAATGTTCTCAAGAATCTATATATTGGTATGTTATATCTTGACATATTTTTCACTTCATTGTTAAATGGGGTATATATTTGGACTTATATTTTGTGTTATAAATATCACTAAAGTACAGTTTAGACAGAACTTGCATTAACTATTGATTAAACTGGCAGGCTTAGGCTTACAAGAAAGCATCCAATTATTTTTTTTGTATTATTTACGTTTGTGTCAAATTATACCTTTGTTTTGTTTTTTTGTTACTCACTTCCATTCCCTTATCCCCTGTTACCTTAGGGTGATCCAGGTCATCCAGGGAAGCCCGGACCTCCAGGGCTAGCGGGTGACCAAGGACCAAAAGTATTATTTAAACTGAAACAAAAGATTAAGAAAAAAACTACATTTCAGTTTTATATTATTTTCTTGCTCTACAATTTCTGTTTCTTAGGGTGAAAATGGAAATCCTGGAAATCAAGGGTTACAGGGAGAGGATGGATTCCCGGTAAATAGTAGAATTAATTTTTTTATAGAAAATGTTATTGAATAGCTTGAGCTGCAAAGCAAATTCTCCTGCATTGAACTCTCTTTTTTCAGGGTCCTGAAGGAAGTCCTGGACCAAAAGGCGATCAGGTATTTCATATACTCGTAATCTTTAGAGTTATAAGCTATAACTTCTGTAGTTGTTCTAAATTTGTATTTACCCCCCAAAAAACAGGGCAGGAGAGGGGACAGTGGGGAGAAAGGGTATCCTGGACCTGATGGGCAAAAAGGGCCAAAGGTAAGTTCAGCTGTCAGGGTAAACTTTATGTGTTTAATACTTGGCCATCATAGTAAAGTTACATAAGATCTTAAAGATTTTCCTCTGCTATGACTCACTGTACTGTAAAATGTCAAAATAAAAAAAGAAAAGATCTTGTGAAGCACATGAAGGGGAACAGCTGCTGGCTATCTGAGAGCCGGATACCTTTTTTTAGAAGCACTGACAAAAGCTCCAGATTATGTTGACCTTCCTGGTGGTTTCTACAATTTGAGAAAAACAAGGACTCTGTGTTTCAGTCTCTGAGTGGGGCTTATTCTCTGAGCAAACAGTCCAGCTCCTACAAACCTTTTCAATGTGGTTCTGTGCCCCATAGATTAATTCTGACCATTCTCAGGAAAGCTGTTCCTTCGAGCTCTTTTTGTATTTTGTGTTCAATGATTGGTCAGTCTGCTGGGAATTCTGATATATTTATCTGTTTATAAGGGCGAACAAGGGCCACTGGGAGGCAGAGGCAAACCTGGGGAATATGGATTCAAGGGCAACAAGGTGAGGAGGTCATGCTGTGGGTGGATTTTGGCAGAAGGATGACACTGATGCATCCTCTTCAGAATTCAGTGAGCTCTGTAGATGTCTAACTCTGGAGCTATGCCTGCACAAGCTGTACTTCCAAAATAAGCATAACCGTTCTCCAAGGAAATGATAAGCTATATAAAATTATTCGTCCAGTGTTGTACATTGCCAAATTCACTTCTGCATAAGTTGTTCTGTGTGTTGGGGCTGGAATTGAAGTCTTGGCCAGTTTGAGTTTTTCTGTTAACTTTCTGTTTTCCAGGGAGAACTGGGACTGCCGGGATCGAGGGGCCCACCAGGAGGTCCAGGGATTCCTGGGGAAAATGTGTGTTTATAAAACCATAAATACTGGCGGCACAACAGATAAATTAGAAATATCTTTCTGAGTGGATACATTTTTCATGTGGTTGCAGGGCCATAGTGGAAACCCTGGACATCCTGGACCAAAGGGAGATCCTGGGCCACCAGGCCCAAAGGTAAGCAGTGGGAGCTTCCATCATCAGTCAAATGCTTCCTTATAAACAGTTCCATTTTCCTTTTCTACAGGGTGACAAAGGGAGGACTGGTTTCAGCTATGCAGGATCAAGAGGACTCCTTGTATGTCTTTATGTTTAGTCAATTCAATCTCATGCAAGACTGAAATGTCTGTCCTTGAATGTAAAGTAATGTCTTTTTTCCAGGGAGACAAAGGTAATCCAGGCAGAAAAGGTCCCAGAGGGAGCAGGGGTGCCTGTGGTGCCAGAGGAGTTCCTGGAGATAAAGGACCGCCAGGAGAGCCTGTAAGGATCACTGTAAATGTCTGTAAAGGAGGGGTTTTGATAAGAGGCAGATGTGTTGACTACATACACAGAGACCAATGCTTTTGCAGTGTGAGAATAAGCTGGAAGTGTTTAAAAAATCTTCCCTGACACATATATGCTGTGCCTGTGCTATACGCATAGGGGAAGAAGCACTGCCATAAAAGGAACTATAACAATGTAAAGACACTCATTCACATGAAAAGTCATGCATTCATTTCTAAAAATGAGTTCCCAATTGTAACCCTTGATATCTATTTAAAATACGAAATGTAAAAAGCTAATTATGTGAATTTGCATATTTATGATCATTTATTCATTCCTTTGATGCTTAAGCGAATACTACAACTGTGTGAATGTAGGTTGGGAATATCCCCCCCAGAGATCAATTAATCTTTCTCTTTGTTCAATGATACTATAACATTATCTATTTATTGTTTGTTTTTGTTTTTTGTATTGAGAAAACTAAATCCGTTTTAGTCTGTGGCAGCGTCCCCATAGACTACTGTAACCTATAAGGCCATATTTAAAACATCTGGAGCTTTAGTGTACTTGAAATAGCTTTGCCCTTCAGTAAAATGTTTTCTTAACAAGCTTCCTGACTTGGATTGAGATAGAAAACATTCAAATATACTTAGTGAATCTGGGTAATTAAACCAAAAACACCATCAGTAAGTTGAAGATATTACTACCTGGGTAAAATGTCCATTTAGAACACAAGAACAGCTGCTTGTTTTTGTGCAGCAGAAAAATCAAAATCCAAAAAGTCAGTGGGTACTTTTCCGATGACAAATGATGTCACCATAGACGGAGGAATAGTGTGGCTGATGGTGGTTCTCCTCCTTCATCACTACTCAATAATTTCTGAATTGTTTTGTTGTTGTTGTGGTTTTTTATTTTGTCTTCATTAAAACGATCAATGGAGTCACAAACATTTCCAAAACTTAGTTTTAGAAGACTACAACATGTTAACTTTCTGTATTGTGAGCAGCAGTTTTTTAAGTTACTATGCAGTATAATAACAGAATACTATGCTGTTTTGTATGTAGGGGGAACATGGCCAGCCAGGACAGTCTGGAAAGAGAGGACCCAGAGGAGACCCTGGATCTGATGTAAGCTACAATTACTCAAGTAATGACTTGACCATGCACCATGCACGCCCATTTCAGTTCAGATATTTTGCTCTCTCTTCCTGCCGTCTGGGCAGGGAGGTCCAGGACCTGAGGGCGATCCTGGACTCACTGTGAGTAACCCTAAATCACGCCACCTTTACTATACTCAGTGAACGGCTTCTTACCTGTAAGCTTGTCACCACAGGACTGTGAGGTCATGGCGTACATCAGGGAGACGTGTGGTTGTTGCGGTAAGAAGCAACATCTCTTCACCATTCAAACATGGGTTTGCAGTTGGTATTTTCTGATATTCTGCTTCTCATCTTCTGCTTTTTGCTCAGACTGTGAAAAGACCTGTGGAGCTCTGGACGTTGTGTTCGTAATCGATAGCTCAGAAAGCGTGGGACTGACAAATTTCACCCTTGAAAAGAACTTTGTTATCAATACTATCAACAGGCTGGGATCCATGGCCTCTGACCCTGCATCATTAACTGGTACAAGAATGTTACCTGATCAACCACTGGCCCGCTGGTCTAACTAATATTAGACAACCATAACAACTTATATTATTTTTTAGTCATTGTTGACTAAAAGTTTACATTTAATTCAATTTAACCGCATTTAAAATCCTGATTCTAAACTATCTCCTCTGCAATAAAATTAAAATTAAAAGGCTGAGGCAACATGTCAATATGGAGGTTCTAATCAGGGGATATATGTGAAATAACAGGACATACGTTATATCTGTCATGTCTTTATGTTCTAGGCACAAGGGTTGGAGTAGTACAGTTCAGTCACAATGGGACCTTTGAGGCTATCCATCTTGATGACTCTTCAATAAACTCCATGGCTGCCTTCAAAACAGCTGTGAGGAATCTACAGTGGATTGCTGGGGGCACCTTTACACCATCTGCTCTCAAGTTTGCCTACGATAACCTCATTCGGGACAGCAAAAGAGCCCGTGCAACTGTGTCTGTCGTCGTAGTCACAGATGGTCGGTTTGACCCTCGTGACGATGACGCTTATCTCAGGTCCCTTTGCAATGACCCCAGAGTGGTGGTGAATGCCATAGGCGTAGGTGACATGTTTGACAAGAGATACGACAGCGAAACCCTTCTGTCAATAGCGTGCAACGATAAGAACCGAACCACTGAGATGAAGCAGTTCAGTGACTTGATGGCAGAGGACTTCATCCTGAAGATGGAAACTGTCCTCTGTCCCGGTAAGTCTGTCCCAGTACAGCTGGTTCTATGATAGTACTGACCCAACGTGACTCAACTGCAGCGTTTGTCTTTTTGTCCTTTCTTTCAGATCCTGTGATCAAGTGCCCAGATATACCTTGTAAAAGTGGTGGGTGTTTTCTACAGATTGGTGGTTGACTTGTGCTGGAATGAAGTGCTGTTCAGTTAATGATTTGTCCCATTTTATTTCAGGCCTAGATTTAGCACCCTGTGTCGGGCGGCCGGTGGATTTGGTTTTTCTTGTAGATGGCTCAGAGCGCCTTGGAATAGAGAACTTTCAACAAGTTCGTGAGTTTGTCCAGAGGGTTGCAAACAGACTGATAATGGCCAGGGCCAAAGATGACCAAATGAGAGCCCGCCTGGCTCTGATAGAGTTTGGAAAGGAGAACGAGAATCATGTGGCCTTCCCTCTGACACACGTTACTGAAACCATCACCACTGGAATATCAAACTTACCTTACCTGGATTCTGCTTCATGCGTGGGACCTGCTATCATTGACACCATCGGAAGGATTTTGGGTAAAGGAAGTACTCGCAACACAAGGAGTAGTGCTGAGATTTCATTTGTCTTTATCACAGATGGCGTCACTAACAGCAGCAGCCTGGACGAGGCGGTCACTGCCATGCGTAGGGAACAGATTGTCTCCACAGTGATAGCTACAGGAAGTGATGTGGACGAAGAAATCTTAACAAAGCTGGCTATGAATGATCAGGAGAGCATTTTCAAAGGGAAAAGATTCTCTGATCTGTTGCAATCCAGCATGATTGACCGTTTTGTTCGGTGGATATGTTGAAGAGATGCTAGTGTGAGGTGCTACTACTGCTTAATTAGCATTTTCATTGTTGATTCCTATTTATTTCAACAGTATCAACTTGTGTTCCCATTAATGAATATCATAGCAGTAAAATCTTTCAGTAGATAAAAAGTTTAATCTTCAAATAGAACAGAGAAGATAAAAATGAAAGTTTAAAAAAAAGAGGGAAATAAATAAACTTAAGAGTCTCTTTAAAAAAACTGAAATTGGATGTCTGTAACAGGCCATATGCTAAGTCATTCAGACATCACAGTTTGTGGGATAATCCACAAACCTTTTAAGATAATTAGTTTGAAAAGGCCTGTCAATTTGAGGATAAACCGTAGATGAAAATATCATTACATTCTGCAGGATACAAACTATCTCCAGCTAGAGCCAACAAGTGCAGTGGGAAAAAAGGCAAGTCAAGATAGCCATTTTCTATTTATACATTTTGCACAACAAAGAAGAACAAATTCATTGCCTCACATGAAGACAAGGATCTGGAAAATCTTAGTTACCAAGGCCCCTTGGCCTACAGCTGAGTAAGGAATATACAACTTAATCACTGAATAGTGTTTATCAAAGTTCTTAAAATGCATGACATGTTAATAAATATTTAAGTATACTTGCATATCATCCCGAAAGTTTACATTGGCCAAACAAAGTGAGGCATGTCCAGTCATTATGAAGTGTTATTGAAAACTAGCCCAGACACTGGTCCTTAGGAACAGGGCAGGTCAAAAGTTGTGATTTTGCTGGTAGGAAATATTTGTTTGCTTGATGAAAATGTGGATAAGTAACACAAATAAAGCTAGTATTTCTAAGAGGGGTCAAGCAGTTTAGAAGCAGTGTTGTCAATCCATGTCTCAAGCAGGAAAATAAAAATGAAAATAAAAATGTACATTTGAAGAAAAGAAAATCTAGCTGAAAAATGTGCAGATGTTCAAAGTTAACATGACTCATAGAGCACTAAGGATGACATTAATGGGAAAAACACCATGTTGAAATGACCTTTTGCACTTAAGAATGGTTTATTTTGACTGCTGTGCACTGTATAGATTGCAATCAATGTCAAGGCATGGTGCCTTAAAGGAAAATATTACACTGAAATACAAATCATCCTTATGTAATGATTAAGCGTTACTCATTAAACATAGTAAACATTCAGTTTGCTGGACTCTACAGCGTTCTGTTCAAGAGATTTTAAGCACTACCTGTGTTCAACATCATGGTAAACTATGAAGATATTACAGCAGATTAAAAAGTGTCACACCTAACATTTAAAATCAAAACATTTGTGTAAATTCAAGGGAAAGTATTTCAACACGGAATGATGACTTCTACCTTCCTCTGCAGTGTGCAGGATACATCTCAATATTACCAGATAAGGTGCTATGGCCTGTAAAGTGGGATACAAACTGAAGAACAGCTGAACTGGTTTGGTCTGACTGGGTTCAAAGATAGCATTCCTTAGATTTCTATAAACACTCCTCCAGTCGCTCTCCTTACATCATGTCCAACTGAAAATGAAAGAGAGAAAGAGGAATTTAAGCCTCGTTAGGAACTTAAGAACTACAAGAAGTGGCTTCAATAAGCATTCAAGTAATAATTTAGATGTATTTAAAGCCAAAGGAGGTTTGTTCTGAAACTTTAACCATACCAAGTCATCAACATCTCCAGTGTCCTCGACTGGTGGAGCGGCTTCCTCCTCTGTCTTTTCCTCAGCCGCCAGAAACTGTATGAAGAGATCTGTCACTGACATGCCAGTTCCAATCGTTTTAAAGTTATATTTTTTAATAAAACATATTTAGGTCACCTGTTTAGCTTCATTTTTCGAAATGGGACTTGTTTCAACCTCCTCGCTGCTGATCAAAGTTATAGAATCTGTCCGTGAAAGGAAGGAGTCAGCAAACAGAACTTTTCCGTAGACTTCAGCCGTGACTCGCACATAATTCTGCACTTGAATTATGTAAAGGTTTCATCTCATCTCAGGGGAAGAATAATTTAAGCAAAACCTTGCAGCCTCAAGTAAAGAGTGTTATCGTACCTTGTACAAGCAGATCCCAGAAGACCTCCAGGCCTCTGGTGGGAATGCTCCTTTTCAGGGACTGGAGGTAGCTATTGTACAGATCAGCATTCCCCAGCTGAATGGTGGAAAATATAAATCATTCATATTCTACACTAGGATCTCGTTAAAACTCACACTTGGCCTCAGTTCAAATCATGGGAAAAGAAACAGACTGCAAGACATCCAATCTCTCAGGAGTAGCCAAACTAAGTCCAGACTGTGCATTTCGAAGTGGTAGATAATTGATGTTTGTTTACCTTCACGGACTGCTCTCTAAAAGCCTGGATACAGGTGATGCTTTTCATGTAGTAGTGTGTGCCCTTGTTGCTAAGCAACTGCTCTATCCTGTGAATCAGTTGCTGACAGACTGGAAGGACGCAGAGGTCAGCACAGCCAAACAAAGAAAGAAACATAATTACAAGGGCTGAGCATGAGTCATGGTGGTTCATACAGCAGCCAGATTAAAAGTTTATCAGTCCAACTCATCTGAGAAATAGACAATGAGACAGGATCTCACCCTCGCCAAACGGACGACTTTTCTGCTTGATCAGAGAGCGGAAATCTCTGGCTGGATCCACACTTCCCACCTGGTGAGACAGGGGAATGGAAATCTGTGTAAAGTCAATTCAAACCAACTGCTGGAGATCCTCAATTTGTCAGCAGATTCCTACAGAGGTAACAGAGCCCTGAGCGATGTCAGCCAGGTTGTACTCCTCCTCTGCCTCGTCTTCTTTTGCCTTCTTGGCATCACCCTCCTCCGAGCTATGAATAAGTGGGTCGTGGTTATTTATGGTTACTATTAAGATGATCTTATCTGTGGTGTGTAGACCCACCAACACTTAATTCAAACTTACTCTTTGCCAAAAATCTGAGCACTTGTCTTCAGTTTCTTTTTCTTCTCCACTTCGGTGAGAGGAAATTTCCTCTTGATCTCCTCTAGTGGAGCTCGGCAGCGTTCATTAACAACCTCAGGGCGATCAATGGCAGCCTCCATCCACGGCTCCGTGGGGGGGAGAGGGGTGCCGGGGTTTACCGCCCGGTGATGAATACACTAAAGAAAGAATTAAATTTCAATAAATCCTATAAAAACCCAGATTAACGGAAGCCCAAACACTGTAAAATATTGGTTGTTAATTTAAATTGTTTTCTGTAAGTACCTCTCTCTAAGTACCTTAGAGGGGGTCAGAGGCTTGTTTGCTGGTGATGTTAGATATTCAATTATCTATTTATTTTTGTTTAAAGAATGTTACACTATGAAGCTTAACCCCTCGTATAAGGAAGTGGATCACAGAAAGAAAAAAGGAGAAGTTAGGACAAGAATTAGTACGACTGGAAATCTTAAATTATACCATATTTACAGGTTTAAATGATTAATATCATTAGAAAAATTAGATGTACATTAAATGACCCATTTGTTTAAACAAAATGGTGTCATCCACATAAATATATTCTTCCTTACTACCTATAGAACCTGAGGGAATTCTGTTTTTGGTCATAAGTCTGAAAAATAAGTTCTGCAGTACCTGGAAGTGCCTCTGGAAGGCAGGGTTGGGAATGTGGTGGGGCTTGAACAGGTCCGTCTGTTCCCCGTTCTCGTCTTCCTCCACCAGCATCATGGAGTCGATGAGAGAGTCGACGGCTGACAGCTGTGTGTCTGGAGGAGCCGTCAGAGTCAATCAGGTTTGCTCTCAGTTTCTAAGTCCTATAAATACGGTCTCCCTTCACAAACTATAACCTAACGAACCTTAAAATATATTCTTTGAGAAAAAAAGAGGAAAAAACAAAGTAAAAAAGCATTTGTGGGGTTAGACCCTTTATCTCATTGCATTCCTGATGACTCTGCATCTCTCTTCATCAGTGTAACACATAAACACAAATCACTGCACACATAACACATAAAATCACATAATATCTTAGAATGAGAAATACCTGCATACTTTCATGTGTCTTATCGGTTTAAATTAGACACTGTCAGGTAATTATTCTTCACAATTAAAATTAAATTAAACTGTTTAGCCAATATCAAGCAGGGCAAAAGTATGGGCCACCTGTACACTGCTGAAATGGTTTCTGTTCAGAGTGAAGTAGTGGTCTCCATGTTAACTGCAAAGTAGGTGGTAAAGTTGCCTCCATGGAGCACAAATATTTGAGGCAGAACATTTTTGAAATTTGAAAAGATTTTGAGTTTCCCTCTCAGAAAAGCAGAGAGGATGCACATTTTAACTTTAGAGAAACTTCCAGATGAATAACTACATAAACATGCCTGGAAGGTATTAATTACAGCAGCTGTAGTCACATCCTGCAGACGTGCCCTGAAGCTGATGTATGCAGGTCATCCACAATAAATGTGCTCAAACTGTGTGGAACTATTCTTACTTTAAGCACTTTAAATGATGCAGATACTGAGAATGTGCAACTAAACGTTCAATAATGCCAATGAATATATAAACTATTCTTATGGTGTGCCACATCAGGTTGGAGAGCTCTTCTGGAGTGATACCTGACAGAGCAGTCTTTTTGTTGTTTTCAAGAGAGGGGAACATAAAATGTCTGAGGTCTTCCATGAAAGGCAGCTGGACGTATAGCAGGCACTATGAACGGCAAGAAGAGGGTTGTTAGCTGAGAGACAGTACAAAATACTGTGAACACACAAGGGGAAAAAAATAAATAAAAAAATCCAACCTCATAGTCCCGCTTGATGCACGGGAAAGCTGCCCCCACTTGGGGGTTGCTGCGTCTGTCATAGGCATAACGCACAATGGCCACCATTTTGAGCTCGTCCAGCGCGTGGATGAGAGCGGACAGAGCCACTCCGGCATGCTGCTCAGACAAAGAGGAACCAGGAGGGGTCAGAAACTGAAAGATTTTACTGGAAAAGAGCAATCTTTCTACATCCCACCTCATCATCTTTAGCAGCAAAAATCTTGACAACCTGAGAACCCATGAACTGATGGCGAAGTACCTATTGACCCCCAAAAAAAAGAAAAAACATTGTCTGTATCTTACAGAAGTTAAGTTAAATACGTGGTATGTCTTGAGAAACACGTTTAATACCAAGTTCTGTTTGGTGAAGCCCAGCACAGCAAAACACTTCCCATCATGCTTGTATTTCATCTGATCCTGATCAATTTTGGAGAAGGGAACAATGTCGCTTCCATATCGAAAACCTGCAAACAGAAAAGAAGCAAACTTTAAACTGCTGAAGATCAAGAGTCAGATTTCCGGTAGGAAGCACTTTGATCTCGAAGAGCACCCTCACCTTGAATGGTGTCATCTCTCTGCACCTCCGTCTCGTTGTCGTCATCCAGACAAAACACCGTCTCTCGTTTCACGTCATCTTTTTTGTGGGATTGGGCGTCCACTGTGATCCACAATTTCTTTAGTTTCTCCTCTGTCACCTGGTTCAGATAATGGGATTCTTACGGCTGAGTTTTAAAGATGAACAATCAATGACTAAAATTATCAGTACTAGCGTGCAGAATTAAAAAACACACCTGTCACAAGAAAAAAGACAACAACGACACAGCCAACTTACTGCTTTGTAGCCAACAATACGGATGGGCAGAGAGCTGCCTATTGTCAGCTGGCAGGGCCAGGCCATGGGTCTCCTTTCAATGCGTTTGAACATGCACAGCTGCTCGATTGCTTTCCTACAAGAAAAAAAATGGAAATCAAGTTACGAGACAGCATCCCTACTTAAATAAGACAAAGCATGTAATTTAAATATCACAAATGTTGCAGGAAAGAAAGAATACGGTATTAAAGAATAATAAAATAAACAAAAACAATAAACTCTCCTCTGACCTGAAAGTGTAAATTTCATCTAGTCCGTCTTCCTCATCCAAGCTTAGCATGATGTGTTTCACCATGTCCAGGCCACTCTTCTGTGCTCTGGACAGACCTTTACCGCAACCAGGCTGCCCGGGGCCCCTTCTGTCCCCATCTCCCTGGTCCTCTTCCTCCTCGTCCTCCACGGGAAAAGGCAAGCTGGAAAGTAATCTCGTAGAAGTTAAATCCAGAACGTGGGAAGAAGTGGAATGACAAAGGGGAGCAAATGCACAGACAAATAACTAATGGAGTGTTGGAAATCTGAACCTTACAAGAACTGCAGGGTGATGCCAGCTTGTTTCAGGTTGTCAATAATAACATCCAGTTTGTCTGGGTTTGTCTGGGTGGTGAGGTCAGTCAGGAGGACAATGTTGACACGATCACACTTCTTCCCCCTTAAAACAGGCACCAAAAGACCATTCCTTAGCATCATGAGCACTGATGTACATGAACTCAGGTCAGTTTTTGATTTTTAATTTGGATCATTAATGGGTCACAAACAGTCTCTTACTGAGTTCCGGTTCGAAGAAGATCCATGGACACTACAAGGGCATCCAGCCCTGTTAAATACACATTAAGGAGCTAACACACACACACACACACAGGAACAAATGTACTCAGTATGGAATTCAAAATTATTTTATAAGTAATAAATAAAAAATAAATACATAAATACCAATAATATAAATATCTCTTCCTCTCTATAGTTTGATGCAAACCTGAAAAGCATCCTCTGACGAAGTAGACTGAAATGTACCCTTTTCTCTTGTAAATAACTGGAAAGGATACAATCAGCCTGCTGACTCTCTGGGTGGATCTGATGTTCAATCTCCTCCAGAAGCTCGAAGTCTGGTATCATGAGGTGACGATGAACTGTGATGTTCTGGTACTGATCATCCTGATCCAGAGGGTTTTTGGTGGCATCGGTGCCAAACAGAACTAAAGCCAATTCATCCTTAGTCTCTGCAAAAACCTGACCGGAAGTAAAAACAATAAACAGTGTCGTTTTGAAAGGACAAGGACTTTCCTTCTGATTGTGATTTTGGCTTTATGCTTTATGTTACCAAAGTGCTGCTGTACCTGTCGCTGGACAAACTTCTGGATAACCCTTTTGGCAAGCTCAAAGGGAGACTCTTCCCCTGGACCTGAGTTGGACATGGAGAAGCCCACATCCATGCACAGCACCAGAGCTGACTGTAAACAGCAAACATCCCAGGTTATTTAAAGTTATATTCTTTATTCATTGTAACAAGAATATATGTGCTCATAATACTAAAATCGTAACAACTCTGTGGTTAAAAAGCTGAGAAAAACTGAGATGCGTAAACCTACACTGGGACTTGATAGGTTCGCTCTGCAGACCTGACATGTCTCAACATGTTTGACGTTTGAAACTCAAACATCTTTCTACCTTTCAGAAACCGCCAGTTCAACGATATATACACCATCTTACACACACGTACACGTATGTCGTCAATCATTCAAGAAATTAGTGAAAATAACTTACTTTAGCACCCGCCATCTTATTTAATTTCCCTCTTCCAAAGTGCACGTGTTACTCTGTTATGGGTCCGGAACGAAACTGCTTGTCACTCCTGGTTCCCCTTTTCAGCTTTATTTTTTCTGTAGCATTCATAAATGCTTTATGTTTATTTTGTGATAGTTCCTCTCATTACATTTATATTTACTTGAAATAACATCTGCAACTGTGTTAAGCTGTCCTCAAACTGTTGGTGAAGCTGTGCATGATGAGTCAGTCTAATTCTATGCACAAATCAGATGTAGGTCAAACGTCCTCCGACGGTTAAGAAGATCTGAGAATATAGTTAAACTTAAATCAGCCTACTGGTTGGCTGTTATGAGTTTAACTGATTTCTCCGTGACAGGATTAAGGATTAAGAATGCTGATCAATTAATACATTAAGGGGTACTTTTAACAATAGTTGTATGAGATAGCAAAATGTGTACATTTCTTAAATAAATAACAAAATATCAAATATGTATTTTATCACTTTATAAGAAGAGCCATAATGTTCATAGTTTGAACATATGTAATTATGACTGCATTGTAAAAAAAATATATATATATAATGTCAATTGAAAAATTAGATAAATTTAATGAAGTTAACATATTACATTAAATGTATTTTACCACTATATGTTTATGTATTTTTAGTTCAATTAATTTGTCCTTTTATGTCTGTACTGAAGTTTTTCTCAAATGGATTTCTCAAATGGTTGCTATTTAACATTACTGAAATAATACAGTAATACAACAATAAATTGAATTTGTTTAGTTATTTTATTTGCGCCTTTTTAGTTCATGACAGTAATGAAATAAAGATTCAATCATAAACCAATAGTCAAAGTCCTCACTGCCTTCTACTTTGTAAAAAATAAACTATGTACAAAGACAAGAATATCTATTAACATTTTCAATTTTATAGAGGACTGAAACTGTCATTATCCAAAATATTGATTTATTTAATAAATTAATTATTTTATTTCAGACTATCACAGGTTCATTCCTCCATACAACATTTTACTCAGCAAGTATTTAAATCATCTGGTTATTTTAACCAAGCATTCATCTTTCCTTTTTATTCAAAGCTGCTTGCAGTTTGTTTATGTCAAAGTGCCAGAGAAATAAACACCCAGCCACAACAGTTAATGTGAATGCACAACACCTACATTTTTCAACTCAAACAGGATAAAAATATAAAATATGACAGAAATTCACTACTGTGATTTTTCAGTGAAAACAACAAATGCAGTTTCAGGTAGCACCTCAACTCCAAGCACCAACTGAATGCCAACAGCCCCAAAACCAACATGCACCCACATCACTGTGTGAATAAATTCAGCAATGAATTAAATGAGATAGACTGTGCAGAGAAAGCCTGGGATTAATGAGCATGATTTTATGAGCATTCATTTTCCTCTGTAATTATGATTAATACACAGATACACCTGATGTCTGTGGGGCTCTTGTTTCATAGTTAGAGACAGGCCACATAACTTGTTTTTTTGTCTTTTTGTGAGTTAATGCAAATAAAACCAAAGCTGGAAAGTAAGGAACAATGCATAATTATGGTTTTAGTCAAAGTTGTTCCAATGGTACAAATCCAGATCCAATTTTTTTTATTTGATATTGTTCCGCAGTCCCTGGATATCAAGATGACTTAAAAAAAAGAAAACTGCATTGCTTTAAAAGACATTGAAACAATTGATGTCATCACAAATATTCAGGGATAAGATATTTACAGATAAACTAAAACTGAGGTGTAAACCTTCGCACTCATATGATGTGTGACAGTGTCCGGATCCTGGACGTGCAACTAAAGCCATGTGCCTGAAGGGTCTTCAAGTTCTCTTCAGGAATAACAGCTATTTAGTGATCTGCACGAGCCAAGAGAGAGCCTGTACATACAAATCATGGTTTGTAGAAATAGTCCAGCACCAAACGACAACAGGCAGTGTTTAAAAAGTTAGAATCTTCTTCTTTTTTATTTCTTCAATGGCTATGTGTAAAAAGATACACAAAGTTCCTTTGTAACCGACTTCAGATTTCTGGTGCCTGTAATGATGTGAGGTAAGCTCGAGTATTTGACATGACTTCAGTGTCTGCCCCCTCAAACTGATGACGTCTGGGCAAATTCGCTGGGCGCCTTGCTCTGCAGGGTCCCAGAAACGGTATCGGAGTCCAGCAGCTCCACGATGCTGTAAGGCGAGCAGTCCTCCAGTCCCAGCTTCCCACAGGCCCAGCCGCAGAAGCCTTTCTCCAGGTCCCGCACTGCCTGCCACCACTCGCTAAAGGCCCAGGACACCTGCACCACAGCCGAGTACAGAGCCAGAGACAGCGCCATGGGCATGATGAGCATGGGGTAGAAGATGATGAGAAAGGGGCATATTGTGATCTTGTGCCAGAACGTCCGCTCCTCGTTGTACACCAGGAAGACGTTGTACCAGGTCAGCGTGCCGTAGTAGAAGGAGGTGATGAAGGAGAGGAGGAAAACCACAGGCGCACAGGAGATGCTCCACAGGACAACGTGGGGTCCCTGACACACGCCCAGGGAGCAAGCGCCTTTCGATCCGTCCCCTGCCTCGCACTCTGCATCAAGACGTTCCCTTGACTTGGCCAGATCCCTGATTTCCTTCTCTGTCAGAGTGACGTGAATGTCCACCACCTGGCCCTTCTTCTTTCCCCGCGTGATGGTCCCGGTTAGGGTCACATAGCGGCTGTCTGGGGGAAGGTTCCAGCCTCCTCCTGTTCAGAGATAATATGATGGTGCAGATAGGAAATCAGCAATGTCTTATCAGCTCATTATTGTTGCATCTATAGCATATACAGTGATGGCAGAGTTAGAAAAGTTCAAAGATTGTGCAGTACTTTGGGAAAAGGGTTGAACAAAAATTAAGAAGTTTACATAAAGTTAAGGATATTATCATCAGTTTCACAAGATTTAAATGAAAGATTCAGAAAAGATTAAAAGGGTTCTCTGCTCATGAACTAAAACTGACAATAAAGCCAGACAGATACATTGGGGAAGATAACTTCAGTGCGTTATAATACATAAAGGTTTTGAAGCAAAAACTGCTGATATCTTATGACATATTTTTCAGAGAAGGACTTCCTTGTTACAGCAAAACATTGCAATATTCTTTCCCCGCATGCAATCTCAGCATAAAACTAAGATGACAGAAGGATCTGTCGAATAAAACTCCAGAAATTAACCTAAATTGAACGAACGCTGTATGTCAACCATGACTTAACAGCTAAAATGACACATCTTCCCAGCAGTAATCACAACTGACGTGTGACTTCATGACTCTAACACAACCTGACACCTCTCTCACCTTCGCCTGTGGGTGTGCAGAGGAACTTCGCTCCCTCTTCAGAGTTCCTCTCTGCTCCCTCCTCAGCGCTTTGCTCCTCACCAGGGGCTCTTTCCATGTCAGAGCGGTACACGATGATGGACTCTGGACGGGGCTCTTTCTTCTTCCTCCTCTTCCTCCTCATAGAGGGTCCCACTTCTCCATCGTCCACGTGATTCCCAGATACATCTGATCTTAAGGAGACCATCTGGGGGCTGCCTTCTCCTTCGGTTTGAGGATCTTCTGCGTGCGCCATGCTCTCTCTCACACAAGTGACCCTCTGGTTCTTCTTCTGATGCGTTACGTACAGAGATTAATAGTGAAATATTAAGCAGCAGTCTCTGCACTGCATCTAACCACTGCTTACGTAAAAAGGAGCAGTCTCTGGCTTCAAACAGAGAAAAGGAGAGAGAGCCCCTAATGAATATCCATGTATTTATTTTAGACACCAACACATTCTCAGTCTTTTTATTATTAGTATTATTTGCTTTCCTGCTCTTGCCTTGATCTAATAGGATCTGCACTGATAGAGAAAACTCGCACCGGATCTAACACAAACAAAGCATGATAACCTACATTTGTTCTGGGTAAGGGGTAGTTTCTGTTTGGATGACTTCACGCCTTGTCAAAAAACCCGCTTGATCACGCAGACGTAATTCTATCCCCTTTAAATGCCTTATAACAGAAAAAAACACACACGAGCAACGAGGTGCTGCTGTGTCGTTCCAAAATAGCGAGGAATTTATCATAAGACAATGAAACCGACAATGAAAGCGTTCATACAGCTGATCCCCTCCCATTTAAATCCCACCCATGTCCGCTCTTTTGTCTGCAGACATCAGCCGGCGAATATGGGTTGCTACGGGAAAACCCTCCACCCAAAATGCAAGCTTACCTTTTATCAGATGGACACGTAGCGTTTAGACACAGCCGTCTGAGAAAGAATCCCTGCATCAATTCGACACATTGTATGAACACAAACCAGGGCTTATGTTTTTGAGGATACAGATGCGCTACGTAAAAAGATTTCCAGAATAGCCCTAATCCCGCCCCTCCTCTAACCTCTGTCACGCCAATCCAAAACATCCTCCTCACTTCTGCCAGTTCAGCACGAGAATCAAATGGAAAATTACATCAGTGTGTTAAAAGAAGAAAACAATTTAAAATGAAGGTGGTTATACTGCCATATGTGTTTTTTCAAAGCAATACTTAGAAACAAGGATGTACAACGACATTGTTTGCGGAAATTCCGTATGAAAGCTTCCGTAGGATGTTTAGTTGGTGCCTTTGCATGAATGTATTAACATACATACGTAAAAAGAGCTCACGCAGTAATGTTTACCATAGGAACTGAAAGCTTGAATGAATGCTATTAAAATACCCCAAACCTCTCAACTAATATGGTTCCACCAAGTTAAAGACGTCATAAAGAAAGAAGACAAAAATTCGTTAGGGGCCATTATCTGACAGTAACCACTTATGACTGTGCACCACAATCGTTTTTGCGCAAATTTAAGCTTTTACGTAGGTGTTCTTAATTAAAAGCAGCTAACGGCCACCATATTAGGCTAACTTATCTACTGGTGTTTAAAAATGAGTACTATTTGTTCACTTAATGATATGGACAGCCTCCTCTTTCAGTTGGGTGAGTTTAAAAACTCTTGGCTGTATTTTATCGTTTCCAGTTGGTGTCACGGTGTCCTGGTTTAGCGGGAGTTACCATGGACCCAATGTCGGTTCTAAGCTAACTCGTTAGCTCATGATAACTCCATTACTTTCAGACTTATGTTTTGTTGATTTTGTTCTTGTTTTGTGTTTCGTAGCTCTTCAAACTCGGGAGCTTGTTCAGAAGAAGCATGAAATTAACCAACAAATTAAAGGTATGCCTTCTTTGGCTTTATGTTAAATCCATACCAAGTGCACATTTGCTTCATAGACATGGCTGAAATGAGCATTATTTCTGTTGGCAAAAAAAGAAGAAAGAACATGGTGCCATTTTAAAATGTCTTTCTGTTGATCCATTCACATGACTACCACATATTTATATTTTAAGTTAAGTTAAGGGTCCGTGTTGCTAGCAGATACTCAGCATTGTCTGGCCCTGAAATGTATGCATGGGCAGAGTTTGAAACAGCATGTCCTTCCATTTGTTTTTGGTTATTAACTGATCCACACATGACACTTCTATAAGCCAACCAGGGCCTTAACAGGTGCTCTATAAGAGGTCAAAAAACAATTTAGGTCCACCTGAGAATCATACAGGGTAATGTTTTATTTTTATTTTATAGAATAGCATTGTGTGCTCTTCAAGTGTTAAAACATTTTTGTCAACAGTTTGCAGGGTCAACATTGCTGAGAGGAGGTCTTGCATTGATACAATGCACCAAAACATCACAAAGCTTGAAGAGGAAATCAATGCGATGCAGAGCACTGTAATGCAGAATAAAGTCAATGCAAAGAGGTTTGGTGATATATAAACTTGCACATTTTATGATAGAGTCTCATGTTGTCAGGTTTGGTAAATTATTTTTTGGTTTACCATGTAACTTCAGCATGAAAGCGACCAACTGCCTCCTGCTTCAGTATGAGCAGACACTGAAGGCGGAACTGGAGAGTAGAAGAACCAGATACTTGCACGACCTGTGGGTTCCACCAGCTCTTACCTTTAAGGTTAAAATGTGTATGTGCATTGTCACTAACAAAACCCAATGGTTTTATTTGTGTTCCAAAAAGGGAAGTCTATGAAGAAAAGATGTCAAGTTGTAGAAAGACATTTCAGTCACACAAGGAGTATTATTTACAAGAACCCCTTGCTCAAGAGCTCCTTAAGCTACAAACGGAGAAAGAAGAGATTGAGCACAGAATCAAGACATGTGATGATCACATAGCTGGGAAACAGAAGGAGCTGGACCTTCTCACTGGTAATAAATTAGATCATTTTATTGCTTCTTGCTCTTGTGGTGCAGAAATATTTGATATAATATCTGTCTGAGCAGCTCCAGCAGTGAGCTGTGTTTCCACTGAGACGCCTCCAGGCAGGTAACTCTTACACATAACAAAGAATAATCATCGATAATAATTCGATTTTTTTTACTGACTGTCCATTTTTCCTGTGTAGTGATTTTGGCCAGCAGCTGATAACAGAAGAACAGACAAAGATGGACAGTGATTCTTCTATTGATATCTCATCTCTTCATCTCAGCCAGACCGCTGTACTTGGATAAACTAGTTTGGCGTTTTAAAAAATTCTAATTCCTAAAGTTGTTATGGGTGAAGGAAATATGTAGCTGGGTTTTTTTTGTCAAGCCTCTTAAATGTGTCTTATGCTGATTTTACAGTGTGGTCACAAAGCTCCTGCAGAGGCAAATGCTGAGGACATTCCTGAACAGGATACGGTCCAGGATTCTCCCACAAGTACTTCCCCTGACAAAGCCAGTATTGACAAGTGGTCCTTTGAGCAGATCAATGGTGAGCTGACTCCATTTTCTCTAAGTGCCAGAGGATGCTTTGTTTTGGTATTGTGAGCATGTAAAGTCTTTCTTTTTCTAGAACAAAGTCACCCAGATGAAATGAACACTGAGACACCAGAACTGGGAACTTCACAAGAGGACCAGGTCATATAGTTTTTTGGGTTTTCCGATACTTAGACTGACTATGGCTCAGGTCCATAAGACCTTGTATTTATCAGAGAAAAAGCGTCCCAAAATGGCATCAATTGTTGCCAAAATGAGTGATTTCAGCGATAAATGTGCAGTTACTTTGATTTGTATAACTAGAATTTGTTGCATCACATTTTGGGATTTTTATCGTCGAAACCAAAGAGTAACGTCTTTATCTCTAATTTGACAAAGGGCGAACAGCCCCCTGTGTCAGCTTTAGCTACTGTCGAGGATGAGATTAAGCAAAGAGCAGCTGTAGATGAGGAGCAGGCACCAAGTGAGAGTGCAGCCCAGGGAAATGCTGCTTCTCCTCCGACAGCTTTGGAAAAAGCTCATCCCCAGTCTCTCCCAGAGAAACCAACGGCCGCTCCGTCAACCCCAACTTTTGCATTTAAGTAAGCTGTTGTCTGACCCATTCCAAATGAACCAATACAATCAAATTCAATATCTCCTGAGAATACTTTTTTCTTGTGTTGACTTTAGCTTTAGCCCCAGCGCTTCCCATGGGGGGGGCTCTGATGCTAAATCTCCAGCCTTCCTTTTCTCTCTGAGCTCCGACCCGAGCACACCAGGCTTCTCTGGATTTGATGTTGGCTCATCAATGGATGAGGTGAGGAGACAGAAAAAAGAATACGTTGTCTGACTGCTCTCAGTCCTTTGTAGTTTTCAGAATTACCTTTCTTTGCAGGACTCGTCTTTCGCTTTCGCTGGTGCCTTTTTCAGCGAGAAGGTAATGCACTTCACGCTTTACGCCATACCTCTGTAACCGGATAAAAATGCTAAACTATTCATGTCTTTCCAGAAAGCCACAGAGGTCAAGCCTTCAAGCTGTGGGTATCTAGCTTTTATGTCGTCCCTCGTCTGTGTTACATAGGTTTAACTGCAGGTTTGCACCATTTTTGCAGGCCCTGAATTCCTGTTTGATCAAGCAGAACAAAGTGAAGACTTTCAGTTTGCCTTTCCTGCCAAGAGCCCTCAGTCAGCCAATAACAAAAGCACCAGGGATGAGTTTCCATTTTCCTTCAACTTCTAACAGTTCTACAAAGACATCCAACCTCTGAATTGACTTGTTTGTACAATACTTCCCTTGATTATTTATCTCTGTTGGGTTTCCCTAATGACAGTTACAGTGCTTAAAGATGCCATGACATCACCTGCTAATAGTCTCTTTTTTCTCCCAAATGGCTTCTCTCCATTTGAAAGTTTAACTTGGAGGTCCAGTCATCACAAAACAACTTATTTTATTAGTGTCATAGTTTAACATTTATTGCAAACAGGTAAAGCATTTGTAGCAGCTAAATACACACAAACAACTATAATATATTTCCAGTATTTATCTCCTTTAAAAACAGTAGTTTTAGAGTTTGACACATTTTATGATGTAAGAAAATGTTGAAATATTTCGAGTTTTGTTGCATCAGTGGTTAATGTACTGTTTCAGTCTCAAACAATAAAAAAAAAGATAAAAAATAATTAGCATCTCGCTGGTCCCTTAATCACACAGTCACATTAGTGCACACAAAATACTCAACATTACAACATTAGTAGATTTCATAATATATTTGCATGCAAAAAGCAAGACCAAGAAAGCCGTTTAATGGAAACACCTGATTCGATTGTTTTGGTTGACACTGTCAAGGTGTTTGTATTTCATTTTAAAAGCAAACCATTCATAAAACAGCACCTACATTCATCTGTAGTATTTTCTATAATCAATCCTGTGTGTTTCATAGCAGCAGTTTCAGTGTAAAAAGCATCTCGTGCACATTGGCACAGGAAATAGAAACGTGTTCTCTGTACTGAATGCTTCACTCAATGTATGAATGTTTGAATTGCACTTTTACATTCAGTCCGTTGTAGCTACTATTACACCGACCACAGACTGAGTTCATGAATTGTGTTAAGATTGGGATATATTTCTATCATTACTCAAAGGCAGGGTCTTTCGATTTAAGAGAGGAACAACATTCAATGAAAAGGCCACAAATCAAACTGGAAACCGCTCCTCTGGGCCTTTGCTGTAATATGCATGAGCAAGCTCTTTAAAAACCTCTGACACAGAAACCTGAGAGTGTGACGGAGGTTTGCGAGCACGCGTCTGTAGCCCAAACTGAAGCTGAGTGCAGAGAGGAGGGGTTGAGGTGGAGCACTGGCACATTCCATCTGGACAATCTTATTCCTACAGGTCTGAGGTAGAGCTATGAAAGACCACACTCTTGAATTCTAATATGAAAATATCCTCTTTTGTAGCCACAGAAACAAAGGAAGGAGAGATAAGGGTCGAAAGGTGCTCCGCTCAGAGAGCTTAGTAGCCGGCGTCGATGCTGATGGAGCGTCGGGTCACGTGTTCGATCTCTCCGGGGACATACTCGCAGAAGCTGGTCTGGTACTTGGCCAGCATTTTCAGCATGGGCCGCAGGTTAAACCACCACTGAACTTTGGGCATGCGGTGCCTGAAAAACAGAATGCCGATTGACAAGGACCTTCTGGGTATTTGACCAAACCACAAACGGAGTATTTTCTGCAGCGCTTACTCGAAATCAGTCAGATCCTTCAGCTGGGTGACGGGGATGAAGGACACAACCTTCCTGTTGAGGCCGAGCACGCAGGCGGATTCGGGGGTGTTGGCAAACACGCGGCCTGGTGGGGGACAGAACGACACATTCAGGAGTACAGAACAGTTACATCACGCCAGTGTGAGAGCAGGGAGCCCACCTTGTCGGAAGTTCTCAGTCAGCTTCTCAGAGAGCCACTGGGTAGCCTTCACTCCCAACTTGGTGCCAAAATTTCTATCAAAGGGCGAAGGCGACCCTCCCTAAAGAAAAATTGCAAAAACTGAGCATAGACACGATCCCGGGGAAAAAAGTGTGAAATTAGAGTTTTTAGTTTGTGAGTTCCGTACCTGCTGAAGGTGTCCCAACACATTGACTCTGCAGTCAAACACGCCCTTCCCCTCTGCTGAGTACAGCCTGTAGATGAAGTCTGTGGTGTAGTTTTCATGGCATTTCTCATTCCTGTTAAGGAAGACGAAAGAGAGAACAACACTCCAAAGTTATACAGAGCAGCTTTAATTCAATCCCAAATCAACTTTTGCATAATAGTGCAAATCCTCACTAGTTATTCTCAGGATCAACACTGTTTGGTGTTTATCGTCATTTCAATAATGTTTAGGCCTTCTTCTTTTCTCGTGCTAACAATCTCTTTCAGATTTGCTGCTGGTTTGGGTTCACTGTCCTGTTGAATGACCCACTACAGCCAAACTTTGGTTGACAAACAGGCCTTATGCATGGCTCCACAATGTTTCCGTCGACAGAGGAGTTCATGACCCGGGTCAGGTCATCAGTCTGTCACCCTCCATGCTTGACACAGTAAAAAGCATTTGTGCTGTTCTGTGTAAAGTTCTCACTAATTGTGGTGCATTTTTGTTTTGAGTATCTCTGCTTTGTTTTCCTCTGTCTGATATTGATTCAGTAATTCAGTCTTTTTTTAGAGGAAGGAATACCTCTTTATCCATGATAAAAGTTATTTTTTGACTAAAAATTGAAAAACCGAGAAGACAAGAACTATCGTACAAAGAACAGAAGTTTAACCAAAGACAGTGTGTCATGTACCTCAGTACAAGACCTCTCTGGATGTCCTTCTTCATCTTTTCACTTAAGTGATCCACATTGGTCTGTGAAAAGGGCACAAAAGAGAAAGACTTAAGACACTAAAAATACAAAAACAAACAGATAATGTTTTTTTTAGGTTTGGCTTTTACCTTGAGGTCATGGATGTTGAATGACTCCTCATATATGTAGGCGGCGTCGGCACCTACGGCTATTCCAGTGGAGGTTGCCAGATAGCCGCAGTATCCACCCATAGTTTCAACCACAAACACTCGTCTTTTGGTCCCAGAAGCAGACTGCTTGATCTTGTCGCAACCCTGAAGAATTTAAAATGGATATTTGAAGTGGAGGCTGAAATAAGGCAGCTCTGAATTACAGTCTGTCAGTTTTACAGAGATCTGAACTGAGATTATGTAATCTGCTCCTCATGGATGTTTCTAAAGGGATAAACGCTTAATTGTCTGTTTCTATCCATTGTCTTCAAAGTTTAAAGATCAAAACTACAACACTTAAAGCCTGGTCAGACTGAATGAATAGCTAAGTCTCTCAGGAACCTCTCAGGTATTTTCAGGTTACGTCTCTTTTCATCTCCAACCTAAAACATCAAAGCTGCACAGTGAAAATGAGCCATCTGCTCAAAATTACCTCCATGGCGGCGTTCACAGCCGTGTCTGCTCCCAGGCTAAAGTCAGTTCCGGGGACGTTGTTGCTGATGGTAGCTGGGATGACACACATGGGGATGCAGAACTCGTCGTAGTGAGTCCGGGCTTCGTACAGCTGCAGCACGCCTTCGTATCCCTTTGAAAGGGGCAGAGAGGTGGATTTAAAGACACTGAATATGTTTAGAGACTGTAAGACTTTAGAAGGTTTTTTTCTTCCTAATATACCTCAAACCCTCCTATTACAAGCAGAGCTGAGATGTTGAACTTGGAAATGTTCTCTGCAATCTTTGCCATGTTTTTTGCGGGAAGGGTTCTGTAGAGAAGCAGCATGAAAGACGCTCAGTTACTTGACCTCACTTCATCTGTATCAGCTACATGATATAAAGAAACTGTCCCAACATCTACCCCACTTTCATAAATAAGGTAAAGCATTCTTGATTCTAATTCCCATATATCTAGTGTCTTTTTACACACCTTTTGGTCCCCAGTAGTGAGCCCCCTTGGCCTGTCCATCCAGCCACACTGTGCCATTTCATCTCAAACACCTGTGGACAGAACAGGTGGCAGAAAGGTTTCCTCTCAGTCGGGTTACTGTGAGGTCGCCTAAATTCCACTTCAATGTGATGACGGTGCAGTCTCACCTCTCCATTAGCGAGCCCCTGAAAGCCGTCGTGCACAGCGTAGACTTTGTGTCCATGAGTAAGTGACAACCTCACAACTGACCTGACAGCTGCATTCATCCCCGCAGCCGGAGCCCCCACGTTCAGAATAGCCACGGAGAAATTACTCTGACGGAACAGGAGTGGGCAAATTTCAGGCTACAATTTGTGCTTCTTTAACGTCTGTCAGGTGCTAAAACAGCATGAAAGATCGGGTGTGTGACAGACTAACCTCGGTTGGGGCAAGTTTTGGGAAGGCAAGAAGCTTGTAGATGTTCCAGTTGTTCTCAAAACTCCTGCAAAAACACCACTATTTTAGTTTGGTATATTGATATATACGTGCACAAAATCTAAATCGGTGTTCTCACCCTCCACGCAGTGCCAGAGCTTCATCAAACCTCTTTTCATTCATGGCTTTCTGCACCAACTTAGTCTGCAAAGGACGGGTCGGAAAAATCAATGATTGAATCTCCACCATTTTACGTACATTCGGTTTGTTCTTTAAAAATCAATAACAGCGGGGCAGAGTGGCACTCACCATTTCCACACACTCCATTAGAGGCAGACGGACGGCATGGTTCCCCGACAGGCCGATCACACAAGCCGGGGTGTCTGGAGAGGCCTCCATCAGGGCAATCACGGCCTCCACACCCAATTTACTGCTCTAAAAATACAGATGGAATTCATTAAATGCTGACAACAAATAGTGGAGGAGGTCCACCTCCTTCCCTTCCCTCTCAGATTATGTGGACAATCAAACATGCGGACCAGAGTCAGAGGTGGTAAATTCAGTCCAACGGACCTGCTGGCAGCTACAAGCATTTGTACTGCTATGTATTTTTTACCCTCATTGTCATCCTGTGGGTTGTTATGGCCATTAAGGTTCTTATGTAGGTCCTTTACACACTTGGTCTTCATGTATGTTGTTGGACTCACACAATTTAAGATGTATATGGTGGAAGATGCCAGGGGGAATAGGTCAGGCCTGCACATCATGTGACTGACAGGTGGTGCAATAGGTCACCACCCTCATGACCTCCCAAACTGGCCAGTGTTGTATACAAATCCGTGTAAAGCTAGGAGCATAGACCCATTAAGACGAGGGGTCAAATAACAGCTCCATTCCACCTGCACTCAAAGGGTAAAGCACTGGGGGTGTGACAAAAATAATTAAATGAAAGAAGCGAGGAGAAATTCCTAAGGAGGTAGGAAAGATGGCCTTCCTCAAATGAAAGTCTGACCAGCTGGTATCTGAGTCTGCCGTAGTAAAACTACATATGTGCCAAATATCTTCTATCAAACGTGGTTAAGATACTTCCTTTATCATAATCTTAAACAAAGAGTTTCTCATAGACATCATATTAAATGCAAAGCAGTTAATGCAGCTGGGTGTGAACAACTGGTGACTGAAAATGAGTAATATTCATAACGTGCCCTTAAAACGGCATTTAATAAACATCAGTAAGGTCCTGACATGAGAAAACCAGTTTACCAGTATCCTGTCGAAGGCTGAAGGAGTCCCTCCCCGCTGAACATGGCCAAGAACGGTCACTCTGGTGTCATAGCCCAGCCTCTTCCCCACCAGCTTCAAGCCAACATGAAAACACATTAGTGGGTTTGTGTTAAGTCTTCCATCAAAATACTTTAAGGTCACCAGTATAAAAAAATCCTAAAATCTTGAAACTCACTTCCTTTATGTAAGCCGAGGAAATGGGCTTTCCATTTGAATCAATGGCTCCCTCTGCAATGATGATAATGTTAAGTCTTGACCCCTTGTTGCGGCTCTGGAAGGAGATGAAAATTAGACATTAGCCTGCCTCCAAGTTGTTTCAGTGTGCTTTTCATCACATCAAACGGGTTTAACTTTAACATCTACTGTGTGTGCATCTGTGTCTGCAGCTCATGTATAATCTGGACTGGGTGTGCCCTACCCTCTCCAGTCGAGCACACATGCGGTCCTCCCAGCCCTCCAGTGGGGGAGCCTCGGGTATGAAGAGCCAGTCTGCCCCCGATGCCAGCGCTGTCACCAAGGCCAGATACCTGGAGTATTGCACAGTAATGCATACAAATGAGATTTCATTTATAGCGTTGTGCTGGATCGCAAAAAAAGCGTTACTTACCCACAGTGTCGACCCATGACTTCAAGAACAAATGTGCGCTGGTGGCTGCAGGAGGAAAAAAAAAAAAAGATTACCTTGAGAGAAGTCAAAACATTCCTGCTTTAATCATGTCAGCAGAAAAACACTGAACATTCTGATATGCAAGGAGACAAGTCTGGGCAAGATGCGACACATATGCTTGACTAAAGGAAGCCGATAGAGAGGGAAAATACTGCACTCCATTTAGAGTAAACCTCACAGTACACTGCCATTAATACCCTAAGAGAACGGTCTCATTTTTGGAACGTGTCTGAAGCTGATTTTTAATTGCTTCAAGTTTTTCAGTCTAATGGCAAAAGGTGTCAAAGGTCATTTAATTAAAAGAATGACAAGAAGCTTAAAGTGTAACAACAAAACTAAACACTTTTTCCAATGAAAAAAACGTAATCCTGGTGTGATTTGTACATATTTGATAGCTCACTGAGTCAGAACAACTGGACAGCTGGACAATAACTGCACAGAGCAGCTGTCGCTGTTAAGCATCAATCTGTCTGACCTCTGCGCAGTGGTCATGATAGCATCAACTATCTCCATGATGCGGTGCAGAGCCGAGTCGGCTCCGATGGTCATGTCAGTGCCACAGAAGTCGTTGTCGATCGAACCAACAAGCCCCACAATGTTAAGGTGACTGTTCTTCTTGGCCATCTCGTCTGTGATCCTTCCTGATGAGACACACGCAAAGAGCTCCCTTAATCTACTGATTGAAACTATTTCCGAGCCAAACACATTTGGAGACATGGCTCAGCGGGAAGCGCCCAACGTCATCCTGAGAGCAGCTTACCTTTCTGCACGAGCTCGTCCAGCAGACTGCTCCACTCATTGCGGAAGATGTTGGCTCCAGTGAGGCTGCCGTCCCCACCACACACACACAGGTTGGTGATGCCCTTCTTCACCAGGTTGAAGGCAGCAGCAATCCTCCCCTCACGAGTTGTGAAGGCCTTGCAGCGGGCACTGCCAATCACCGTCCCCCCCTGCAGGAGTGACATCAAAGAATAAAACAAACACAAAGACAAGCAATCCACAAAAATCTCTTTTTAGAAGTGCTTCCACCCACTGCTTCATATGACAAACAGAGCTATAAGCAGACTAAATTGACCTCACAAGACGCTTGTATGTGGATTAGGGTTAGGGTTTCACTCTTAGGGATGGAAACAGCTGCATGCCCAAAGAGTGAAACATTTTCATTGGTTCATCACTAAGGTCACAAAGCTATTCAAAGTAGAATGAATTCAGTCATAGACAGCAGAATGTAGTGGTGATTAGTGGAGCAGCAGTAGTTTCAGGCTCTGGCTCCGACAGTTTGGTGCACAGGCTGATTGGGACGCTTTCAGCTTCTTTTTTTAAAACTCTATTAAAAAAATACATAAATAAAACATTTCCTTTGTAAATGGTTGAAAACAACAGTAACGAGGTAACCTACCAGTTGGATGATGTTGGTCACACTGTGCCAGTGGGCCAGTTTGATGTTGTCTCCACCATCAACCAAACCCTGGTATCCCTGAAAAGCCACAAGAACAGTGTAATTGTATCAAAGAAAAACAAACCAAACTCGTATGTTGTGTATGTTGATGAGGGTCCCGGCCTCTGTTTTACCTCATGAATAAGATAGACCTTGGCTCCTACATAAATGCCCATTCTGGTCACAGCTCGGACAGCAGCGTTCATCCCTGGGGAACACATTATTTATCTATATATATCTACATAAATACACACACACACATATACATACACACACACAAGGAAATCACAGTGAAAGGGACTAAACCTCACTGTCAGTTATTTACCTAGTGATGGCATCAACTTCAGTTCTTGATTAGATTTGCTTTAACAGATCCTGATGCATAGTGGGCAAGTAAACTAATCTAAGCTCCTCACCGTTATTGCACAATCATCCGAGAACTGAGATTGAGTTGGCTATGAATATTACGCAACAACTGTTTCAGCACATCTGTCTCGAAAAACAGTTGGATAAAACTAAAAGTAATGTTCGATTTCAACCTCATTTTGGAAGTTTTCTTCCCTTTTTGACTGAAGTTCAAGGACAGTTCAATTTGTGCTTCACTGTTCTTAAATCACATCGACTGATATAAATATTTTAGAAATTGTACATTTTCTTGAGATATGTATTTACAACGGAAAGACCTCTCATTCAATTCATTTACAAGCAAAGATCAGATCAAAACAAGATCAGATAAAACAGTCTCCTTTGCATTTTTAGTAGGGCAGTTAATCATCAGCTAATTATCACATGAATGTGAGAGTTGAGACACTTGAAAATAAAATACAGTCAGTGGATTTGGACCACATCCATTTTAAAAACAACCCACTGCTGAACAACCTGAAACTTTCCCTTTGGGAAGGGGCTGTACGATGATCATATTTGATGTTATTAAGCAGAGTCTACAAACTAGCTATAGCTGTGGAGGACATTTCAGCAGCAGAGGACACTATCAGGAAGATTTCCCAAAGGACCAAACACAGTTTCACGTATCGAGACAAGTGAGAATGTGTGAGCAAAGCTTCTTGGAGCAGAAACTCATTTACATTCTTGCACCGGCCTGTGCCACAGGACAAACCTGAGCTTGCTCCTCTGCCATTTAGAAATGGCTTTACATCCAAACATCTGCCTGATCACGGCAGAGTTTTACCTCCAGGGAGGCAAACGCTTCCCCACATTGCATAAAAGAGAGCTGGACAGTGTCTATATATTCTCAATGACCCTACACAGGATTGGCCGTTGCGTTATTTTGCCCAGTGAAAGATATATGGATCTGTGCGCATGCACGCCGACTTCGCCTCACGTGCCCGCGCAGGGCCAGGAAGCCCCCTTGCGACGGCCCTGAATACGATTCAAGTACCACCAGTTTCCCCCCATCGCACCGGGTTAGAAGCGGGGTGTTACTGTCGTGCATTTACGTGCATTATGAGCACAACTGTATCTGAAGGCCGCACCTGACCTTTGACCCCTGAGTCGATCATAAACCGGAATAAACAGGGCAATTCAGTCAGCTGTCAGCGCGCGCGGCCAGCTAAGACCCACGCACCTCCAGGTCAACAGCCCACTACACTGGTGGCATTTCAACACCAGGACACTCTTATAGCTGCACGTGCACATAAAAAACCCCAGCCCGCAATACACCGTCAGAAAAGGTGAGGTTTAAGGTCACCTTGGGCATCTCCACCGCTGGTCAGAACGGCCATGGCCCGGCCGGCCCCCGTCATCTTCAGCTTCTCCAAATCCATCGAAGTCATTCTGAACCTCTTCACCTTCACACAAAGAGACTGTTCTGAAAATGAAGCAAAGGTCCTCTCACAGGGGCCGCAGAGAGCTGTTTCCGTCCCGTATCCGTTTTATGTCCAAGTTGAGACTTCCTCGTTGGACACAGGTTCGAGCCCTTGTAACCGTGAACCCCAGCCGTAGCACCTCTCCAAAGATTGTCTCCGCCCTGATCAACAAAGGAGTGCTCAGGGAGCGTTCACTTATTCCGCCGGCACGACCCGGAGAAGCCGTGCTCCTCTACCCGTAGTGGTTTTCAGCGTAACCCCGCCTACTCGTCGAATCCCAACAATTGCAACCAATGAACGGGTCAATTGCACGTACAGCACGGACTGATATCGACTGTTTTTATTACGGTATCGGTCCGTCGGAAAGCAGCGTTCAGGAAATGATTCTGCAATTCATTATTTTTAGGACTTTAAAAAAGAAGTTGGGTTTGTTGATGATTCTGAAACATTTGGCAAAGATGAAGGAGATTAAACCTTGTGCGGAAGAATTTGACCATTGACAACTTCCCTGAACTGTAGCGTAGTGCAGAAACCGACAGCCAATCAACCAACTGGGCCTTTTTGTCTAGTTTCATCCCAGAATTGGATATACATCCCAGAAGGAAAACACACACAATCTAAATGAGTAACAGTAGATGTGCAAATTAAGATCTGTAAGACCATACTGAGTAATAAAGATCAATTAGCACAAAAATACATTTGAAAGTGCTTCTAATATATTCACACAAAACAGCCCACAGAACACCCATATGCAAAGCAAATAAAACGAGACAGAAGGAGATATGAATAAACAGATAGACAGAGAAGGAATGGAAATTGGCCATAGAGGGACAAGATGCAAATCATGTTGATGCAGGTAAGGATTCCCTACTGGATTCCCCCCAACAGTCAAACTATGTCAAGCATGTAAAATAAAGAATGAGAAGAAATTAGTTTCAATACTCGGTTCAGAACCACTAAAATAAACATTGGCATGCACCCAACTTTGAATATATTATTCAAATGGGGAGCATTTAGTCTAACACACTACTATATAATGACAAAATAATCCAAACTTCCCAAAGACACCAACAACAGCCTCAGAAAGAGCCGCAAAACTGTTGTGAGTAAAACAGAGGAACTTGTTTCACGGACACACACTCATACACACACAAATACAGAGACAGAGACAGGAAGACAAATGTTGAAAGACAAAAGGAGATTAACAAGTTTTAGGAATAATGAAACATCACCATAACATAACGTTTGATTAAAATTACACACAACTGTTTTTATACATCCTCTCAAGTGAAGATTAGGTTGTGTACCTCATCTGAAGGATGACGGATACTTGTTTGAACGTACTGTCAACATCTGTGCAGGGAATACAAACTGTAAAACTGGATTAACCACAAATGGAGGTGGCTTTGGGTATCCCCTGTCTGTTAAAATGATGGTGATCCCCAGACATTTTTGCAACCATTCAGAGCAGCAGAGCAGAATGAAACCAGCCAGATGGGAAATAACTGACACGTTACATTGACATGAGCAGGTCAGCGAAACGTGTGGCTTCATCTTCTCCACAGGTTTGAAGACTCAAATATTTTAAACCTGAAACTCTCAACCAGCAGTCAGTTGGAGCTGAAATAACTTGTTGTAAAAGATTGATGAAAGAGCAGACCCTGAACATAGGTACAAATTGTTTAAAAATGACCCATAAACAGTGGAAATGTATAAATAAACATTCAGAGACTGTTTATACTCAAACAGACAGAAAAAAAAACACACCAAATATTTCTTCCTCAATCTAGTTTTTCAAAGGATGAAAATGGTCTGAAGTTATTTACCCAAAATCTGGGTATCTAGATGTTTTAATTGTCCCAAGAGGATTTCCTTGAAAGCTAAGAAATAATCTCAGTGCTAATGTCTTTAACCCTATAATGCCAAATGTATCATATTTGATACATACGGTTTCTGAAATGATTTGTGACACCTTTTGCATAATTTAATGGTAAAAAGTTTGCTCAAAATCCTATACACAATCAGATATGCCTGATAACAGGGGGCAGAAAACTACAAGAAAAATAATCTTGATTTATTGCATAGTAATAAATTATTAATATTAAAAATGTATTTTAGTTTTTTCTTTTTACATATTTTGTTAAAAGGCCAAATAAGGAATTCAAACAAAAAAAAGTAATTTTATGTTTTGTTTTATTCTTGGATCAGGCTTTAAAGGGTTAACTGGGATTTAGCAATTTACAACCTGAAATGTTTAATGTCAGTTAGCCAGATTAGACTTGACTCAGAACCTGTTATACAAGATATTTTCATAAATTAAGCTTCTATGAGCGATAAAAGCACAAAAACTAAACTTAATAATTCAAATATAAATCCAGATTTGGCATAATAAATATCTAAGTAAAACAAACAAAGTCCTCTGGATTACAAATGAGACAGACCACAGTGTTTTAGGTACAGTGCATCAGCATTTATTCCATGCAGTTGTTTGCTCTGATTTTATTCTTTCATTGCACTGTACACTGGATAATACAGGAAACTGACAGGATTGGTTGATCATAATGCCATTCAACAGGAAAAGTAGTCAGAAATGAGCGTAACAAAGAAACAGATGTTCGATACACATGACGATGATGTCCACAGTTAGAGAAACAATTTCACAGAAATTCAGGTGTAAGTTATAGTATTTTTTTAAAATTAAAAATGAAGGGAAGGATCACTGCAGAAGTATAGAAATCGTCTGCCCGCGTACACACGGGCTTAACAGTTCATTTCCCCCGCTGTGGCAGCACCGACTCCTAGCAGCCTCTGGCGAGATGAAAAACTCTTTGTAGCTAACTAATTTAATACCTCGACTGCAGTGACACTCTAAGTGATGAATGGTCCCCAGCAGGGTCAAATGATATGACGATGCTTTTGTTCAACCATATAAATACTGTCCTCTTCCCACACCAATTCATTGTGCTTCCTTTACAATAATACTTCTCAGGCGAAAAATTGTTGGTCATGACATTTCTGAAGCTGCCTGAAATCATAAAGAACACTACTCCTGACCAATCACCCCAAATAAATTAATTCCACAATCATGTAGGCCAGCTACAAAGAAAAAATAAAAGCAATTAAAATGTAATTAAAATCTCACAACAATCATGCTTCACAGGATGAATGCCAGATGGACAGTGCGGTCAGCGGTTTGATCGGATCGCCCAGTCCTTAGATTACACAGGGTTATTTCACATATAGGTAAACAAGAATGAAGAAAGTAGAGGGACGCTTCAGTAAAAAAGCTGCCCTTGTTCTCAGTAGCAGCCTTTTCAAAGCACTCAAGCAAACCGTAATTTGTCCTTTGGTGAAAATTTAAGCTTCACCTTGTGCTGCTTGCTTTTTATGACTCCCCCCCGCCCACCCGTAGTGTTCAACACTGATTTGAAGAATTTCCTGCGCGTTTCCAACCTGTCGGCCGGTCGTGGGAGCCGTGCGATACATCAGAGAGAGGAGACGAAAACGTTACATTTACAGATGTTTATGTTCAGGATTAACACTGAGATGAGGTTGCTGAAAAAACCCACAGCAGCTTGGCGCTCTGTGGCCTTGTCACTGGCTTATGCTCCTCGCACAGAATCTCACCCGTCTGCGCGGGCTAGAGCTGACATCACAACATCATTATTTCTAAATTCAACCCTGGCTGACGAGATCACTAAGGGGGATGACATAAAAGGGATTAGAAAACAAAAATGATTAAAAAAAGGAAAAAAAAGCTGAGGCAGATGCAGTGTCCCCCTTCAAAGACAAGCAGATGAAAAAGAGTTTTATTGCCAGGATTCTAAGATTCAGTCAATCAGGATCAGTGAAATTACCTTAGAAAAAAATAAAAATACTGGGTTTGGGGCAGGGACTTCACATAGAACAAGGCAAAAATGAGCATGTTCAACTGTCACCATCTAGTGGCTGTTGATATATTGCTTTCCATCTACCAACAACACAAAACCTGAGCTTCAAATCCCCACTTAGGCCATTTCACATAAAAAAGTGGGAAAAATAAAACATAAAGCCACGTGATGCTTTTCTCTAGCCAACAGCCTCTGTGGCTGTGTCTAGCCAGCTAGACATACCCCCCCCCCTAAAAAAAAAAAAAAAAACCTGAGCAAACCCCTCTTTTCTCCCCCAAGAGTCAACCTCCTGTACTGTATATATTATTGCTGTTGTATTAACCACAGCACTGACGTAGTTCACTCTTTTTGGATGCCTTTCTTTGGACAGTATAAATTACCCTGCTAGAAAATGGTATGTGGGCCACACTGGGATGTGATTTTCAAGAGAAGGGACACTGCACCTGGACCGCAAATAAAATCACCTACACGCCCGTTACAGCGGTAAAGGGTTGAACATCAAGGCTTTGTTAAATATTCCTGCATGGTCCATACATGTGCCACTTGAAGAACACGCCTTCATACAACAATTTGTCCAGTTTCACAGTCCTTGAACAATCCTGAGATGACACTGGAAACTGTCTAATGATGTGGAAGGGGCTTCGAGTTCACACACACACGCACACACACACACACACACACACACGCGCGTGCGCACGTATACTTAATATTCACTCAACAACTCCTGTCGTGACATCTGATTGCTGATGACGTGTCTTAGAGAGACGGATGAGAAGAGAGGAAGAGAATTTTTTTTCTTTTTTAGTTCTTAGCCGTCAGCTGAGTCTTCGTCTCTGCTGCTCAGCTAGCTTGTCGGCTTCATGCAGTCTTCGGGCGGCTTTCCGCGTTTGCGAGGCCATGTGGGCATGCTTTGACGGCCATATGGGGGACCCTGATGACCACGCATGTATGGCGGTTGAAAGACGGGGGGCGGGGGAGAGTCCGGTTGCGAGGCAGGTTGTTCATGCTGGTGTCTGTAATGCTCCCACAGTGAGGACATGACGGAGGTGGAGGAGGGGGGGGGTTACCGGGTGTCTGCTTTGTAAACTTATAACGAAGCAGGTCTGTCAAACTGCAGTAGGAGCTTGCTGTTGTTGTTTTACAGATGTTGAGCACAGTAGTGATGCTCTGAGACCAGCTACTGGAGCTATGAGATTCCCCACTGCCAGCTGGAAGTCTCAGATACAGATGTGCTTCAACACATTCTCTCTCTCATGGTCATCGCCACCCTCAGTCACGGCCTTTTTGCCCCTCTGTACACATCATCGAACATACAGAGGTCCTGAATTTCACTTAAAAAAATAATAAATTATGAATGTTAAACTACTGTACATTATCATTCAAAAGGGAATCCCTGCCATGGGTTGCCTGGATGCGGTGCTCGATCAGAGGCAGTGGGGCTTTATGAACGGAGGGGTGTGTTGGGAGGGGCTACTTTAGGGACTTCGCCTTTTGGTGATCTTAAATCACCCTGTGGTCCTCTTATTGCTGTGTTTTCTATGAAGCTCAAATCTGGGACATGGGACAGAGCCTCCAGGCAAAAAAAAAAAAGAAGAAAGACAGAGCCGTGCCACGTGGCGAGATTCACCACGAGGACGGGGCGCCGGCTTTGTTGTTTCTGATGGTGGCATCAGAGCACTCCGCTTCAGAGGTATCACAGTCCGAGTCCCCGAACTGTAGCGGGTTCTGAGGGAAAAAGTAGAGAACACACAGGAGCATCAGATTCCCTTCAAGGGATGAGTTTTAAAATGTACAGGAAAAGCTAGTATGAGTCCACTCATTCCTGGAGCATCAAATAAATCAACTCTATCAAAGTATATAAAAATTCAGAGCTATTCTAGTGTAATGTTTAAAAAAAATTAAGCCTATCTTATTTTAATTGTAAATAGATTCAATGCCACATTAGAACCTTTTGCTAACATTTTGCTAATATTGCCATCTTGATAAGCAACTTCACCTTTGAGGCTTTTTTTAGCAGATAAAAAAAGATTCACCTTTGTACAGATTTCTTTTCCATTACCTCCCCTTATCTTGATTTCATAAACTTAGTCTCTGTGCCTCTTCGTTCAGGTCTCACACTTCTTCTGAAGTTTGTCTGTGTGAGATAATTTTTTCATATCTAGTTTCTTTGCAGAACTTAGATAAGGGTCCTAACTGCCCGATGAAAACACTGCTTTTAAAACTTTTAAACTTGGATTAAAGGTCAGTTGTTCACAGTTCGAACTTTTCCACGAGCTTTTGAAATCTTTCTGAGTGAAAGTGTTGGAGGGACTGAATAACTGGAGTGCCACTGACCTCATAGCTGTGTTCGTCTGAGCAAAGCTTCCCCAATGAGATCTGTGTCTTCACCCGCCGGACAGCGCACTCTTTGTCGGAGAGGCCGTCTGATTGGGTGGAGATGTCAATAGGGATGTCTGGTGTGTGTGACAGCAGCTCATCCAGGTGCTCCTCTTGACTGGCACTAAGCCTCTCCAGGGGCCCGCTGTGTGAGTGGTCACTGGTGTTTCCCTCCTCTCCATCAGACACTGAGAGGTTCTCTGAGCTGAAGGTGGAGTAGGACTGGAAGCTGCTCATGCAGCGATGAGGCCTGTGAGGAGCAAAAGGAAAAATATTTTCTGAACAAATCCACATTCTCTGTTCATCTCTGATGAGTCCTGCTCACTTTGCTGTGGTTGGCACTTATAAATATTTTGGTTCGGACGTGGAAAAGATGGCTTCCTTTAGTAGCACACCATGAATCGAGAGTGTTGCCACACATTAAAAGGTCAAGTTTGCAAACTAAACGATCCACTTCAATTTACCTCTGTCTCCTTGGAAACTCGACCTCACTGTCCACCTCTCCCTCTTCCTCTTCAGATGACTCATCACCACCCTGCAACAGCAGCAGGGAGAGAGGTTAATCAACTAGAAACCTTCCTGAGCACGAATAGAATGCGGAGCACACGGTCTTCTGCTGTGCGGCTGGCGGGGGTCCTCACCTTCCTGAGTGGCCTGAGGGTGCGGGGCAGGGCGGAGGCCCGCGCGTGCGTCGGCTGGGCGGGATCCTGCTCCGGTAGCGCAGCCTTCTTTGGGTCGTCGCCGTCTGAAATCTCAATCTTGTTGGGCACCCCTAACGAGCACTGGGTGTTCTCTTGGGTGTTGAGCAGCGAGTAGTGCGGCAGCTCGGGGTGGCTGAGCGTGGGAGGGGTCTCCTGACAGTGCAGGCAGCCGGGGAAGGGGTGGGCCTGGCAGCAGGGGCACAGGGAGCCGGCGCCCGACACGGGATTGGGGCCGGCGGACGGGGCGCGCTGCCGCGTGTCCGCGTCCACGGCGGTGGAGATGAGGTCAGGGCTGGAGCCGGACACCCGGCGCTGCAGGTGGTCGGTCTGGGGGCTGCGGAGGGCGGCGGCAGGGCCGAAGTACCGCAGGTTGTTGGCACAGTTGACCACGGCCTCCTCGCGGCCCTTCAGGGGGAGAAACTGGCCCTCGGCCTGTGGGTGGTGGTGGTGGTGGTGGTGGAACTGCTGCTCCTGTAGGGACTGGGTATCTTCCAGTGCCCCGGCGACCGGCTTCAGCACGCCGCTGAACTCGCTGTGGCTGCCTTTGCTGTTGGCGCGGCGGTGGCGAGGCTTGCTTCTGTAGCGGGTTTTGCCAGGCGGGGTTGAGACCTTTGGGCTGGCTGACAGCGGTGAGGGGGAGGGGAGGGGGTCAACGCTGGGGATCCCATCAGAGCGGAGCAGGTCGGGCCTGAGAGAAAAACAACTTGTCATCATTTTCCAGTCTTCTGAAGATGGAAAAAATTATGTGTGTGCTACTGAAAACTGGTGAAGAGGCCATGAAACAGCCACCCCCTACTCTCACTACAATAGATTTGTAGCTATATTAAAGATGAGATAGTAAGGGTACGCACACGCTGCTAATTTTAAATCAACACACAAATGCCAAAAGATGCATGATGTTTGGGGCAAGCCATAAAAGGTTGTGTAGCTGGACTTCAGACCTTTTGACAGGAGGCATTCCAGGTTTGTGGGAGATGCTTCCTTTTTTCTTGATGAGCTTCTCGACCGCATTGGACCTGACGATGGGTCGGACCAGGTGGCGTTTGTAGGTCCCAGGATATTTTTTCTCCACAGCTTGTTCTCTCCTTCAGATATGGCAGAATTATTTAGAGTTAATATGACGACCAGTATTATTCTCATTGACCTTTAGAGAGATTAGTCAAAGCACTTCTAGACTAATAAACCATCTGCGTGTCTCCAAACCAGTGCCCAGTATAATAAACATTTGGATCTCACTTTTTCTGAGAAAAAAAACAAAATAAGAAATAATATTCTGCAATTAAAACGGAAAAATATAAATAGGTTTTTAAAAAAAGCTGTATTTTATTTAAAGAAGAATATTAGAGGTAAAAACAGATACCAGTAATTTAAATTTAAAGGAAAACATCCTGTTGAAAGCGAACAAAGTAATGTAAGTACTAAATGTTAATAACATACTTCATAAGTTCCTTCTCTCTGACTTCCAGCTGCAGCATAATGGCGCTGAGCTCCATGTAGAGGTTATTGGCTCTTTCCAGCTTCCTCTCATAGTGCTCCCGGATGTCCAGTGCATGCCTGAGGAGTCAATTAAAAGATAAACCATATTCAATTCAACATTGTGTCTTTTTTATCTTCCACCAACAGTTAGCATGAGTTCATATAATTTTTTTTAACACTTTACTAACTCACCTGAGTTCGTCCCTCCTGCGGCGGATCAGCTCCTCGTCCAGCCTGTGAATGCACGTGCCTTCACTTTTGATCTTTTCAAAATGTTTCTTTACTTCCTCCCGCCACTCTGCCTGTGATGTGGAAACACATGGTCAGACTTTTGTCTGTCAGAGCTATATATAAGAAAGCACCATGTTATTTTTTTTTTATTACCTGGAAAAAAAATTCAATTTTTTTTCCAGGTAAGAAAAAAGTAGTGGATGTGAATTGGTGAAGATTTCTTTTTCAATATTACTTCACACCTGAGACTTGAAGTAGGTCTCCTGAGGAGTTCCTAGAATGTCAGAGGAGGCAATGTCGAGATGTAGGAGAATCTGACGGAACGAAGGCCTGTTCCTGGGCTTGCCTTGCCTGAAATCAGTGGTTAATTGTAAAGATTTATCTAGATATTCAAACACAGCCCGAAACCAGCTTGGGATCAATATATTAGCAGGAGCAGCTCACGCTCACCAGGTTTGCTTCATGAGGATTTTAAAGCCATCGGGGCAGGTGGAGGGGACAGGAAGGTGGAGACTGTTGCTGCCAACACCCCAAATGATGGCAGAGGAGTCTACATCTTTGTAGGGGATCTCTCCCGTGAGCAGTTCCCATAAGACAACTCCAAATGACCTGCATCACACAAGTGAGGACAGGCAGGTCATGATAATGTCACAACGCGATGCATGAAAAACAAGCTTCACGTTAAACAAATTTATCCAGAAATGGTAAATGAGTAGTTTGTTGTATGTAGTAGTATGTTGCTACTCACCAGATGTCTACTTTTTCAGACACGGGCTCGTTTCTTATCACCTCCGGGGCCATCCACGCCACAGTGCCCGCAAAGGACATCTTTGTACTCTTGTCGCTGAGCTCTTTGGACGTTCCGAAGTCAGAAATTTTCACAGTGTCGTTGTGGGTCACCAAAACACTGTCGTGTACACGGAAAGCACGGCGGCGCGTTAGAATTACGATCGATGCGTTTGGCTTGGCAGTTAAAGCACGTTCAGGACGAAGCATCGAGTCTGACGTCGAACTTTTCTGTTGTGAGCTTTCGCTGTTTTTTTGGCAGGCACCCTCTTTCACAGACGTGCGTTTCTGAATCACCCCATTAGCCAAATGAGACTGACCTTTCCAGCACATTCAGCCGGCTATCGTTCTGCTGACTAATATCGTATTTGGCAGTGCTGCTGCAGCATGATGATATTGATTAGAGAGACAGTGCTACAGAAAGTGGACCGCAAAGGCAAGAGGAGCAGGATGAAAAAGAACACTGTGTTTTACTCTCACAAAGATAACTACCTATTATTAACTCTTTGGATGGCATTTGGGGTAATTTTGTTCTATTCACAGCAGCGAGGACGAATCGTCGCTTTTCCTTAGGTTAAATAAAACTGCTGAGGTGGTTCAAAAAAGCTTCACAGATCACCTTTAAGGATCACCGTCATGCCACAAGAAAGAATATGAAAGAATGTGTGTCCTATCATTTGAGATAAAACAGCTCTGCTGTCCATAACTGCAATTGCAATTGAATTTGTTTGTGTTTTTCTCAGTACGTAGTTGTCAGCTTTAAACTAAAGTTTGCCTGCAGTGGTGTAAGAATTTCAGGTATTCTGTATTCACATCTGACAAAAAAAAAGCAGAACTATTTCTCACTTGGGAGACTTGAGATCTCTGTGGATGATCTTGTGCAGGTGTAGGTAGTTCATGCCGCTGGCGATGCCCGTGGCCCAGTCCACCAGCAGCCTGGGGGTCACCTTCCTGCCCGCTCGCAGCACTTCGTACAGCTGGCCTTGGGCACAGTACTCCATGATGATGCAGTAACAAGGAGCCTGGGTGCACACACCCCTGAGAGAGAAGAAAAACCCAAACGTTAGCAAATCGTGGGACAAATCCTGGATGGAGCTCAACGAACTGCAAACAAGTGCGCGTAGACTTACTTAAAGCTGATGATGTTGGGATGTTTGAGTTTTCGCAGGTGCTTGATGTCCGTCTCTTTCTGCTCCCGCACCTTTTTGATGGCAACCTCCTCGGAGCGGAACTTTCCCAAGAAGACGGCTCCCTGTGCGCCGCTGCCCAGCCACTGCAGCTCGGAAATTTCCTCAAACGGAACCTCCCACATGTCTACAAATCAGGTAAAGTGTGTGTTGTCATTGCAACATCTACCGTGTTGACTTTGTAAGCATGCATCGTTTCAAAATGTATTTATTTTTTAATAGCAGTTTTCTCCTCAGCTATACAAAATGTATAAAATACTTTTATATGCTTTGCATTGGCTCTGCAAAATCATCTTTAAATTTCAGATGTTTGTGCAGCTAAACCTCTGTTGGGTGCTTCGGAAAACAGTGGCAAAGACATTCTATGCCTAACCCGAAACTTGCTGCATGGCTGAGCGGCTGCAAGGCCCAGCGCAGTTCTTTTTGACCCGGGATCAGATCCTGTCGCCTGCGTGTTGAGCCTGACCAAGCAGCCAGCAGCAAGGTGAATCTACCTTTAGCCTGACCTCAATTTAAGCTGACAGCTGTGCAGCCTCGCTCACTGCAGCATACGCTCCAGCTACAATGGCTATTCAATTACAGTGTCAGAGTGCGTTCAGGGAAGGGAGGGTTTTGTTTGTTTCTCAGAAGTCTTAGAGAGAACACATGCAGGATTTAGGTTGTTAAACATATTTGACGCTGCAAGATGAAACCCAGAGCTAACCTTGCTGTTGCAGCTTGTATTCTGTTGAGTAGGTCTTCCCTATGATGTTCCAGACGGGCCGCAGGCAGCCAAACAGCCCCTCCAAGAAGCCTCCCGACCCGGGCCCCGCTCTCTGAAAGTGCAACTTGATGTCGTCCGGGTGATGCGGGTGAGTCGGCCCGCCCTCCCCGCTGTGGTCCACGGGACAGTTGTCCTCGCCCATTTGCTCCTCCACGCCGCTGCCACAGCCGCCGTGCTCGCAGGAGGCCGGCGACCCGGCTTCCTCGGGTTCCTGCTCCTGCAGCTGCAGAACGCTGTTGTCAAAGTGTCCGCCTTCGCTCCGCGTGGAGTCCACGCTCAGGGCCACGTTGGCCGGGCTGAGACCTCCCAATGTGGACTCCTCATCCTGGCCGGGCGCCGGCAAAGGAACGTCCAGGTTTGTCGGTGGGGCAAGATCTGTGATAATCTGAGGAGGTGAATTGGGGGCAGGGGCCTGAGGAGGCTGGGGCTGGGAGTTAGGCGAGTTTGATTTCTTCATCGCATCCCCGACCACGGTGAGTTTGAGCTCCTCTTTCAGCTTCCCCACCAATAGACTAGGGCAGGAAGTCCATGACAGCACCTCTGGGGAGCTACCCATGGTTTCATGCATGTGCATGGGCAGCCTGGCGGCGATGAGTGGGATCCAGCCTAACACGCAGGTTTGACTGAATGCTTGCAATCACCTGCAGAAAAAAAAAGGACAGAGGTGTTGATGACAATGAATAATAAAGCACATTTAAGTCCATTTGGATGACCGTACTATGGCCACTTTACCAACAAAAAAAAAAAAAAAAAAGACCCCATTTGGGAATAAGCGGTTCAGAAAATGGATGGATATGTGGATGGATGGACAACTGCTGTCATGAAGGGACCTTATTATTGCCACAAAGCGAAACGCAATCCTCTCATTTCCTCTTGCAGATGTGCGATCAAGAGGGATTGCATTGATGATTATTATTTTAAGCAATGGAGTGCAAACATTGCAGGCTGGAGGATATCAGATAGGCTTTAAATCAGTGCACGAGAGAAAAAAAATTACATTACAGAGTAAAAAAACCTAATGCAATTCTGAGAAACTTATGGTAAACTGTTGTACTAAACCAATCGCACACATAAACACACACACACACGTGACCGTGGATTTTTTTCTATCATCTCTATCAAGCGCTAACAGTATAGGAGAGATTAAAGGTTGTGCTGCGTATTAGGCTGAGAACGAAACATCTGGCGCACACAGACCATTCTGCCTGTTTAAGCAAAGACAGCAGCAAATGTGCGGGTTTTCTCTCAGTCACAGAACGAGGGGGGGGGATTTTTACCATGTTCGTCCTAAACAAGATGCTTAGCCAGTTAGCCAGTTTGAAAGAAAGGCCATAAAACTGTCATCTATCACAGCACATAGGCATTTTGTGCTGTGCTGGGGGAAGGGGAATTTTATCAGTATATTAGGGCAAAGTCTATGCTTGGATAAACAAGAATAAAACCTTTAAGATCCAACCAAAGCAAATAATCTCACCTATTACATCAAAGATCTTAAATAGTATGAAATTAAAAGTTCCCAAAATGCAGAGATGAGAGTGGAAAAAAACAGTTCATAACATGAAACTAAAAGATGTGTAAACAAGAATGTTCACCGCGGTCAAAGATTACACATGGATGAACACAAATAATGTGGTTAAGCAAAATAATCTTTACTCAAGCTCCACCCACGGGCTCACGTCTCAGAGCCTTTATGAAAAAGGTGCTCAGGTGTCATCAGGCAGACCAGGGGAGGAAGTGCGATCATGTGATAACAAGAAGACAGTAAAGGTGAGGTTAGGGCTCACAAAGAAAGCCCAGACGATGGCCTCGAATGGAGCTCCCTTGGTTGCTTGCAAAAACCCTAAAAAATGATCAACTTCACGTTCGCTGTCAGCAAAAGGTCCGAATTATTCATGATGGTAGAAAAAGTTCATCACAAATAAAACAGAATGGGAAAAGCAGAGGGTCAAAACATGAAGCTTTTACAGACGTCTGTATAAAAACAGTGATGTCTCCTAATCTAGACATATTTCATGTGATATATTATCTTATTTCTTTTTGTAATACCACTCGCTGCTTCCTTATTTTTATCATAGACTTAATAAAAGGGCTTAAATCTTAATATTCAGAAGGAAAACTGCCACACTGTTGAGTCCTGTCCTACTTTATAAGCACTTTGATTTCACCTTAATTACAAAATGCATTTTGAGAGGAGAGTGTGAGAGGTGTGTGAGAGGTTTATTGATATGTGACGCTGCGTGTCGTGGTGTCTTATTCCAGCACTGGCTCTGGAAGCTGCCAAAATCAAACTGCTCAAAGCTTATCTCTCAAGTGCTTTAATTTGCTGTAAATCTTGTACACCGAGCTTTAAGGCAAACAGATGGCCATTCATCCAGTCAGACTGGGCTCATTAACGAGTTTTGGCTAACGAAAGAGACAAAGAAAAAAAAGAAAAGAAAAGAAAAAAGCACAAAACAGTGAACCGACTGCTCTGGAAATCAAAAGTGTTTTTTTTCTCCCCTTGATTTAAACCAATGAGGACATAACTTCAGCAATCCAATCAAGTTTGAGAGGGCAGCGGCAAACAGGCAGTTCAGGTCACAGAAAGAAACAGTGTGTACCATCCCAAAGCAGAGATCAAAGTCCTCCGGGGAGCGGACGAAGGGGCAGAACGGCGAGCTGGCTCTGGGTTACGTGGAACTTTCATAATAAAGAGGATACTTGTCCAAACAGATTTCAGTTTATGTTCAAGCTGTGGCATGAACAAGCAGGGTCTCGCACGTTGAAAATCACAATGTTTAAAGTGGATGTCAAACCCTCTCACCCATTTATATCCAGCTTTCCTCATATTTTCAAGACATTTAACTGCAGCATGTGGATGCTGAGAGCAGGAATATGCTGATAAAAGTTCCTGATAGGACATAAACAAGTGCGTTTATAGCCATAACCTATGCATCCAAGGCCTCGGGTCCACGTGGGCCGCGCCTGCCCGTTTGTGCAGATGCATGTACTGTATCAGTATGATCCGCGGGGGGTAACCTGAGCGCTGTGAGAGTGTGGCAGCTGCCAGAACTCATCTATAATGCAGGCGTGTCTCGGAGCAGGCTGCTGAGAGTGCAGGGGAAGGAGAGAATGCTCTCTCAAGTATCCAGTAAATCCGTCCCACCAAAGCAGAGACAAATGAGCCGTGCGAGCGCGGTTCCACGCTGTAATTCCACCTCCCAAACAATTCTCACAGCCGGGCTTCTGATGCCGGCTGCAGTGGGAGGGATGCGGCTGTGGCGGCCGCCACGTGCACACCAGAACCCAACGGCGGGAGGGTAACAGGCGGAGGCCCCCTCAGCTTGACGGTAAACGTGGCTCCTGTTGGCGTCTTGACACCACCCAAAACAACAACAATGATATTAATATTAATCAAAAGCCTCTTCTTTTTGTTTCAACAATCTCTAATGGAAGATCTCTATGAGTCCCATAAATAATGCCCGGGCCTGATCCGGAGAGACTGAGGGTTTCATTTACATAGTCATTTATTTACAGGGCTTTCCGAAAGGGATCGCACAAGCATGCACGGACGCATCAGCTGTCCCACTGATGGGACTAAAGGGCTGGCAGAGGGGGATATTTATTTGGAGGAGAACACAATGCACATGTTACACAAAGAGAACTACGTGAAGAAAGAAAGAGAGAGCTAGAAATGGGAGAGACGGGGATTGGGAAATTATCAAGGGCTGATCCTTTAATCCCTCTACAAGGCTTCAGAGACATGCTTGTGCAAACACAGACCCTATTCAGTCCTCCCCCTCCGTTTATGTTTTTCACATTCCCATTTTTCCCCATCTCTTGAGGAGTCTTCACGTCAAGAGCAGCAAAAGCGCATTTTGAGAATAAAGACATAGAACTTGATTGTTTTTATTCTACCTTCATTTAACAAGAAAATTCCGAATTAAATACAAGCCCTCTTCTTCCAGGGGGGATCCGGTCAAAAACCACAGAGCAGTTTTGGCCATTGGTATTGTATCACTAAATATGTGTGTGCATTGGTGCACACAGCAGCTGGTGGTACGGGGGGGGTGCACACATGATAACTCAACACACACCCCCAGGGTGTGTCTAGCCAGATCCAATAATCCCACTACTCCCAGCAATCCGCTGGGGACGGCAGCACTTTGTATCACTCTGCAAATGGAACTGCGATAGCCGCAGCTCTCTAAACAGCAGCTGAACGTTCCGGCGAGGGTTAATGCGGGAGCAGAGACACTTTTAACATCAGAAGACACATAGCATTCATGCCCGCACAAAAACCCAGCAGCAGCGGTGTCGCTGCGTCTCCATCACTCTGCTCCTCATTAAGAGAAGCCCCGCTGGGACTCGCGGTGGGCACCTCCTTTCAGGTGACAGCTGCGTCTCCAACAAAGAACCAATTTAGCCCGGATCCCACCTCATCATTCACACGTTACCATGTCAACACAGCATCCGTCCTGACCTTATGCTAGCAGTCACACTCCATCTCATTCGACACTCGGGTTTGGAGAGGCCGAAAGGCTGAGGGGCCATCACACAGACCACAAATTGTGACCTAGTCTATTTTTCTATCTGAGGTGGAGTAATGAATTGACCCATGATTTAAATATGTCATCTTTTTTCAGAAGCTGTGACGAAGTTTTAGATTTGAAAGCAGACACAAACAAATCTGCAGATAAAACTGCCGCACAGAAAAACGGAGATCATTTTTTGGGAGGAGAGACAACTGTCAGCACCTTCCCGTCTCTGCTGTGTTCCTCTAACGGAGCGAAGGTGGCGAAAAACAGCTGGTGGAAGCGGGGCCGGTCGCCACCGAGCATGTGATCGTCTGTTATTCTGGGTCAGAGTTGAACAGCTGAACTCTGATATCTGTAATTGTCCCCCTAGTCATCACAGACTCTGGACTTTTCCCCCCCTGTGCTCATTTAGTGCACCATGCAGTATTTCCAAACAGGATCTGCCTACGTGACATTCACAGATGTCTTTGTTTTTCCTGAAGCAGACAAAACTAGCGGATGTTTAGCCAAAATGAGCATCAAACAGAGAAATCATCTCTTAAATGTGGCTGCTCAGCGTATGTGGGTCAGTGTCGAAACAAGCGTTCTCCCTTCAGCATGGCCATGAGTCCTGCCAGAGGGGACTGGACAGCCTGATGTAGGTGGATGAAAGTAATCTTCTAGTCTGCTAGTGGGGGGACAACAGTGGTGGGGAGTATAAACCAAATCTGGCAAAGCGTTCAGGCATCTGCCATCTCATGGCTGACAAGCTCCTATAATCCTTTTTTTCATCATATTTTGATTCCCTGTTATGATTCACCTGGGATGACTTAAACACCCAGTGGCTAGAAACGAAAGCAGGTCGCAGAGCAATAACTGCTGCCTGCCTACCCGCCAGTTTAGGCTTCGACCGGTCCTAGTGAGAAAGAGGAACAAGGTCAAAGCTGGGAAAGTGCCAGGTGGGACTGAGTGCTGCGGCTTATTGTGAAGGTTGGATTATGTCTGTGAGACGATGAGAGCGGACAAGTCAGGCACGTGAATGAAACTGCCGGAAAGGGCTGACGGGAGGCGCTGAAGTAAAACCAGTTTGTCAGGGAGTTTAACAAACTGGAGGAAAAAAAACGCTAAATGTCAGATAGAGAGAGGGCTGTGAGACGTAAGCACTCAAAACACACACACATCGCATGTGCCTCAAATAGCCCCAGCTGGTTGCAGCCAGAATTGAAGGAAATAAATAACTGAGGAAAAGAGTGTGCGCCACTGAGACGTCACACACTCTTCCCTCCGGCTTGGTTCCCCCTGCCTCTCAGTGAGAACATATAGTCAGCACTGCAGCCGGGGGGGGCGCGCAGGCTCCAAAGTCTGCCGCCGCCATCCACCACAACTCCAAACCGACCAGTTCTGATCGGACAGACTCACCTCTGGACAAAAACAGCTTAACGGAGCTTCAGTTCTGAATCCAGACCACATCTGTCCAGAGACATGAGGAATGAGCAAAGACAAGAAGTGACGGCTGAGCCAGCAGATTAGAGAGATTGGAGGGGCACAAGCAGCATGGTGAGTGGGGAAGATAAGGGGGCCGATGTTCAGGCAGGCAAAAGAATTATCAAAATGGGAGAAACATGCACAAGCAGCACATGAAAGCCCGGAGAGAGGGGCTGCTTCTCTGCAGCCGCTCTGGCTGCTTCAGGCTCTTTGCTGCACCGACCATTGCTCCGATGGGAAAGACTCCCAAAGTGACAACAAAGGACACAAGAGGAGCCGGCTCCATGTGAACTGGGCCTGTCTGCCCATCACGACCAGGAGACAGACTCACACTCTCTCACACACACACACACACTCATACAACAGAGCAGCTGCTGCCACAACAATTCCCCTTGTGCTCTTTTAATAGGGACTGCCGAACTGGCCCGCCTACAACAAGGAGAGAGACAGACAAACATGCATATTGCAAGAGACTGGCTGTGACTGATACCACAACCTCTTTTAATGGATGGAATATGGAGATATGCAAAGCTGAAAAGACTGAGAGAGAAAAAAGGGGGTCCATGCGGGCCACATGGGACAGAGTGGGTGCTGGACTTAAAGCTTTTTCTTCCACTTAAAAACACACTGCCACATCAGAAAGTCTGCAAATCAACACACATCAGTGGCTACTGGCCACAAGTAGCTGCTGGTCTCGTGTTATCCCCACTTCTTGTGAAAGGAGAAATAAAGAGAAAACAACAAACAAACATGGAATCCTCAAAAGTAAACCTAACCAAGCAGCTGAAGAACTCATACACTAAGGACAAAAACCTCTAAAAGACAATATTATGCTGCAACCTTTTAGAATGCTCAGTGGAAAACGAGGATGGATCTCTCCACTGCCCCCCCCCCCTTCCCCTCTGTGCAGTTACATAAACACGCTTAGTAGCAGAGGACAGAGGTGGACATACTCTGAGCTCCCCTGCTGCCAAGCAAATCAAGAGATGGATGAAGATGTAAAGAAGGGAGGGGGGTTAAGGATGATAAAGCAGGCAGAGGTGCATCAAAAATAAGAAGAGTCTGCATCAGTTAAGAAAAAAGTCAGTCACTGTGTATGTGCGCATACAGAGCTGCTCGTGATCTCAACAAAAAACACGTGTGTCCCAGAAAAGCCTGTCATCTCCGACCACCAATCCCCAGATCCCCGGACCGCGGGCTCGATTCGTTCTGTTGCATGAATTAAGCGCGGTGGGGATGGAGGGGGCTGCGATACCTTCAACTACATCTCCACCTGTCCTTCAGATGGCACGGAGATAGATGTACTGCATCAAAAAGGCAGCAGCAGCGGCAGCAGCGTCACTGCTGAGCCTAAAATAGCGCCTGCACACACACCGACGCACCAACACACTCCTGCAGCGCCGCTGAGCCTACACCGACATCTGGTCCACATGCAACGCAGGCACCAACGGAGAGAAATAAAACAAGCGACTTATTAGCGGAGATAAACATGGGAAACACAAGCTGGTTAGGAAGAGGTACCTCCACATCGCGCTGCCTCCACAGACGAATGACAAAGACACAGCATCAACAGATTACTCACAAAGGACACGGCTCAGATTCATGGTCCTCCCTCAGCTCTCGGGCAGGGATGATAGGAGTTGGGGAGGGGGGGGTAAAGAGATGAAACTCCAGTGAGGATGGCCGGAGTGACGCTTGTGTGGCGGAAAAAAGGACGGCAAGAGAAGCGGGGGAAAGAGGGAGCGGGCATTCCTCTAAGTCCCGCAGCACCTGGGCTGTGAGTGGGTGGGCGGCATGAGTCGTCAGCGGGTCGCTAACGACCTGTACACGTCACGCTTTTCATGAATGGAAGTGTCTGACGCAGCAAGGACGCGGCTCACGGAGCAGATGGAGGAGGAGGAGGGCGGGGCTTTCTGAGCAGACTCAGGGGGGGGAGGAGGAGCTAACAGAGCCCAGGATGAAAGCAGAGGAGGGGAGATGGAGGGGTGGGGGGGGGATTTCAAAGCGGCACCAGCTGTGAACAGCAGGTTGGGCTGCTGTGGCGTCTCTGTAAGTAGGACAGACACTTTCTGCACAGGAGAAAATCTCTTTGTACCAAATCGGTAATTGGTTCTGCACATGCCAGTTGTGACATGACTGTGGGCCGCATGCCGGGCCGGCTATTTGCATTTCAGTGCAGCTTCAGTGTGTGCAGCCTCTCTCTGTGCCTACAGTCCCAAACATCTCGCCTCCTCGGTCACGTGCGGTGCGGCGACAGAGTGCAGCCTCTGTGGCCGGCCGGCTCCGTTTTCCGGCTTTTTAACCGGAAAGGAGGCAAACATGAAAAGCGTAACACTGCACAACTGTACACGTGAAACAAGACTAATGCTGATTTTGACCTTTGCGGCTTTTCAACTACTGAGCCGACCGACTCTTTCTTCTATCATAAAGATGACATATACATGTGAAACTATGCCACTTTAGCCAGAAACAAGTCGGACCTCTCCCTGTACTAAATGGGGCTGTTAAGAAGTCGGCAGTTGTAGTCATGAATTTATTATGATGACCTTCTATTTTTACCTCAAAGTGTAATTGTGCACTATATATTACACATATCTCCTCTTAAAAAGCAAGACAATATTCAACAGCACGTCTACTGCTGCTGTCTAATGAAACCACCAGACAGCAGTGGATGTCAAGTAGGTTTACTAAAACAGAAATTTCAAGAAAGGGCAAAGTCAGAACGTCCAAAGAATTGCTCTTTCTTCTCTCCAAAAGGGCACCCAAATCTCTCGCAATATCTGACTTTTTCCCTCTCAATGTGCTCAAGCCCCCATTTTACTCAGCCCGTTATCTGAGCGTGTGCATGGTGTTTTTGTGTCTGCGTGCATGCGCTGACCTGTTGGGTGGTTTATGAGCAACTCAGAGCTCTGCACAATGGGATCTGGCCTCTAGCTCTCGCCTCTCACCTGCATAAAAACACACAGAACGCAGAGTTTGACTTACAAGGGGGAACAAAAAAAGGAAGAAACTGTTGCCAACACAGGAGCAACAATGACAAAAGGAAGCCGTGCTGCACGCTTGTACGAGTTGTGGCAAAGTCCGATAATGACTGAGGCAAAAGGAGGTAAATCAAAGAAGGCAGATTAGGGAGGGGGGGCTTATGGCTGGGGGGCACATGATTAGGGAGCAGATGCTTCCCTGGTGCTCCTCTTAAAGGCCCTATCCTCTTGGGAAGGCGGTGATGGGGCGGGGCAGCAGGAATGTAATTCTGTTCGCAGAGTGGTGGGGGGCAGGGATTTTTGGACAGCATTGTCCGGTCGCTGTCCTCAAGCCACACCCCAGCATGGGACCCTGTCAAGCGGAGGAGGGACGGGGTCCCGGAGAGGAGTGGAGGCAGAGGCGATCAAACGCTGCTTCTAAAAGGCGTGAGATGACACTGGTGCAGATGGCAGTAGAGGCCGGCTCTTTTAGGCCGACGCCGTCAGATGGTGAGCATTTCCGCTGAGTGCCGGCCCACTTCAAAGCGCACTTTTTAAAAGTATAGATGAAAGATTCCTTTGGCTACGAGCAGGAGGAAGAACGGGGTTGCTGAAGGAGAGGCGCTTTTCCGTCTGTGACGTTGAAGAAAATCCGGCATACACAACACTGAGCAGGGGAATTCCCAAAAATAGGCCCAGTTAAATATTGACAGAGAGAGAGAGAGAGAGGCATTCCGTACCTCCACGGAGAGCGGAGCTCTAATACCTGATCTGTTTGCTCAGCGAGAACATCAAGCCCTGCTCTAAAGCCGAAATTCCAAAGTTCAGCCGATCATAAGCCCTCGTGCTCATGTGGAAAAACACATAAGAGCCACACTGAAATACGAGAGTGAAGCCAGGACTTGAACAGAAATCTTTCAGCCACTGCCAGCGATTCTGCTCATGATCCTATATGGGAGCTTTGAGGAAATAAAAATCAATCCAGCTGGCGTTTGAGGATATCAGCTTTCATTGTGAGACACATTCAGCACCTAGGAGCAGATCAATGCAAGCGTTTATTTCTAATCATGTGCAGATGCATTAAGCATTACCTATATTTATCTCCGTCAGCACGCCACACCACCTAAAAGTAACAACTCCAATCTCTTCAGACTGGCAGATCAATCCAGACCTTCTTCACGTTTGAGTCGTTTTGAGGGTGAATTCGGAAATTTGAGTGTCAAAGCATGCTGATAGTGTCCCCTCTTATGACAGAAAACCAACCCTCCCCCACCCCTACCTCTGGCTTATTTATCTGTTCGTTACATGACGTGGGCACAAGCCCCGGCCCGGCTGCCCCTGGCCTGAGACAGATGTCTCTGCCAGCTTGTGCTTCAGCCTTCTATTAGGTTTAAATGTTCGTTGACATCACACGGAAGCAGAAGAAAAGCTTTGTCATAGCCTCTTTCGAATGTCAGGGGGCTTAAATTTCCACTTAACAAATCAAAAATATCTAGGGTTGGTTTTGGATTGCCTTTCCCTTAACCCTTCTGCAGAGATGAAGCTGAACGGTGGGTAGAGTCTGGCAGAGCTGTTGGAGCTGACCAATCGGTTCACACCGTTTTTAGTGGGCAGAAAATATGAATATATGTGGAAGAATATGGCATTAAGCTACTTGTTTCATGGAGATTATTATGCAGAATCTCTTTTTTTGGCTAAACAAACTCATCATGTGCAGGACATGGATGTGAGACACCAATGTCAACAGTATGTTTATTTTTGATGATCCGTTTTTCTCTTTTGGTTTTCATTTTTATGTATTTGTGTATTGGGCTCCTAGTTTAAATGATTCATCAAAAATAAATTGAAAAAAAAATAGCACCGCTTACAACACAACTTTAAACTTAAACCCACAACGTCACATTTAGGAAATACTATCATGAAAACAATCTGTCCTGCTCTGGTTTTGCATTACTAGTTCCTCAGTTTTTACATGGTTTTTGCCTTTTACAGTGAAAAGTCAGGCAGCTCCTCCTGTCAAGTTCCAGAATAAAACATTTTGAGTTAGAAAAAGCAACCTCACCTGTCTCAGTTTGACCTAAACTACCGCAGCCTGCCTCCATCTGCGCTCCACCCGGTCGGAGCTGTGTGCCCTGCCGTCGCCTCGGAGTGCAACGGAGCCGTAAACCACACTGGCTCGGCCCCGTTATTCACACTCATTATTATTTCACCAGCAGCGGAACAGCAGCATTGACAGCTCCTGTGTCCCGCGCATTAATAAGAAACAAAGCATTGCTGGACCCAGAGGCTTACAGAGGTTTACCCTCCCAATCTGCCCCGCAGCCAGCCACCGGGGACACACGCACTTCTGCAGCTGCTCAAATACAACATTTATTTCCATGGAAATGACTTAAATCCCGCCGTGTGTTGGCTAACAGGTGGATCCAATAGCAATCCATTGTAAAGTAAATAAAATATGAATGAGCAAAACAAACGCTACTCTCAAATGTCAAATCAAAACTGTATTTTCCGCCTTCTGTCACATTCACAATCATTAACTAAAGGACAGAAAGTAGATTTTTAATCTCTCTGTACAGTTTTATTACAGGATTAATTTATATTTAGCTTTTTTTTTTTTTATATGCCCGAGTCATCACAATCAGCTGGATTACGAAACCTTATTGGACATTTTGTATTTGGGATTTATCTGAGGCTGGCACTTTTCACATCACATGCCAAAAACTTAAACTGACTTGTTTTCGTTCTAAAAACCTCTCTCGGACGAGGTGATTAGCCGGATGTTTTGTTCGGTACCAATAAAGCGGGGACGCTGAGTCAGCAGAACAACATTCTGACAAATGATTTGATTGAGGATGTTGGAGGAGGCTAATGGGACAGGGCCTGCACAAGCTGCTGACTTTACAGACCCACTGGTTTGGCTGAGACAGACGAGGGGGGGGGCTCCCAGCCCAGGAAATTGGTCAGTTTTGCACAGGCAGCCACTGATGAGCGAGGCCTGCCCACAACAGCAGATAATGCTGGGAAACAGATAATGCTTGTGAGATTACTGTGCAGAGCAGCCCGTACCCACACCAATCTGCACCGAGGGGAAATTACATAACAATGACTCCTCCACACCCACAGAGGATCCAATCCTTCTATCCTGAATTCCTCTTTCTCGTGAGTTCAGAGTGGGCAGCCTGGTGGTGCTGTCCTCCCTCTCGGCCGCAGGCGGCCGGTGATCCACAGCGTGGCTTAGCGGGCCGGTAGCCGGCCCATAACGCCCCACACAGAAGCCGCTCCGAGATGACACCAACTGTTTTGAAGGCCCCTTCTGCCTTCTGGTGATTACACTTAAAATAATGACAGAAGGGGGAGGAAGTGAACACAAACCCGGATGTTTCGCCCCGGAACGCTCTCACCTCCCACTTCCACATCCACAGAGAGAGGATGTAAGAGGGAACGTGGGGGAGCAGCTACAGTTAAAGCTAGCGGGGGGGGGGGGGGGGCTGATTATGGTCCTCGGTTTAGAAGAGAGAGAAGAGGCAAGGTCACAGATGTGTTGAGGCACAACACTGAGCGTGTTTACATGCCGGCTTTATTCTGCTTTCCGAGACGTGGTCACAATGTTGGACAGGCTTCCTGAAACTCCTCCGTCTCCCGGAACCTGAGATAAGATCATAGTAAGATGATGGCACATGAAACACAGCGTGACATGGGCATTTGTGTGCTTCGTGCACATGGTTTCCTACCCAATCTAAAGGAGGATCAAAGCTGGGATAAGAGTCCATTAGCGTGGACTTCTAAAGCAAACACTGTCAAAACAAAAAAAAACAAACAAAAAAACCTTCGTTGTTGTCCATTTACATGTTCCTGGAGCACATTTCT